TTTCTCGCAAATGCAATTGACTCCAGTCTTTCGGCGCGAGTGATAAAACTCTTATTTACTTACTTATTGGCTACTACGTTCAGGATTATTGCGCGATAAAACAAAATTATGATATCTTAACTCTGAATTTGTTACAGACGCTGTATGAAAGTGTGTGGAGGTTAGAAGGGATAGCCCGGGAAGAATCTAGGTATGCGCCCACTGAGTACTCGGCACAGAGAATAAGAAAGACTCTTTTATTACGTAGAGAAACACTAGAACGATGCAGCTCTAACGGCGGGCTAGTCTCCACTGTTCTACTGCCGTACAGCGACAAAAGACTAGCCGTGCAGTGACAAAAGACTAGCTCGCCGGCGTGTGGTCGGGGGCGAGCTCGCATGCAAGCGAGATAGAGTATAGCCGCCACAAGTGTAAGCTGCATCGCGAATAACGTAAAAAATACAAAACTGGCTATAAACTAGACACGTATAATACGGCAGTATTTTAACAAAAGATAAGCCCTTAAAAGACAGTGAATAACTTTGTTAACATACCTCCAATGTTTTACCTGTAAGACAGAGATAAATATATAAGCATCGTATATCATATAATATTGCGGAAAACTCATAATTAAAAGATGCAATAAAGGATACTTGAGAAGAATTGTATTCTGATAAAGCGAAGTCTGAAACTACACACTAATTATGCACAAATTAGTCATCCAGAATTGATAGTACTGACTAAAGTAGCAATAGACAATGTTATTGATGCACTTCTTTTGGATTATCCTCAGATAAAAGGACTTTGATCACAATTTGCAGTTGCACAAGAACAAACTCCAACTTTTTTTTTAAATCGTGAAGAATTGCCAAAACTTGCAGTAGTGGTAATGTTTCTGATATATATTGTGTATAGGATGTTCCGCTCTTGCTATTTGCATTTGAGTTTGAAGAGTTTGAAGACAAATTTTAAATAACTTCGCTCCGGAGCCCTCGAGTGCAAAGGGTTAATGCATTGGATAAATGCATTGAAGTACCATCCTAACTTTAATCTATCCAAACATTGGAATCTTTAAACTTCACTCTGCGATGCACAATGAAAGAAAAAAAAATACTGCCCCCTGTTAAATTCATAACGGTTCTCTCGTTTATCACAAATGTATATCGTATTAAGTGAAAAATGGCGATTGTTCGACTCAATTTTTAACCTTATACTTTAGTTGATTTCTTATATTAAAAAATTGATTTCAATCAAATGTTAAATTTTAATTTATGCCTTACAATAAACGGAATATAATACCTATTGGCTCTTTATTAATATAGGACATATCTTTTAGTTCAATCATATGATATATAATAAAATGAACATGCCATAGTGGAAACTATTACATGTCGTCGCGCTATAGTCAGCTGGCGTTCGCATAATAATGCAGTGTAACCTGTTGCGCGTGTTGAATCTAGAAAATCGCACCTGTAGGCAAACGCCCGTTCACGGTGTTCGGACTTTCCAGTCGTTCGTTTTGTATCTTATCCTCGTCGATAAAACGAGGAGGTAGCGACGAGGAGCCTTCGAATCGCGATTCGGCGATTCACGTGTCGCGATTCGAATCTTCCCGGTGCCGTCCAATTCCGACACGTTCCATACGGCCGGAACGCGCGGAAACACGGAGCGCGCCCCCGGCGATTTACAATCATAAACTGCGAGGTTCGCTTTGTATGTATACTATGTATGTATATACTTATCGCGGGAGCATGGTTTTATTATGATTTTTGAGCACCAGGTGGCCGCGTTTTTGTTGTCGATTTGTCGGCGGCGCGACACGGCTGCTCCAGCGCCATTACATCGATAAATGTCACTACAGTCGTCCGCATAAACGCCGCCGTCGAGCGTCAAACACCGATCAGTGCCGAGAAAGACTCGTGTTGCTTTCTTCCCGACGAGAGAGAGAGAGAGAGAGAAAGATTGAGAGTGAGAAGGAGAGAGACGAGCGAGACCGCGCGTCAACGTCTCGGCAGAACGCCGCGCGTAGACAAGAACGATGTCAACCAAGCGGAAAAACACGGGCGGCAAGAAGAATCGTGCCAAGTCGCGCAAGGTCGAGTACGACGACGAGGATATTTCCAGCGAGCACAACTCGGAAGTCGACGACGCCGAGGCCGGCTCCAACGCCGACGGCGAGGACGCCGCCGAGGATGCGCTCACGGACGTTTCGGATATGCCTGAGCTACCGGCACCGGAGGTGATACCTCCGCGTTTTTCTCGCACCGATATACGCGTAGTGTTTTCACGGACCCGCGATGCAGCGCGTCCCCTTGTGTTATTCTCATGTTTGCGACCGATACCTCAAAAGAACCACTAATTGTTATACTGCTAAGGCAAAATGTTGCGACAAAATTTATTCGTACTGAATCTCCGCTAATATTTAATTTGCATTATGATTGTTTTAAGATCATTTGTGTAAATTATTTACATTGTAATATTGTACGATTCTACTTGCGATACAGACGGAAAATTCAAATTTTAGATCATAATTAGCACAAGTAATATATATCGGTGCAATTTATCATAAATTTTTCATAACACATCCGATTGAATATCCTGAATGCGATAAAAGACAGTTTCTTTTAGGGTGGCTGGGGTAAGCCTGGAACGTTGCTCATGTGTGGCCTTACTAATTGGGAAATGGCTGGTCGTAAAGCACCACCTAAAGGGATAAAGGCAAATGTAGGACGTAGCCTATGGACGCCGCACACCTTTAAAAATTTGAATAATGCGAGAGTACGTTTGATTGCATCCGGACCTGCTGCGTCCCACAGTATTATCATTACAGAGGATAATAGATGCCTGGTTTTTGGTAAAAATGACAAAGGTAAGCAAATTATGTATATTTTGTTGCATAATTGTGCAAGATTGGTACTTATAAATCCGTATATCTTATCATAGTACAGGATTGTTTAACACGTTTACTATGAAAAAATAAAATCTACCTCTAATAATGAATTAGTTGATGTCTACAAATGTGTCGCTGAATTTACTTACATTCTGTAAGTTTCTTAACATAAAGAGTTCATCTTTGATACATATATTATTAATTGTATTATTATTATATATTTTTAATATATATACATATATATATATATATATATATATAAACTTGTATGTATTTATCTCTCAGTTTATTTTCATTTTACCATCACCATGACGGTAAGTCTGTTTTCTATTCTTGAACTAGGTTGCACTTTTTACTGTTACAATGACAAAACAAGTACATAACTTAGCGTCGAAGGGATGAAGTGCAGCCCTAATTCAGGAACAGGAAATAGACTTAGTATTGCTTGGATGGCACGATTTTTCAGGTCAGTTGGGTGTCGGTGATTCGAAGCGTCGTGATGAGCCCACCGAGGTCGAAGCCTTGAAAGGACACACAGTCATAGGGGCATCGTGCGGTCGCAATCATACTCTATTTTTAACGAGCCGAGGTATAGTTTTCGCTGCTGGCGACAATAAATTGGGCCAATGCGGAGTCGGAAAATCCGATGCCTGTATCGTCACTGCCACCAAAGTAAAGTATTCAGGGCCGCCGATAGTGAAGGTAGGATGCGGTGCTGAGTTCTCCATGATCTTGGACATCAAGGGTGGCCTGTACTCGTTCGGATGTCCGGAGTACGGTGCTCTAGGTCACAACACCGATGGCAAGTACTTTATCACGAACACGAAAATGGCATTTCACTACGAGAAAGTGCCGAAAAGGATCGTTTTGTACGTCGAGAGGACCAAGGACGGTCATGTGACACCGTTGGATCGTGTCGAGATAACAGACTTCAGCTGCGGTCACTACCACACTGTTGCGATCGACAGCAAGAGCCGCGCGTTCTCCTGGGGATTTGGCGGAGTCGGTCGTCTCGGGCATAACGAGCAGCGCGACGAGCTGGTGCCGCGTCTGATCAAGTTTTTAGAGCCGCCCAGCCGTGGTGTCAGAGCGGTGCACTGCGGCAGCACGTATAGCATCGCGATCAACGTGCACGGCTTTGCTTTGATGTTCGGCCAGACGAAGCGCACGGGCGAAGCCAACATGTACCCCAAGCCCATTCAGGATCTGTCCGGCTGGGAGATTCGTTGCGTCGGTTGTTCACAGACAAGCGTTGTGGTCGCGGCCGATGATTCCGTTATTGCTTGGGGCGCCAGTCCAACGTTTGGAGAATTGGTAAGATATGAAAATTACGTTTCTTATTTTCCGTTTGTTTTATATAATTTTGAATTTAATCACAATGAGCCTTATCATTTCGCAAGAAATGGGTGTCAATTACAACGTTTAGATCACTATACGATGGAAAGAAACATCCACTTACGTGCATTTTTTATACTTTATCAATAGCTGCGCAACTGAATTCTAAATATTTCTCAATGTAACCTGTGACATTTCGATTGCAGGGTTTTGGTGAAATGCGAAAGTCGTCGACAACCCCAATGGAGGTGAAAGCTTTAGAAGGTTTATACATTACTGCCGTCACGTGTGGTCTGTCTCATACGCTTATGATCTGCCGAGACGATACCGAGGAGGAAAGAGCGAAGATTAATAAGCTACAAGTGTACTCCGTGTAATGTACGGCAAGAGATATTCTTCGATTGTGTAAAACGAGTTTCCATTACGTCACTTGCAGATGATTGAGTCGGAAAAAGAAAGAAAACAAGAAGAAAGAAACGTCGTCGGCGAGCCACAGCTACGTTTTGACAAATTGAAATGAACGGTCCGAGAACGATAACGATAGACCGCCACAAAAGAGTCCAGGAGAGACATAGGCTATTATTCTACTTTGTACTTCCAGTTTTTACTTAACGCGCGAATGAAAGTCGATCTGTGTATCATTTGAAAAACCCATTCTGTTCAGCAGCTCAGGATATAGACCAAACAAGATAGATGCAAAAATATATTTTGATACGTTGCTATTTTATTGAAGTTCGCTGTAACTTTCACCAGAATGAAAATAGTTGTTCATACAGAGAAGCTGGAGGAGCCGGAAAGAGAACGTTGTAGAATTTAGCAATAACTGCCCTTATTTTTATTGCTTTACATAATCAATTTACATATTCAGATAGTTTATCCATTGATTCATCACAGTAGTACCTGAATCATTACATCTGCAGAAATCGTTTTGATAGTGCGCGTACAGGGTCGATCTCTGTACAAGAGCAATACGAGTGAGTCATCCAAGTGGATAATATTTTTAACGATTATATGTGAATTAAATCTCAATATGTGTTTTATTTCGAAATTTGATAGGAGATGATTTAATCATTATATTAATCTATTGATTGTGAAACATTAGTTTGGTCGAGTACAACATGGTAAAACAAAATAACGTGTCTAAGTATTTCTTGAATTAAAGTTACAACTCCGATCACTGCCAGGATGTATTATAAACATCTTTTTATTGTGATGTCAGACATTCATTCCATTCCGTTCCATATAATACTCTCGTGCGATTTCTGCACTGAAATATTATTCTGATGGAGGAAACTTGCGACAAATGTACAAGTCCAAATATGAAATAAACGAATTTTTTATGAATCTTGTGCTTTTAAAACCTGGGTACCTAAATAACGCACAGAATGTGGAAAATTTCTGGATATATTTGACAAACTTGATTTACCAAATACTGGACTTATCATATTGTTGTTATTATTGTACATCTCAAGCAACGTTTTTTGATTCGATACAATGTTTTTTTGCTCTGGATACATGTCGCAGATAATATCTTTCACGGCATCTTCGTTTCATAGTATCTTCTTCTTCTACTCGCTTACGTTTCTCCTAATTAACAAAGTTATTATCATCTAAGAAACTCGTACTAGTATTTCCGTTGTATAAGCAAGACGAAGCTATATTTATATTATAATTAAAGAAAATGAAATTTTATTACTACAAGTTTTCGATCCATCGCTATCGTAGCGGAAACAACGAATTGTTGAACATTATCCATTTCCTGTTGTGAAACGTTACCGTATTTCCAACGTAACAATTGGTGGGCTATGTAATGTTGAGGATTCGTTGGTTGGCACTTTAAAGTTCTACTTATTGCCCACGTCAATGGTACCATTACATTTTGTCTGATACGTTACCGTGTTAAATAATATTGTTACATATTAATATATTTGTTTTATTATTGTATAACAATTGTATAAACTTATTACACGCTTATTACAGTTGTGTACAGTTACCTTAGATAATCGTTTCTCTTGAGAGCTTCATGGCCTTGTTTATTCGGCAGTAAATTCAAACAGCACGTGCACGCACATGGAGCGGATTGCGTACTTACAGACATAGGGACTGCTTTATTTGAACCAGCGGAATGAGACGTTGTTAATGAAGACGATGCCGTAGATTCCAATATGGTTAAACTGCACAATATTTCCTATTGTTTCAAATTGATTATAGACTGTTAATTTCTCTCTCTCTCTCTCTCTCTAATCGATTAATGCCCGTTTCTACCATTATAAATCTAATCGACGATTAACTCGCAAATCGTATTAGCCAATTAGCTGAACTGTGACCAACTCAATGGAATTGATCGTCGATCATATTTAAACCATGATGATAAAAACGAGCATAAGATACCTAAATACTTCTAAAGTTTGTCTTTCTTCACTATATTCGTTATATCCAAGATCAATCAGCATATCTTCGACTTCATCATCGATACCGTGCTCTTTTACATAAAGAAGAATATCCTCATCGATATCAAGTTTCTTCAAAAAAGTGATTATTGTCGCTGTAACTGGCTTGATCTGTCCTGGCCAATTCAGAATTCCTGGAACATCCACGCCGCTCCACAGAAGTCGGCACAGTACCCTTTCATCCTGAGACACCAGTCCACACGTAACAATATTCCAGCATTGGTTTTCAGTTAAACCGGCGACTATGAGATTCCATATCAATTTCACGTCTAGTTTCCTTGACCACATATCTTTATTGTTCACTACGTTCATATCTGCCCCAAAATCTTGGAAATATTCCAATTCCTCAGAATTGAGACTAAGGAGACCATATTTGAACACTTTCATAATTTTATGTGGAGACATACCTGAAATTTATTGATTAATGTTCAAATATGACGATAAGAGGAGTATTTCCAGAAGAGATCTTGATACCTTTTCTTTCTAGTTCGACTAAAATACGTTCATTATATATTCCACTATGGATAATAGAGTGACATGATTCAAGTGATGCATCACATTGCACATCGTTACATGGATATATGGGTAATAATAATTTAATCTTGTACTGCCGCATAAGTTTGTCTCTTAGTAAGCCGAGCAATTTTTCCTTACTCCATCCATCATAAAGTAGCATTCCCTTATTTGTTAATTTTATATGCAGCTCAGGTATTTCCTCTGCATCCATTGCACTTCATAAGTTTGACAGCTTTAAACGAGTCAAATAAGAACGTAGGTTGTAGAAATATCGCAAATGTCAAAATGCAAGCCGACTATTTAGGCAGTTGTTACAAATGTCTATTTTTTTTATACACATGAGAGAAATTTGTTTTATATATATACACATATGTGGAATGATAACCCACGTATCCAGAAAATGTTATATTTACAAACGAATAAATTATATAATATAATAATGCACAATATTACTTAGATATCACCGTGATGTGTAGAGATCTCCTGATAAAGTACATACTCGCCGCTAGTATACATTCCAACGGCATAGTATATATTTCCAACGCGACACATGCTGTACGGTCTAAAAATTAGCACATAATATAGACAAAGTAGCGAAGCAGAATCCTTAGATACATTTTTACAGTATGATACACGTTCTCCGGATGTAACAACGATATGCGTCAAGCGCACGCGTATTGTGCAGAATATAAAAAAACAATCGGAAAGGCTTTAAAAATGTTTGAGCTACCGCTACTTGTACAAAAATGTGAATAACGGAACTATTCGTACAAACATCTCATCGAACACTACGGCCTTTTCCTTACGGTACATCTGTAAATAGTACAATGTATTTACATGAACGCAGTAAATTCAAGATTCTTATTCCATATGTTAATGGTATCTAACAATAATCCGTACGTGTTACAAGCAAATACATGCAGATCTCTCGATAAGTTTTGATAATATCTGAATAATATCTGTAGCATGTTTAAAGCGATGATGTACTGTATCCAGTCTCTTTCGCGTTACACGCGATGTTTCTCAGATTTATTTCCCGCGTCAAACAGTGTGTACACTGTACACGTGTACACGTTCGTCGTAGCAAGCGTATGAACTTTCCGTATATTCACAGTCGATTATAGCAGGCTACAGTAACAATTTGAATACATGTCCTGCTGTTGATGATCGTTGACACCCAACTGCATTCCCCTTTTTCCCATTCGATGCCTTGCAACACCCATGGTGCCGTTGTCATACAATCGGGCTGAGTGAGTATCCCAAAGACCAGGTGTTTGTATTATCTATCGAATGCAAAATGTTATAAAATATTAATAATAAAGTAACACCAAGATTTTTATAATTATGTGTGTTATTGAGAAGTGTAAAAACAAAAATATATATGAAATTATAATAGTTACCAGTACAAGCAAGTTTGGACATACTTTTTGTACGAGTTCCTCAAAGCAACATTTCACACCATCTGCCGTTTTTGCACTGCTCTCAATATACAGGGTCTGATGTCTTCTAGCAAACTGCAGGCCTTCCTCGGTGCTTACTTCTCTGTTTGGTAAGTCTATTTTATTACCTACTACCATTTTGACAATGTCCGTTTTATTACAGTACGTATTTAACTCGTTGAGCCATGTCTCTAATTTTACAAAAGTATTTCGATCTGTAACATCGTACATTAAAATAGCACCTTGGCCATCTCTGTAATAGCTTGGTGTTAAAGTACGAAATCGTTCTTGACCCGCGGTATCCTGTAATAGGAATTAAACTTCATTAAATCTGAGATAACAATGCTGCGTAGATCTTTTTCTCATGAATCGAATCACGATACAAACCCAAATTGCGAGCTTCACAACATTGCCATCGATGGAGATCTGTTTGGTTTTGTAGTCCATACCAACTGTGCTCTGCATATTTTCATAGAATTCATCCTCGGTGAATCTCAGGAGTATGCTGTAGATAGCGCAGTGTGTCATTAATCTCACGTATCCTGATGTAAGAGCGTAACGATGACTCAGATGTTCGTACCTCGATTTTCCTACGTTAGATTCGCCTATCATGAGAATCTTTAGTATCGTTAGATAGTCCTCCTGATCCATGACGGCGTGATCACCTGACTGCGATATTCGAATGAGACGAACGCTCGATTGTTCTCTCTCCTCTAAATAACGCGTCAATTTATACACATTAATATTAAACACCGCTGCTCATGGTTCTAGCAATCAACAAAAAGTACGTCACAGAGTAGAGGAGTAGGGTGATGATCGAACGATTAATCGATGTTCGATTCTCATTTTGTTGGTGGATCGATTGTCTTTTCGATCGCGAAAGGTCGCGCCAGCGTTTCCGCTGCGAAGAGTTTTGGAACAGGTGAAAATCATTCTGATGATTTTGGTATTACTCAAAGAATCATTAATAACGAGTGACTTTTCGTTTGCGGAAAATGTCCCCCCCCCCCTCCCGCAAGCGTTATAATTGCTGTTATAATTAATTGCTGGTACGAGTGCAGTATGGTGTAGCGGTGCAGTGCAGAAGAGAGGTAGGAAAAAGAGAAGGCGGAGGAGATTGGAAAGAGGAGGGGTGCGCGGTGCGAGGACGAATTTTTGTCACTATCTACGGGGAGTAGTAGCGACGATGTAGTGGCGAAACTAACCACGAACTAAACAGAAGAAAAAAGATGGCCGCCGCGAGGCTGCCATGAAGGGGCCGCGTCGCTGCTCGCGCTCGCGGAAATGGGACATCCGAGTGTTATCGTCGTCTTAGTGAGAAGTGTCAAGCGAGTGATCAACGGCGAGAGTGACGTGACGAGGGAGTAAGAAGCTAACGGTGATACGGAGCAAAAGAGCGAAGTGCGGTGGCACATCGCGTCACACCGCATTCGACAACTCGACGACGACAGGAACGGTGGCAACGACGACGAAGAAGACAGACCAGCCGGAAATACGCGAAATGGCATCCGACGGGTGAGGTTCCGACAAAAGATCCCTCCGCACCGAAATGTGTGATCTGTCTTGCACCCGACTGCACCCGAGGTGCAGCGCGCTGCTCTAGGGAAAACGCACGCACGATGGGCCGATGGTGTTCACAGATCGATAGTGAATTTTTTTTTGCAGTCACCCGTCCCAGTTTTCTCCCTCCCTCCCTCTCCTTTCGTCTCTCTTTATCTTTCGTGATCTCTGTCGCTCTTCGTCATTGTATAAACAGAGAGAACGAGAAGAGGAGACAGAAAGAAAGAAAGAGAGAAAAGACTCGCCGCCATCGCTTTCCTAATGATAAACGAGTGATTTCCCGCTGCGCTTGTTCCTTCGCGAAACGCGCTTTCGCGCTGAAGTTAGCCGTCGTCGCGATTGGGCGGGTCTCTCTCTTTCTCTCTCGCTCGTTCTGTCCGTTGCGCGTGCATTTTCGTAGTCCGCGATTTAGGCTCGTCCACGTTACATAGCTCGCGCTTTTCCACCAGATATCACGCCTTCGCGTTTCCCTTTCCGCAGCCGTCACTTGTGTCTCTCTCGCCTTCTGCCCTTTTTTCCTCTTCTTTCGCAAGCAAACGTGCGCGCTCCGCACATACGCTCTCGATCTACGCGCGGATGGATTTCCGCGGCCTATTTCAGCCAATTAAACGGCCAGCATGACATCAGAGCAGAAAGCGTCTCTCTCTCTCTCTCTCGTTGCATCGCGGTCCAACATTCCTATCAATTTGCGGACCCGTCGGGGGCGGGGTGAAGCGAACGGGCGAAAGCACCCTCCTTCCTTCGTTCGCCCCGGATTTATCGGTCTCGCGCGCCTTCGTCGAGAATAATCGCGCACCACGAATCTTAAGCGGCCCCTTTTCGTCCCCTCCACCCCTCCTCCTGCCCGTCTATCTGTCCGTCCGTCCATCCATCCATCCATCCATCTGTCCGTTCCGTGGTAAGGGCGATTTTTTCCCCGTGGTCGAGTCGTTGCGCGATCACTCGCGTTCCGCCCGACGTTCCAATTAGTTCCCCGATATTGCTGTCGGGCTGCTGGTGCACGTACTACTACTACGTGCTCGCGGTGTGCGATATCTTTCTCCTTTATTCCGACGAGATCGCCGTTCCCATCGCGGTTACGGCGCTCGGATGTAAAAAAAAAAATAATGGACGCTGCGGTACTATCAGTCTCTCTGCATCGATGCGACGACGATGCTCGTGTCCGCGAGTTACGCTCGAGATACTTTTGACATATCGATCCTGCCTTATGACTGTCTCTCCCTCCAAGTGCATACGCGCCACTTGTAAACGACCTAAAGACGGTTCCGAGAGCGTGTACTCCGTAGGAAGTGAAAGTTTAAGGGAAAAGAGTGATTTGCAGCGGTTGCGTAAGATTTGATACGGTTTCGAGCCCAGTAGGGATTCGCGGTCGGAGGAGATTATTCTTCTTTTCACGGGAAATGTTAACGGATGACAATTGCAGTAGGATGGAATGGGTGGAGATCATAGAGCCACGCACCAAGGAACACATGTACGCTAACCTGACCACGGGAGAATGCGTTTGGGATCCTCCGCCAGGTGTACCAGTGTAAGCTATTCATTTATGCATATCGCTTCTTAGGCAGCAGCTAATTCCTGTGCACAGTACGTTGCAAAACTGTCAGAAAAAGCTTATCAAAGGTATCCATTAGATATTTCAACCGACAGAGTATCTCTTCTAAAATATCCCCCCCCCCCCCTTTTTTTTTTTTTTTTTTNAGTACTACCATTCATATTCTGTAAGCTGACTAGATTAATGCCTGATTAATGTCGTTATAATGAATTGATCAGATGGGTATCTAATGCCATTATAATTCGTGTAATGGATCGCTATGGTGAATTAGAGTGCGCTTGATAACATGTGTCGGTTAATTATTTGAAAGTATATCGCGATGCCATTGTAATTATTTTAGAGAAAGTCTTAGGGAGAAAGTGTCCTGCATATACAACGTGTATACAATGTTCCGTTTAATAATTTGTAGAAAAAAGACGGACAACAATCAGTGGTGGGAGTTATTTGATCAGAACACCTCGCGATTTTATTATTACAATGCGACATCACAGAAAACCGTGTGGCACCGCCCGACCGACTGTGACATCATACCACTGGCGAAACTTCAGGTAAGGGGGACATTTGCTCTATCACCGGTACTTGATTTAACACTTCTTACATTTTGGGGTTTTATGCTTGAGTCATATTAGATTGTGATCAAACAGCCCGAGATAAGAACATCCGATCCGATTGATACCCAGCGGAATCTGCTCGTGAGTCACGTAAAATCTGTAAGCCCGGCGTACGGTTTTACGCGTATGTGCGCGCGCGCATGTTTATAGACGCACGGAATGATTTGTGAGTTTCTTCGGGTAACACAGAACTCGCGTATCTTAGAGTGCTGGAGATATAAGTGTGCAAGCGTCTGCTCTCTTCTCGGCTATAAATAGACGTTTGTAGCGGGGAGAAAAAAAACCCTGGTTTACATTATACCATCGTGCCACGAACTTCTCTCTCGCGATTATGTTATTTGTCCGTTTGAGGAGAAAAAGGAAGATCGAGTTTGACAAACGACCGCTTGGATGTCCCACGGAATGCAATTGTAACGCCCACCTGTACACATATCTATTCTGTGTGTGCGCTATTGTGTCGAGATTAGTGTCTCCTGCCAATACGAGAATTACGGAACTCGGTATATTACGTGGAAAGAAATGCGTTACCACTGAAACTGAACATTGGACTGAATTATTGAAGCAAAACATAGCAGTTTTAATGATACTTCCTATTGAATAAAATTCACTCCGATCGCGCTGCCGCTCGAACTGATTCTTTTTCTATGTACATTCAACGCGCGCTGTATGTAAATAATTACGTCGCGATTTTGCTCGTCACGTTGTATATAATTCGCACGCTATCTTGCCACTTCACAAAGATAAGACTGGCGTCTTTAATCAGACGAAGAGTATTATTTTGCTGTTAATATACAGTTGTTAACTCGCTCTGTTCGCATTGTAGACATTGAAGCAGAACACGGAACCTCCGAGCGGCAGCACGTCTGACGCTCAAAAAGTAACCGAGCCGAGGAAAAAGGAGTCGGTTTCGACGCAAACGCAGACTCCCTCAGTCAGCCGGTCGACGCGATTCAATCACCAAGAGAGTCCGAATTTGGCTCCGACGCTGGTAAATTCAATTTCTTCACGATGACTGCGCGACAGCATATCTCGTGACGAGTTTTTTCTTCCGCAGCAAGTTGGCAGCGCGAACAAAACGCGAACTTCTACGGTCGGCGTCGACCTTCAGACATCCCCTCCCTCCCCGTCTCCGTCTTCGAGGCGTCATCACCACCACCATCATCATCACAATAATAGGCACCACAGGCACCATGAAGTACCTACTGCACGCAGGCAACACAATCACTCGCAGGACTCTGGCAGATCTAGCGACAGTTCCGTCTCGCACAGTAGAACTTCTCTGGAGTCGACCAGTTATCGTCTGTTGGATTCGCCGCACAGGCATCATCATCGTTCGGCCGCACAAACGCCGGCGAGCACCGCGCAATCGTCCCCTCGGCAGCACAGCGGCACTTTAGAAACCAGGTGCCACAAAAGTGGCACTTTGGAAAGCGTGAAGAATCAAAAGTCGGTGTCGTTAGGGGAACCACCGCCATTGGGCCTGTCACTTTCGACCAGCACGCCGCTTTTCAAGAAGAAGACGTTCAGCGATCCACAACGCGAAGGTAGGACGGGGAATTTGGACCTGGACAAAAGTAAAAATGGTAAGGGGGTCACGTGATAATCACGTGATATGCACTCGTATCTTAATTATAGGATCGTCCGAATTTCATCTTCAGATAACCAATTCTTGGCCAATGAAACGCATATCTGAGTATCTGAACTTGAGAGGATCTCAAGATCTGACTGTGAATTCAGCCTTTCAGCTGTGCTGTTTTCCCGACGTTTCAGGTAGGGAAAGTAGCAGAGGCTCGTACGGCCCCGAGCCGAGCACCTCGCCGTATCGCGAGTCGATGATGGAATCCCGAGTCTTCAGGCAGGAAATGCCGCCATATCGTCCGCCGGAGGTACAGCTTAGCCATAGTTACAAGTCGCAGGGTGAGAAATACGGTTCCTTGGTGGAGAGCGGCAATCGTTACCACAGGGAGATGCAGCATCACCGTGAACGCGTCAATAGTCTCGACAAGACGAACCCGCCAGCCTTTTATCCAAGTTCCATGCATACGAGAAACGTGAATAAGCAGGATAATACGGGTAGCATAGGTAGGAGGCATCACGGCTGCTCGGCGTCACTCTCGGAAGCGAATGTCAGGGACATGTATGGTGCAATGTTGTCCGAGAGGAACGATCCGGCCAAGAGTCTCGGTCGAGCGGCCGGGGTGCACAGTAGTAACTCATCGAAGCAGAGAGGAGGCCTTGAAGCTGTGGAGAGAGACCGGGAGAAGGAGTACCGAAGAAACACAGCGTGCAATAATTCACTGGACTGTAAGCGAGATTGTCTTCTTTCGCCACCTTCCTGCAACACGCGTAATACATGGTGGATCGTTGTTTTTTGCAAAGGTGTACCGCAGCCGTTGGGACGCAGTTACAGTTTCGTACAACAGCAGAAGCAGCAGCAGAAGCAACAGCAGCAGTTGCAGCAAGCTAGCAGGAGGAGGGAACGGGACGACGATTCCATGCACGAGCGTTACTTGATCAGTCAGACCCACGATCAGTCCAGGCAGCGACTCAGTAGCAACACTAGCAGCAGCAACAGCAGCAATAGCAGCAGCAACAGTGCCGTAGGCGAAGAGACCGAGGGTCACGCCGAGGGCGACAACGGCAAGAAGAAGAGGAGCAACGGAAATCCCAGTCCGCCACCGTCGCCGTTCTACGGTAACCTTCTGGCCGATGCCGATCACTTGTTACCGTTGCAGCATTATATCCTCCAACAAGCGAAGTTATCAGGTAAAACGAGTCTTCCTTGTTCCCACGGCGGAATTGACGATATGTTATTCCTTCCCCGTATAGGTTGTTACAAGTTCGGGGATCCTCTACTAGTGGAGGAAGGGGAAGATTCGCTGGATGAAGAAGGTGGCAGGGGCGAAGGTATCGGCGGGAGAGTCGATGACGATTCGGACGATCAGTTCGCCGACGACGAGGCGGCCAGCAATCAGGGCGATTCTTCCAGTCAAGAGTATCTCGAGGATCATTATGCCGGTGAGAAAAATTCAAAAACAAAAAAAAAAGAAACGCAAGATCTATTATTCGATGTCTTCGTGATTTCGTCCCTCTTCTTTCCGCTTTAGACTTAAGAAACTACGACACCGCGGGTCTGGCGACTTACTACAACACGGCCGACACTTTGACGAGGCCGCGGCCGCCCTCGCCGCCGAACATCGTGTCCCAGATAGAAGCGAGAGACAGCGTGGTGACCACGAGGCAAGTCTCTTTACCAACGGCCACCTCGGTGACCTCAGCCGCTACTCCGAGTATCGGCACGACGATTGACAACACTGACCTGGACGAAGCGCGGCGGGATGACAGCATGGGCGGCGGCGACATCGAGAAGTACGCGCAGGACAATCTCAATCTGAACTGCGGCAGACCGAAGGGACTGAGGTTGTTGTTTCGAAAGAAGTTCAGCGTGCGGGATATTCTCAGCTGGTCCAAGGACCCGATTCCGCAGCCCATGCTCGCGATGGTGGACGGCGAGAAGTTACTCAAGCGGGAAGCTTGCAATCTGTTCCGCCTGGTCCAGGTGTACATGGGCGATCGTAAGGCCAACGTCGGCATGACGCTGGACGGAGTCGCCATGGATATTGTGAACACCGCGTTCTCGAAGCCGCCGTTGCGGGACGAGCTCTACGTTCAGATCTGCCGGCAGACGACGGAGAATCCACGGAAGGAGAGCCTGCGACGCGGCTGGGAACTAATGGCTGTGTGTCTGGCCTTCGTGCCGCCTAGCGCCACGTTCGAGCCCTACCTGGAAGGTTACATGAACAGGCATCGCGATCCCAACTTCCAATTTCCCGAGGTCGCTAAATGGCCGATACACGTGCAAGTCAGCCATTATGCGACTGTGGCCTGCAGGCGATTGCAGCGGATCGGCGCGCACGGCAAACGACAACCTCGCAAGGCCACGGTGGAGGATATCGATCAAGCAAGGGTAATTGATTGTGCCCGGTGTGTCTCCCGGGTGTGGAATGACTCATCTGTATTTTCCAGTTAAAAATCCTTTGATATCTTGCACTCTCCAATCTTGTATGTCTGAGTACTAGAATGTTGCTAGTTTTTTTTTTTTTTTTTTTTTTTTTTTNTTAATTAACAACACGAAATGTGTTAAACCACGGATTTTCGTGATGTATATAAATAGTGCTAACTTCGACTTCAATTGTCTCGGTATGGTCAATTTTCTGATAATTTTACATATCTATTGATCGCGTGTTAACATACTGTCAAATTTGGAAAAAATTCTTAAGAAAATTAATTTACGGACCAACTAATTTCACATGATAATGAAGTAAAATTCTAACGCTTCTCTCGTAGATACAAATCTTCCGCGCATCCATGTTCGGAGCGACGCTCTCGGAAGTGATGGCTTTGCAAAGGGACCGTTACCCGCTTAGAGAGTTACCATGGATACAGACTACGTTGACACGTCAAGTGTTGGTGCGCGGCGGCACCCTGACCGAGGGTATCTTCCGAGTGTCCGCGGACGCTGACGAAGTCAGCGCATTGAAGTCTTGTCTGGACAAATTCGAGGACGGCGCGATTTTGGCAGCTTCCCAGGACGCCCACGCGCCCGCTTCTCTGCTGAAATTGTGGGTGCGTGAATTGTATGAGCCGTTGATACCGGATTCCTTCTACGTGGAGTGCGTGTCGATGCGACACGACGACCCGGAAGCCTCCGCGGCCAACGTAGCTGCTCTTGTCGATCGTCTGCCGGATCTTAACCGTCGTGTGTTGTGTCACCTGATACGCTTCCTTCAGGTAAGAGGACACTTTACTCGATCGTACCAATAATCGTTGCTGAAAACTTACCTCAGGTGAGAGATAATCAGGCTTGGTATATAAATAATAGTTGTTACTTGAAACTCGTCTCAAGAGAGATATTCAAATTGCAATTTCGAGTTACTCTGTTGAATCGCGATTACAAGTGTGATGCCACGTGTAATCCGATTGAGAAACTTGGATCAAACTTTTTCTGTATTCTGAGTAGTATCTCACGTCACACACAAGTAACTACTATTGATGCGGGCCTTGGAGTTTTTCAGCTGAATCACAATGTCACAATATATTACATGATATTTAAAAGAAAAGGTCAAATCTAACACTAAATTCTGAGTATCTCACGTGAGACAAGTTTCAAGTAGGGGGCCCCAGAGTGTTACCCCCGAGTGAAGTTCCCGAAAAAGTTTCACGAAATTTGTCTGTGATTTTCAAAACGTGTACTCAGTCGTGTGTAATTATGTAATTCAAATGTCCCATGTATGTCGAGCGGATTATTCAAGTAAAGTTTAAAAACGACGTAGTTACAGTATTTAATGCGCGATGAAAGTGCGAGCCTAGTATAGCATGCACTTCTTTGAATAAAGTATGTATGCGTTACGCCGTATGTGAAACGACTTTGCAGATATTCGCTAGACCCGAGGTGGTCGCCCGCACTAAAATGGACGCCAATAATCTCGCGATGGTGATGGCGCCGAATGTATTACGATGCACCTCCCAAGATCCTCGAGTAATCTTAGAGAACGCACGGAAGGAAATGGCCTTCGTCCGTACTCTCATCGAGTCACTAGACACCGCTTGGGTCGATGATCTTCACTGACCATCCTATCGCGTTAGAGAAAAGTCCGCTCTAGACTACTATGCCAAATGAATCAGCTGTATAGTCACGTCTATTGTTAGTTATCTCTCACTGTTCTCGATTTGTCTTCACTCTTCTTGTTTGTTCCATTGTCACCGATCCCCCCCCCCCCCNCCCATAGTCCTATATAAATGTTCGTAATGGTAATTTAGTGCTAAAGTCTTACCAAGCTAATCACCAACCCGAGACCTTGATTTTCCGATCCTTATTTCCTATTTATTATTTATATACAGATTCTATGTTATGTAACAGATAGAGATTATTAGATTATATTATGTATATCGCTATATATCATATTATATATTTTACCAACCCTTGTTACCGCGTCAAACAAACGTGGACGGCTTTTTTACTCGATCATTGTTGAATCTCGTGTAAGATAAAAAAAAATACATCATGTGTTACCGTGTATAGCTGCGCTCCGCGATGATCTTTTTGTATAAGCGACGGATTAACGTGTAAAACGTTTGTCGAGGAGTAAATACTGCGAAAGATTAGCAAGCTGTACTTGTGTGTTTTTTTTTTTCGATTTCCCTGTCCTTGCCCACTAAACTACAAAATGAAAGAATTGCAAATATTTATAATTAAAAGTTCAGTATTCGTAACTTCGCACAATAAGCAAATTTCCGGTAAAGCGCCTATCGATCGTCACGCAATTAAATGTGGTCGAACTGTATTGAAAAATATTTGACTCTCGTTCGAATGCTGAATTCATCTTGGTTTTCGAAATTTTATTATATAGAATTATCATATTTTAAAGTTGGACCTCGCAGGTATTCAGAATAGTTCGAATTTTAACCAAGTAACCGATAAATGTTGATTAAAAAAAGTTCGAATCTTTGTTGTGGACGTTTAATTCGGAAGTCTCCGCTACGGGCGCTACTTGCCGAAAAATTGAGATCGTGGTACGACTCAACAGTAGGGTCAGAAAGACGCCTATTTTATTTTGTAAGTAATATAATTCTAAGATCAGATGCATTATTCTCTTTATTGAAACATAGACAATAAGCTATAACTTCAGCAAAAATGACGATAGCGATTATTTCATAACTCATACAGCACAAGTAATCAAAAGGCATCTTCGACAGATGCATATATTTTTAATTTAAAATTATTATATATAAAATCATCCAGCTCTGCCCGTTGAACAACGCCCATAGTACTTTAATATTACTTCTGTAAATATTGAAAATATATTGGATATATTAATTGGTTATAACTTGTTACTGTTGATAAAAATGCAGACTACATATCTGAATATTTTCACTTTAATTGATTATAAAATTAATAAACTGGTCATATGTTACCTTTTCCACATCTTTTTGCACAACCCAATCCTCCTGGATTAGTGTAATCAACATTGTCCGTACCGCAAACAGGATTATATTCTTGCGTCACCTGTTTTTTAAGATCATATATGTAACATTTTAACAAGATGAATCAATATATATATATATATATATATATAACAAATCTCGTTAAAATAAACGGAAATATATTAGTAATCTTTCAATCATTAAGATTTTCTCGAATAAACAGACAAAATATAGTAGAATTTTATTCCACATTTTTCACTTATCAAAAAGTTTATATATTTTAAGGAATAATCAGTTATAATTACCGGACAAGATCTGACACATTCGTCGAATACATTTTCACGAAGAGGAGTCGTAGTCATACTTCCACTCGTTGATTCTGTAGTAGTAGTGGTAATAGTTCTTTGTTGTTCATTTGAACTTTGACCACCAGCCGTTGGTCCATCAAAAACGAAGCCATCTACTTGGGACAGCTTATTCGAATTCTGAAAGGCATCTCAAGTCAAACTCTTGGATAATAATAATAATAAATAATAATAATAAATAATAAATCTCAAATCGATATGTAAACAAAATTGCAATGAGAATAACAATTGAGATGACTAAATTATTTTTCTTTAATTTCTCAAATTTTTGTAGGATATTAAAATTCTCCAAATTCTTTATATTATTTAAAAATACACAATTATGGTCTTACTTGTGGATATGCGGTGATAAAAAACGGTGATACAACTGCAATCATCATCATTTTTCGATCGTTAGCACGATAAATACACATAAGAAACGACCCAAGCAGCAATATATATTAGCAATATATATTAATATCTTTTAGCGATTGATATATTTTTTAAATAAATTATTATAAATAGACATAATCAAACTTCAAGATGTATATATTTGAATTAAAAAATAGAATTGTAACAAAGCAGCATAATTGTGATATTGCGACACTTTTGCTATGTAAGATACATATTAAGTGTTCTAAAACGTATATTCTTCGAACGTTCCCACTTTGAATATAACGAAACCAAGTGAACGTAAAGCGAACGTTTCTCGAACGTTTACGTGCTGCTTGGGGATATGTCACAAAGCAGTTACAATTATAAAAATATATTTCTCACCTAACAACAAGTGAAACAACATTTTAAAAAGGTTAAACCTTTAAGAATCCGTTGATTGCTGAGAAGAATGTACGTGAAGACCCACCGAAGGTCGACGACTCACTATTTGAAAGTGTCAGCTACGCTTCCTTTTATAGCAGCGGTGCCAACCACAGTTACAAGCAACTGGTGTGCGCTCGGATCTTATACGTACGTGTGAAGTTATAATTCTTACAAAAACTATATAATTATGGGTAACTACGTTTTAGCTTAACGTTACATTTCAGTCAGTTATTTTAAGTTATACATATATGTGTGTGTATGTATGTATTTTTGCAGGATATTAAAATTCTCCAAATTCTTTATATTATTTAAAAATACACAGTCATGGTCCACTTATTATCCACGTGCGGTGAGAAGAAACGATGATACAACTGCAAGCATTATTATTTTACGATCATTGGCACGATAAATACACATAAGAAACGACCGTATATATGTAATAATAATAAATAAACTGGATTTTCCCAGAGTAATGTTATATAAACTATTCACCAGATGCTAATTGTCAAGCTTTCTGACAAGAAGACTCGTTATGCCTACAAGGTCAACAATAAGAAACACATGAATCATAGAAATTAATTACATACGCTATTGTTGGGAAAGTTTATGAACGCAGATCAAATAATCAGTTGTGGCTGTTAGCAATCACGATTTTAGTTTCTTCTACAAATTTTTGAAGGAAAGGTTCTCGAAGGAAAAATGATAATGATTGCAGGTTGTTTAATGAACCTCTCCAACTTATTCTTCTCTGATCAATAATTATTAATCTTTTTTAAGCTTAACGTTACATTTCAGTCAGTTATTTTAAGTTATACATATGTGTGTGTGTATGTATGTATGTATTTTTGTAGGATATTAAAATTCTCCAAATTCTTTATATTATTTAAAAATACACGATAAGAAACGATGACATAACTGCAAGCATCATTGTTTTACGATCGTTAGCACGATAAATACACATAAGAAACGACCGTATGTATGTATGTATATATGTATGTATGTATGTATGTATGTATGTATATATATGCTGCCATACAATATAAATTGTATGAAGAATATAATAAACTGCCGGTTCAATTACTGCTCAGTTGGCTATACGGCTCGCAAGCTCTAATTACCCTTACTTCGAGCCCTTGAAAAAAATATTACAAAATTATCAGATGGGAAACTTATGGGAAATGTTAAAAATTTACGAAATTGTAATTGTAAGAGTAATTGTGCAAAATTAATCTCCTTTTTTTCTCTTTTCCTAGTATTGTCTATTACATCTATTGAACAATACATCCCATTGAACCGAGAGATTTTGGAAAATTTGAAAAATAGGACAAACGAGAGATTTGACAGATGAAAATATGAAAGTTAAAAAGTGACCATTTTTAATTAATAATATATAATCAGTAATCGTTGAAATTAAAGAGCAAAAGTTTGGATTTGGTAGTGATATTTAAAAATTACTTTTTTAAGGAAATGTTATACGTAATGACAATAATATTAAAGGGCAATAAAACCGACATGTCTTACCTGGATTACATTGTTTTGCGCAGTTAAATCTACCCATATTCCAGTAAGTAACATTATCAGTGCCACATACTGGATTGTACTCTGCAGTAGCTATACAAGGACAATCGGTTGTTGGCGTGGTACTGGTTGTTGGATTATTGGAATTACCAGAAATCCCGCTCGACCGGTCGTTTTGTGGAAAGGCCAAGGCGATCAACAAAACCAAGGACAACACTTGCGCAACTGTAAAGCAAAATGGCGAATTATCAATTAAAATAAATATAAAACAAACATGATTGTAAAGTGCAAGCGATGCAACATAATAATTATTATTACTATATTACGTCTCTCATCGCCTTTCTAATAAGTCGTATTATATGCGGAATATATCAAAAACGTAATTTCCCATAATTATATATATAGTTTTTCTAAGAATTCAAGTTTCTTGCCTTTAAAATGTGCCCTTCGGCAAATTATTATTATACTTACATACGATATACTTCATGATTATTTCCGTATGCGATCAATCCAAACCGAAGGAAAGTGATAGCGTTTTTTTCGATGAAAAAAAATAAGATCGAAGATCCAATTCAGTTATGCAAGATGAACTTTGACAAACTGTTTCTCGCGCTGAAGATGTCCGTCTATTTATCTTATCCGTTCGCCCCGACCTGTTTCCTCATATAGAAAAAATGGATTCCCACCACTTGGCGCTCCCGCTATAAGCATAATGCTTCACAATTGCTTCGACAGCTTTGTACGTAAATATCAATACGTGAGTCCTATTACTTATTTATGTAGTTTATATAATTTTTTTTATATAAATCACACTAATACGGAATATTGATTGGTTTTCCTTATGTTTGCGATAAATGTATGTGATATGTGTAATAAGTAGACGGCAGACGCAAACATTATTTAATGGATAGTTTATTATAACTACTTATAAATTATATCGTCTAAACAGAAATCTCTCCGTACATAATTTAACATTACCCAACCCTTTTCTGCGATGCGCTTAATAACAAAGATATATCGCGATGAAATGTAACAAGATACGGTAAAATATATATATATATATACGCTCCTGAGTATCATCTTGCATCATTGAAAACGATATTAATATGGAAAAATATATGGGCATCCCCAATCGCTTGCAACTGGCGGGGATATCCGTATTGCGTATAGCGATCTTTCTATATATATATATATATATATATATATATAAATGTCGTCATCGTCGTACATGCGCGAACGAAGTTACTTAATAAACACTTGGTCTTTCACCTTCTTTTGAGGTCAGGAGCACGATGTTCGAGTTAAGATCATAAACCATGGGGGCGCTCTGTATATGGATTTCGGATAAGATTTCACCTTCGAAACATATGTTACTGTCATATGAAATTTTTTACTTAACATTTATATACGCATCTATGTGGACGAAGTAGTGTACATGTAACTTTAAAAAACTGATACTATATACATATAGCTATGCTGCATATTAATCTTAAAGCTATCATCGTAGAACGTATCATATATATTATGTTACAACTCAAATTCTTTTCTCTATATATACATAATTACCGACTTTTCTTTTTTTACCTTGTATAATACGTACATAAAAGTACATATAAATACATATATGTATATATATGCAAACACATGGAGAATAGTGGCTAGTTTCACCGGTGTATTTGTAAAATATATATTGTTATTCTTTCTGACGTTTCTGAAGCTTCAAAACATTATTATTTGCCATGAAACTAGACTGAATTTAACACGATATTGTATAATAACAAATATTATTGATTCATTCTCGAAACAAATATATAAACATTTAATTTGACTGACGATAGAATATGCGACATACAATTAAAGTTTTGATCGTTCACTCATTGAAACAACTTAAAAATTGAGGAACGTCTTAGGATACACATTTTGTGCAACAATCTTTTAAACCGTTAAAAGCACTTTCACAATTGTGCTAATTTAAACTAAACATCAAAAATAGGTACGATATTATACGGCACTGTAAAAAAAAAAAAAAAAACCTTAAATACAAGATAGTTCATCTAAAATTAAAATTAAAAATTATTTCTTCTTTGATCCTATTAGGAATAGTGACAAAATTCCGCTCGACATTTTAATGTTTGTTTTGATTATTTACAACACAAGTGGGACATTGTCGATTAGTTTATACAGACGATTCTACACGCACGTAATATGCACGATTAAGATCAAATTTAGATTGTGACATCTAAGATATGCGTTGACATAATCAGGTTTTCTGGCGTTTTAATCGACACGTTATTTGTATCGGTGGGATGTATTAAGAAAAAATAATGCATTAATAACAGAATAATTTACAGTGGAAATTATATTCTTCTGAATTTGTCTGTATATATGTGACTAAAAAATTTCTTTAACAACTGTAAAATGCTTAATCCTTTGCAATTGTTAATTGCCATATGAATACGAACAATGATCGACATGAATACAACACTGCATATGTGTTTGTAAATACATGTAATACATGTAATGCCTCTCTTGTTTATCTTATGAAAAGAAATATTGCGCGGAAATGATTAAAAAGCTAGAAAATACCGTCTTGCACATAAAAAATAAGTAATTTAATGCGCATTCTAGTTTGCATAAATCACATTTGACAGCACTATTAGCGATCTGGCAGTTAAAAGGAATGATAACATACGAGACATAGATCCGTCGCGATTTTTCAAGAATATTACGCATGTATTACATTCTGCTTGCAAATCTATCAATCTCAGCGAATCGCAGTAAATCTTACACCTCAACTTTCAGTTGTTTATCAAACGACCTCCTGACTCTATATTTATCTCACATTCAACTCACTGACTAATCCGTCCATTATCAAATTAATCTTCAAAGTTTTACCTTGATACAGTCTAAGATACATTACAATAATACCCATGTTATTAGTAGACATTTAAATGGCATTACTCATACCAATAAACCACAGTCATTGCCTACATGGAGACACACCAAGTTTATGACTGATTTGACTGATAAGCTGCATATATGGGCCCTGCCTTTTGTTTCGCCAAATCTGTAGCTTTTTTAGCAGCATCTTTTACCTTCTCTGCTCTACCTTGCAAAGAATGTTGGAAATCCTCTGCAAGACTTGGTTTTGCTTGAGTAATGCCATCATCTGTGGTGCTATGGCCAGCTTGCATGGAAAAACTTGTCTGAGAAAGTTGGGGATTTATAAACTGAGCTCTCTGAGGAAACATATTTGTAAGAACATAATTAAAGCCTTCCGACATTTTAGAACAGTTCTTTTTAAATCGATCCAATCCAAAAGCTTGAATCGCTCGGCTGAATCCAAAGACCTGACTGTCAATCCATGCTGACCTCTTGGCAACTGTCCATTCTGGATTTTCTTCAGAGATCTGATAAACTACTTTCTCAACAATACTCTGCAAAATAAAATAAACTTTGCTAGACTTATACATGTCTGACTTATATATATATATATATATATGCTTTATGTACATTTTGTGAATGTGTCTTAATTAATAATAATTTCCAACAAATGATTATTAAATATCAAGATATTAATAATTAACGTGCCAATTTCTAGTTTCACGATAATAAATAGATGATTTGTATTAACTTTGTTACATAGTATTAACTTACCATAACTTTGGTATATCCTAAGTTCCTTGTGTAAGTAGTTAAGGTTCTTGTTTCTGGATCAACAATACTCTCCTCCACAATCTTGACAATATTTTTACTAATGAATCTTTCTCCCCATTTTGGCACCCTGTTAGTTTTCGTTAGCAACCGTTTGGAATAGAGCTTTCCATTTCTGACTTCCCTCGATATTGTATCTTCACTAAGGACATGTGCACTGTAAAAGTACATTAGCTGAATCATTTTATAACATATGTTATGTAAGACTCATGACTGAGGGGGATAATATATATATATATATATATGACGTAATATATTACCTGTGAGGATTCGGATATCGTTGAAAGAAACCTCGTGCGACTTGGGTCCAATCGAATTGAAAAACCATAATGTGTTCATAATATTTCACCATTGTGTCGTGCTGCCTTTATCACGTAAGTGATTTTCTACGTAAGTTTGAGCCGAAGTGAACGGCAAAAATTCGTTTGGCTTATGGCAATGAGATCGAGATTGAGATTACGGTAAATACAATAGACAGAAATGACAGGAGTTTAGACTAGCGAGCGGAAACGCCACATATTGGGCATAGCGCACCTATGTGCACGATTCTGATCGATCACTCGTAGAAATTCTTTTCACCATTCAGCGTCTCACTCACGCACAGATTCATACAGTTTATGTCTCAGACTCGATAGATGGCAATACGAGAGAAAGAATCGACGTTCAAATAATAATCGACATAAGGACCGAAATCAAATTAAAAAATATCGAAGATAGCTTCTTTAATAGAAGAAAGAAACGAATCATTGATCGATCGGCCGTAGTGGAATGATGATTAGACGCAGTTAATGGCGTTTTGCTGACTCGTCCGGAGTCATCGTATTGCGTTCTGATTGAAATGCATCAATTTTTGATACACATACCAATTAGAAGGCAGTACGATGAGCCTGAGTCGGGTCGAGTCAGCAAATCGGAAACGCCGTAAGTTGAAAGCCCAGCCGACCGATGGTCCAATGAGAAAACGATCAATCGGGTTTTCTGATTGGATTATCGCTTTGAACTTAAGCCACACGATGCTTGTTTCCGTTGTTGTTTGCTGGACAGAAATACTGCGTTCTGATTGGCGCATTTCCAACAATGGATGACAATACACCAATCAAAACGCAGTATTTCCATCCAGCAAACAACGAAAATAAGTATCGTGTGCCGCTGGCTTTATTCTATTTGTGAGTGGTGTTGGGATGATACAAGGTCGACATGCTACCTGCCACTAGAAGGATCGAAGGAAGGAAGGAAGGAACGTCTCTTATTCTAACCTATAAACTTAAAGTGGAAAGCTATAAAGTTGAAAAGAATAAAACTTTTGACATATATATTCTCGCTAAAGCGTGCTAGGAATTATATATACAGTAACAACAACAGAGGAGGAAAAATAGAGCGCTTAAAAATTTCAGAAAGTGTTTTAAATCAATTTACGTTAAGAGTTTTGAAATGGAGACGATATTGGAGCAGCAACGACGATATCATGAAGAAAGGGAGCGGTTGATGGATGCAATGGTAAAGGAGATGTTGCATAAAAAAGCGGGACATCGTGAAAATATCAACTCGGAGCATCGACTGAAAATGCTGCTCGATCAATATACGGACAGTACAACGCACTTGCAGGATTTGTACGAAGATAAGGATGGGCAGAGGAAAGAAGAGGTATTTCAATATATATATTGCACTAAACATGAAGATAAGTGTAATATCGACCTGATCACAGAGAGGTCAATGGAAGTATATGTTTAACATTACATCAAATATTATATATGTATATATATTCAATTTTTTTTAGGTTCAAGCTCTCTCTGGTCCAAATGAATTCTCAGAATTTTATTCACGCTTGAAGTCTATAAAGGAATTCTATCGGCGACATCCTAACGAAATTAGTGTTCCTATGTCTGTCGAATTTGAGGAATTGGCTAAGATGAGAGAGAATCCGACAGAAGAGTTATCTAATCTCGTCGAATTTACAGATGAAGAAGGTTATGGAAAATACCTGGATCTTCATGAATGTTATCAGAAGTACATTAATCTCAAGGGGATAGAAAAGATTGATTACATAACTTATCTGTCAACATTTGATCATCTGTTCGATATTCCCAGAGAAAGGAAGAACGCAGAGTATCAAAGATACGTCGAGTCTTTGCTAGGATATTTGACGGATTATCTGAGCAGAGTGAGGCCTCTGTTGGATGTGAGCGTGGAGATTGAGGAAGCCAACAAGGATTTTCAGACTCATTGGGAGAAGAATACATTTCCTGGTTGGCCCAAGGAAGCTGGAAGTGCTCTGACTCACGTAGGAGCACATTTGGAACTATCTGCGTTTTCATCGTGGGAAGAACTGGCGTCCCTTGGTTTGGACAGATTGAAATCGGCCTTGATGGCATTAGGCCTTAAGTGTGGAGGTACGCTCGAAGAACGTGCACAGAGACTGTTCAGCACGAAGGGTGAGGCTTCCCTGGACCCTAATCTGTTGGCCAAGAATCGGAAGGGGAAGTCAGCCAAGGGCAGAGATTCGGAGAAGCAGAAGGAGGTCGCGCGACTCGAATCCCACGTGTACAGACTCGCGGAATTGGTGTCTGGGCAACGAGTGGCCACGAAGGAAAATGTACAGAGGAAGCAGGCGAGGACCGAGGGCGAGAGGGGAGATTCCGACGCGGAAGCGAGCGCGAGCGAGTCGGAGGAAGAGGACGACAACGAGGTGCCGTACAATCCGAAGAATCTACCCTTGGGATGGGACGGCAAGCCAATACCCTATTGGCTGTACAAACTGCACGGTCTCAACATCAGTTACAACTGCGAGATCTGCGGTAATTTCACGTACAAGGGCCCGAAGGCATTCCAGAGGCATTTTGCGGAATGGAGACACGCGCACGGTATGCGTTGTCTCGGCATCCCGAACACGGCGCATTTCGCGAATGTCACTCAGATCGAAGACGCACTCGCTCTGTGGGAGAAGCTCAAGGCTCAGAAGCAGGCCGAACGTTGGCAACCGGAGCAGGAGGAGGAATTCGAGGATTCCCTCGGCAATGTGGTCAATCGCAAAACGTACGAAGATCTTAAGAGGCAAGGCCTGCTGTAAAATGTATCATTGTACCTATTACGATTTTTACTTATCGATTGTGTACTTTTCTTATAATTATCTCTCATTTTCTTTTGTCATCCTAATAAAGTGTCTGATGAGAGCTCTCATACGTGATCGATTTGATAACAAGAACCCCCCACCATAGTTTTTTATTGTCCATTTTCTTCTTTGTTGTATTCCTCACTTATTTCTTCTTCATTTATCTCAATGATTGTAGAGACCGCATGCAAATATTTAATAAACTTTTTATTTGCTCGGTATTCTGTGTGTCAGATAGTCAAAGTATCGTCATGTCAGCGAATATTACATTTGGAAGGAACAGTCAATATACATGAAAGCGCATTAATTGCGGCCGCACATTCATTTTATATCTCAATGACAGTCGGGTATCTCAGACGGTCGCGGCGCGTAATACTGATGTCCATCTATCGCCGATATTCTTCACGCAGAAAATATAAGAAAATAATTCTCTGGATTTGTTGTTTACACCGGACAATTAAGGCTTCTCTTAAAGAACATACATCACGAAATTAAGTATCTTTACGCATGTATTCTGGACAACGTTTTATTCCGGTAAAATTTCCTATATATATACGTGTGTGTGTGTGTGTGTGTGTGCATCGTCCTGAATAAACGAAATTTCAAGGGACTTGTTTTCTTTTTCATTCATATGGGAATCGCGCGTCAACATATCGCCTTATTTATATTTCACAAGTAGAGCTCTTTAAATTACACCTCGCATCGCTGATCATTGCATAAGACTCGTATGTTATTAATGCTAATTATAGGCAGAAAGTGCACATATAAAGGATAGCTTTAAATAAAACTGAAAAAAAATATACCGTGTGTAAATATAGAAGAGAGAGTTGACTCTCGTATAGATACTATAAACATTATTGACATATTAGAGAGAAAAAAACGAGAGTATGAAAAACATTTTTGATCGTTTCCCTCTCTCATATCCGCACTTTCGGTCTACAATTATTATTAAAATTTGGCTGTGAAAAGCAACAACACTATTACTTCCGATCTGCCAATTCTGCGGTATCGAATAAAAATTTCTCATCGATATGTGTCCGAGTACTTGACACACACATATATATATGTGCTCTTTTAGTTTATATGTCACTTCCTCAGTACGAGCCTCGTTACATATTGAATCTGTTCAATTATTAAGATTAGTGCCTAGATTTACACTTAACTTCTTTTCGCAACCAAATTTGCAAATACTGAGCTCTAGAAGAGTTCTACACATATGAAATCTCCCATAAAAATATCATAATACGTATCGTAGAAACATTTTCAAACATCGTTTTTTCCTCCAGCCAATCAATATGAATGAAAGATTCAAGTCGTCATTCGAGAATATTTATAATGTATCATTGCGTCGGGGGAATTCACCCAGCTCGCGCGATTCCTCCATTCACTTCTAAAGGTCTGCATCTTGAAGCGTACGGGCCACGTGCATAGCCGGGCTTTCGCATATTGGACGCTGATTATAAAGCGATATCGCTGGACGAGAAGGGACGGATGCCTCACGATGCCTTACTTCAGCTTACTCGGCTTCTGGCTTCTTTTCTTCACCGCGGTCAAACTGGATGACATTAGAAATCTCAACATTTTTACCAACGTAATTGGCCTGAGAATCCGTCGTTGAGAAATGATGCGCGAACTCTGTATATATGTAGGTCAGATGTTAAAAAGGATCGAGAAATTTTCTCGCATTTGCGCGAGCGAATCTTACGAGAGGCTACGCTACATTTTGCGAAGTCTGTTAAATATGGATGGTAGCATGTAAATCAACTAATTGATCTCGATGCGCGCAAGGTTTCGTGTAATTTCTATATATACGCCGAACATGCCTGGGACGGCCAGAAACTTTGAGTCTTAGCGGTATCGTCCAAGATGTGTAAAGAGTTGTGTAGTGGAGCCCGTATCGATGAAATGTCCTCGTTAAAGTGGTATTGCGCAGAGAAAGGGAGACTTAGGCACAATAGGTCGCGCACATAGTCGGAGAAAACGTTGTTTCTCTGCGTCCTTTATTCGACGCTGTCTACGACCGCGCTGTCGTCAAGGGTGTGAAGCCAGTTGAAGATCATCATGTTCCTCTCGTACTTGGACAACTGATTCCCACGTTCCCTCTCGACATCTCGGACTGTCAACGCGTGATTTCGCTCCTTCCGTCCGATCAAGGAAGCACCGGGTACTCCTGCGGCTGTTCCGGGGACGAGCAAAGTGGTACCGTGTGAGGTCTGCGCCGCGGTAGCCGCCGCCTCCAGCTGGTCCAAATTGAATTCGCTCTGCGAGAGGCGCTCCAAAGCGCGGTACGTGGTCAGCAACCTGATGGAACATACCTGAGTGAATCGTCACTATTTATTCCGAGTTGAAATTTCGAGAGTGTAATTCAAGCCGTGATGCGCGAATGTATTAAAACTGGAAGACACCACTCTCTGCCATATATGAACCGAAGAAAGTGCTATTATCAGAAATAATTATCGCGAAATGTGTTTACTTGGCAAGTAATACTTATTTTCGATCCAAGTAAGAAATTTTCTAAAGAGTATCGGAGTGATTATTTACTTGAATCTTTTCTGTCCAGTAACACATAAGGGCCATGTGCCATGTGTTAAAATTAATCGCAATTAGTGGATATTTCAGTTAACACTACGTTAATATAAAGTAGTAACTGGCTGAGGATTAGAATATTTTTTTATATTGACTTTATATTTCTGCCTGATATGAAATGAATGCTCGCAGAAGCAAACCGGCCAGCGCTTAGTCCCACAAAATGGGTTAGAGGGAGGTATAGTGGTAGCCAAAGATAATACGATTAACTGACCTGCGTCGTATGTAGTTCTGTCGGACCTTTTTGTTGACAGACCGAACCAGGTCCGCTCCGGTGAATGGCACAGGCGGCGGTGGCGGTGCCGGGGGTTGTGGCGGTGGTTGTTGCGCTATCGGTTGAACACTCGAGGAGGAGGATTGTTGAGGTTGCTGCAGCAGTTGCTGCGGCTGTTGCTCCTGCGCGGCTCCGCCATGCGGACTGGGAAGCTGAGACGTGCTGGCCACGGGTTCGCCCACCGCGACCCACGTGCTGCAAGATCTTGAAGCATGGTCAAGTCTCGCGTGCTCCAGCAGCAAGGTGTTGCGCTGGGCGGTATCTAGAGCCAAGGCGGACACCGCCGTTCGAAGACCACCCCCGGGTCCGGACGCGTCCGGGCTGGGGAGCTGCGACACGTCGCTCGTGCTAAAGCTCTTGCGTAATCCCAAAGCCGACGACAGAACGCCGCAGCTGCGGATTAGCTCGTTCTCCTCTTCGAACCATAGTATCTCGGGGATGTCCGCTGGCCTGATCGAAAAAAGAAAACGAATTAACGTTAGAACACACATTGTATCTCAATGAAAAGAAGGAGAAGAAAATTGCCGAAGAAAAAATATTTATTTATAAATCTATTTGTGGGACCTTATGCAGCATAAAGGGACGTAGTCTCAAGTCGTAAGAACATTTCCCAGGACGTCTCTCGGACAAAGAGATTCTGTGAAATAACATATCCCACGAATAAATTTTTCTTTTTTTCTTCAACGAAGATTCAAATAAATAATTACTCCAATACTGCTTGGTAAATTTTTACCTGGATCAGATTTGTTTCATTCAAATATTTTCCAAATAAATTACCCAAGCAAAATATTTACTTGATCCAGAATAAAATTTACTTAATTCGAGTAAGAATTTGCCAAGGAGCAACGGAGTGATTATATTTACTCGATTCTTTATTTTTCTGTGCAGCAGATTGACTCCGGTTGGTCAAGGAAGAGTTTTATTTCGAAGAGATCTTCAAAGGATGGCGGAAACGAACCTGTTACCCTGAATCTGCCGAGCGGAGTCCGGTTTCGGGGAGGGTCCTCGTCCGGTCAGCTGTACGTCGCTGTAGGACTTGAAGGTCACCAATCTGTTGGCACCGCGTAATTCACTCGCGATCGACGACACGCTGAAGAGCGACAGATCGGTAGTGACGCTCTCGTGGCTCGGCGAGCGCAGCATCCGCGAAGTGACCTGAAGGGTTGGACATTGCGAGGTCGCTAGACCGCCGCAACATTGCGCACACGTGACTGTGGGTATCGGCGAGGCCGGCTTCGTCTCGCTCTCGGACATTTTCCGGACTCGCTGCTTTCGACCGTTCCAATTCCTCTCAGAAATTGGTGCAGCGGCGAATTTACGTGACACTGGACATCTGAACTCGTTCTCCGTTGCCAACGTGACGACTATATGTGACATATGAGACAGTTTAAAGATAAAAAGACGTGATGGTGATCGAGATAAAGGAGAAATTAATTCTTAAGTGGAAATTTTGCGTTGATATATTCATACGCAGAAATAAAATTAATCTTAAATCAGAGATAAAGATATTCTCATATATAGGCAAGAATATTACTATATCTTTTTAGAAGATTTTAATCTTGGTTTGATTGAATTTGACGCGAGTATTACTTGCGCTCGATTCGAAACTTCTAAAAATCTTCTGAGAATCTTCTATTATAACATTCTTGTTTATATGTGAGAGTATCTATCGTTGATTCAAGACCATTTTAAGATTATATTTTTCTGTGGAATATAATTAATAATTCAAGGTTTCTCTCTTATTACTGCCTAGTGTCTTGTTTTATTACGATAAGATATATAAATGTAAAATTGTCAGTTTTTATCAGGTGTTCCGGTTAGTTTTGAGGGCTCACTCACATAGACGGCTATAAATCTACCAGAGATATTTGGAAAGTCATTTCAAAGCGTGGATATTTCTACAAATAATTTAACACGTGCATTCGTACCCACACTGTTGCTTGAAAATGGAACGTGATAAAGAGCATTTTCGTCATTTACTACTTTATAACTTTGATTCGGAAGCTGCCGAACAGCTCACTGAACCATCTCAAAAATTTATTCTGTGTCTGCTCCATCAGTTAAAACATGTGGGTACTGACGGGTTTCGACGATTCAAAAGTGATGATTTTGATCCGAAAGACAAAGAATGTTCAGGTCAACCAAAAGAGTTCGAAAATGCCGAATAGCAGGCATTGTTGGATGAAAACTCAGCTCAAATGCTTCAAGAAGCTAAACTGCATAGCTAAAGCATTAAATGTTATTGTAAATCAGCCGTTTCTGATCGTTTGCACGCAGTGAGAAAGATTCAAGAGGAAGGGGTCCCACATGAATTGTCTGAATTGGCTATTTAAAATTTGTTTGCACTTCATTACTCACCAGAAGAAGCAGTTTTTGTATCACATTATAACTGGCGATGAAAAATGGATCTACTATGATAATTCCAAGCGTAAAAAATCGTGAATAGGCCAATCATCGAAAACGCAACATCCATGGAAGTAAAATATTGTTGTGCATTTCGTGGGATATAAAGGCGTCGTATATTATGAGCTTCATTAACAGTCATCGTTGAGCATTATCAACAACAACAATTGATCGAATCGTGCTTTGAACCAGAAACGTTCGATAATAGTTCAAAGAAAGGTGATTTTGTTGTACGACAATGCTCGATCACACGTTGCAAAAGCAGTTAAAGATACGTTATCGGCACTTCAATGGGAAGTCTTACCACACTGCGCCGCGTATTCACCAGACTGTGCTCCTTCAGATTATCACTTATTTCGATCGATGCAGCACAGCCTTGCTGACTGGCAACGTATGAAAAAAGAGGAAAAATGGCTCGATGATCGCTTCGGAGGACGGACATTTTTCTTTTTTCTTTTCATCGCGGAATTCACTTATCGCCAGAAAAAATGGGAAAAGTTATATAGCTAGCTGTATTGAATAAAATATAACTTAACTTCCGCCTAAAATAAAAGTGTTTTTTTTTTTTACAAAAAATCCCTCAAAACTAACACCTGATACAATTCGTTAATTTAAAAAGCGCCAATCTGTTTGATGGCCTTCGTGACATCTATTACTATTTGACATGAATCACCGTCGTGTTTTTCACATCTTTCAGACAGTCCTTACGTGTCGGTTACATCCGAGCACCTGATAATCTTCCCGCTTCCCGAATCGATTTAACACTGCTACATTATCGCGTGATTATTGATGATGATGCATAAAAAGGTCGAAAAGAGTTCCCACTGCACGATTCACGCGATCGGGACGAACGGCTGACGGAGGATCTCGCGATCAAGTGCCAACGTCGCTCGTGGCTCGTTGCCGCTTATCTCCTTCCCAGTAATTATCATCCGCACTTGATTCCACGCCTTTACGATCCTAAGCAAAGCCAAGCGCTCATGTCCACCGTTTGTATCGCGCACGTATATGGTCGTTCGTTTCTGAAGATCTTCCTTGATAGCCAGAATGACAGTCGTTTTATGCTCGTATTAAACCTGCAAGAAACGAACATGACTGAGAGATAAATCACTATCTGGATTAACTTTTTCCCTCCGTCTTTGTATTTTGTGCGATTAAAAGAATTGAACCTAGTCCTTAGAACCTGAAGGAAACTAGCCTTTAACTCGGAGTTAGCTAAATAGTGGACTACCATATTGCAATTAGATTGTCGATATACGCATCGTTACGTAGCGAATGACTGTGTTGTGGAGTCAAAGTTCAAGAACGTTTCCCCAAGATTGACATTTCGATCCGCGTAGTATCCACTGAGTATCGACTTTCTCGGTCCGAGTGTCACCTAGCTCGAATGAGTTACACGTCGAAACGTGTTTCGTAATTCTGCAGACTTTCCCCGTGAGCCGGTAATTTTAATTACAAACAAGATGTTACGTTGCAAATACCGAGACACATTTTTATGCAATCTCTGTACAATCTGTTCTTAAAAAGCTTGATTAAAATCGCTGTTATTAATTTTTCGCTATTTTCAAGTTGACCTCTCCCCGGTATTCTTTGTAATTTTACGGCGCAGAAGCGTATTCGCAATGAATGAAAGCAAAATAATATTTGCAAGCGCGAAAGTTGAAACAAAGATTCTATCGAGATTTTCCGCCAGATTCGGTTCAATTCGTTCCTTCGTTCATTCATTTCCAAAATATTCTGAAATCATATTTTTATGATGCAGATGATGAGACGTAAACACCGGTTCTATACGCACGTATGTGTGCATCGCACTATAGATACCCGTCTATTTCACAACAGCTCGTCATTCCTCACGTTACGGAATAATTCATCCAAATTGCACGCGTATAATAGGTGTCTCTTTAATTATATCGCAAATTTTTGAAAATAAAAAATGTTAATTTTGTTCGTCGATGTATCGCGGAACGAAATCCTTCCACTTTTCACTTTTAGAATTAATTACCGCAGCAACGATTAATTAATTTTCGTACAAAATTCGTCGTCGCCAATTACAGAGGTAACGTTAATCGACATGTGGCTCTTTGGTGGTTTCCCATAGACTCCGTGTAACTGTAAACATTATTAATTATTTTGCACGATCTCAACAGTGCGTTGCGCTAATTAAATTTGACTGCGGAAAACGCACAGTCGATTTACGTCGGAGAGAAACTTCCTCTTTAGAATTAATTACAAGCGTTCTCACGAATTCGTTCTCGCCGATGAAGGCTGCGCTCAGGCGATTGTATAAATAATATTCACCAAACTCCCGTTGCACCTACTGTCGCATCCCCTCAGCCACATGACATCGCGTTGGCGCTGCCGTTGAGAACGGTTTGTGTCCAAAGAGGGGCAGGAGAGGTTCTTTACAGAGTCGAGAGAGAGAGAGAGAGAGAGAGAGAACTCGTACGGATCACAAAGTCACTTGGCGAGAGCACACGGAAGGGAATAACGACGGCGACACACAAGCCATGTCGGAAAGACGATTGTTTCCCCCGGGCTTTACGGTCGTCGATCGTGGCTCGGGCTCGCTCACTGCACAGGCGTCGCTATCGATCGATAGGGGTTCTTCTCGAGACTCGGAGTTTCGACGCACCCGCCCCACACACGACGCCTTTCGCCACGAGCCGATTCACATCCCCTTTCTTATCAGCGGTATCGGCTAGTAAATATAGACTCACCTGCTTGCCCTCAGAGATGCCGCTCTTATTTTGCGAGGCAAAGTATAGACGCAGCTTTAGTATATATTATAGCAGTTTATTCTGCATTTATTCATTATTTGCCATAATGACGCACACACAAGAAGAAGATTGTGCAATCTATACCTCGGATAATTTCAACGATATCGCAACTTTTCGCAATGTGGAGCTTCTCCTGGACGAGACAATTTTCAAGCTCTTTCGACGTCAAAAGTATTAATCATTGTTCCATAATAAAATTCCAGATGGCCTTACATGACTGACTAATAGGATCGATGTGATGAACGGCCTGTCGCAAAATGTGAAAATATAAGAAAAAAATTCGCCCCCAAGTTGAAACGGACCGTCGTTGAGAATGACTTCGGCGCGAAACTCGCGCGGATAAAAGCGGACGCGAATAGCCGGTCGGCCAAACTTAGCGTGGGTGGGCGGGCGAGGAGGCGAGAGACGAGAGGAGGTTGCTAAATAAAGCCAAAGAGATGACTTGGTTGGCGAGTACATATAGCGGGCCGCACGGTATAGTTTAAGGCCTCTCTTAGTTGGCGACGGTGTCTCTCGCGAGGAGGATCCACCCGCCGTAGCAGGTGCAATAATACACCAAAGCGAGTTCAACGGGTCGTCCTTACGAAAACGGTAAGTTCGTCCGGCCTTTTCGCCCTGACTTAAAACGAACAAAATGTTCGCCATTAATGAACAAATTTGAAAAAATACCTACACTCAGGCCAAATATTACGAACGATTTTTCCTCTATAAGTCTTGTGTGATGGATGGAAAATCCCTCCGGAGGGTATAAGAGAAGCATGAGTGGGCAGATCCGAGTTCTAGATGAAATATCTCGCAACAAATATATACGTAAAGTATCATATTTGTCTCACTCGTTGACGATGCAGTGTGTGGATCGAAGACATATATATTATTCCTTATATTGCCTTAACTCTCATTAGGAAGGTTTATAAATACTCGCGTTTCCAGTGACGATGGCGAGCTCCTCAGAGAGAGACACCGTCGAGACGACGAATACGAACAAATCAACGACGAACGGAATTAACCCTTCCACACTCGTGGAGGGTGCAAGAAAGCGACGACGATTGGAACCCTCGACGACCAACATAGAAATCCCTAAGAAGACGCAGCGACGCGACGGAACGTGCAACTTCGATGTGTAAGGATATATTAATAGCGACGAGAGTGAAGTTTCGCATATATATTCTCCATACTCGATTATTACCGTCTATTGGAAAATCAACGGGTGGTAATATAGCTGAGAAAGTAGAAAAAGCTCGTCTTTTTGGGTACGAAGTAAGATTTCTTCGTGAACATCTTCCAGAAATATTATGAATTATTCTGGGATAAATTTGTAGCGACACGAGCGGCAAAGGAAAAGCCGAGCGTACGGAAGACAAGAAGGACCCGTCACGGTGCAAAAGAAAGCCGGCTTTGTTGATAGATTCGCAGGATGCGAAAACGCTACAGGCCGCAGGAACGGGCAGGGATAACACGGCCAGATTGCGGAAAACGATACAATGGCTCGAGGAGGGAATTCGAAGACTGCGCGAGGATCTGGCGAATGTGCGAACGGAGCTGCACGAGGAGCGAAGGGCGGCGAAAATTGCCAAGAGGGATTTTGCCCTCAGGGAGGCGAGATTCGCTGAGGCCGCCAAGTATCAGCCGATCGTAGAGGAGTTGAAGACCAGGTAGACGCATCCCGAGAATTATGAGTCATTTATGACGAAGCCCCGCGTCTTGTTATTATCTCACGACGGTCTATTTTCGTCGTGTCAGGTCTGAAGTTTTGCGGCGAAATATGACTTAGAAATTGTCCGATTACAAGAATTGCTCGAGGCGGCTTAAGAGTGTGTTTCTTGCTCTCCTTTACAATAGAATTGTCGTATTTGAAAGCTGTCTTCTTGTAATCTGAGAAACTCATTTAGTTGACTTAAATAAAATGCTTGTTTGGACAAATAAATCTTACAATTATAAGAACCAAAATTTAGTTCCCTTTGGTTCTCACAACATCTTGTTATCCAAACAAGAACTTCGTTTGAATCATATTTTTTTCAGTGTATGTAGGCTACAAAGTTCCGCCGCCCGTATAATGACGTTCGAAAATTAATTTTTCTTCAGACTCGCTTATTCCGCATCGCCGTTGTCGTCACCGTCGTCGTCGTCACCGTCATTCAAACCGGATCCTGTGAAAAACGAGAATCGCGAACTGTCGACTCTCAGGAAACGCTTGGCCGAAGCTGAGAGCACGATACGGAGGCTCGAATGGCAATCGGTGAAATCACGTACGACTCGCAATGCCGATGGCACTTCCCCGGGCGGTGAGACGCGTCGCCTGGAAACGGAAGTGCGAAGTCTTCGTGCCGAAAACGAAAAACTCGAAGAAAAATTGCGTGTAAGCGCTTTCTTTCCAATCGCGGAAATGAAAGTTCGTGTGGGAACCAGACGAAAATTGGTTGGGTGGCGAGGAAACTCGTTTGGGAGATAATTGTGAACAGCTGACTGAGTAGAAATCTCTTGCAGGATCATTTCTGTTTTTACAACCGCGAGTTTTCTCGCATCGAAATTTTAAATTAAGTCTTCAAGTGGAGAAAATAAGTAAACGGCATTTGTAGCACAAAAGAAGACTTTGGAGTGTAGAACTAAAATTTCGATTCTAGTTCCCAGAAAATCAGTTTTGTTTTTTCGCACTTTTCCGTGCGTGTAGTATTACGGAAGTATTACGATGCAATAGATCTTGTTCGTTCTATTCCTCGTTTACAGGAGATATTTTTGTATTTAGGTCGCTCTAGATGCGGAGAAGCCTCGTATCTCTGAGATACGAGCCCAACAAGAGAATTACGAAGCGGAGCTTTCCGCATTGCGAGAATCCCATCGCAACGAAACTACAAAGATGGTGAGTGTACAATGTAATATAGATATCGACAGTATCAATAACACGGTCATTAAGCGGCTTAATGGCGCTTGATAATTTTACTGTGACTGACGAAGGGAGATTAGCGAGCGTTGTAATATACTCTCGCATCGGGAGTGATCGAGAACTCTCAGGCACGTAAAAGTATCCTCCTTTCCGAGCACGAACGTCAGACCCTTCGAAGGTGCTTATTAAAAATGTGTGGAATCGACCAACTAGAAAAGAGTCTGTCCAGGATGCAACGATTCAGCCTGCCGGCTGGCTCGGACAAAAGTTTTACCGACACGTCCAGCAACGTAGCCTCAACGTGAAAGAATGCTCTCGCTGTGCGATTATCCAAAATGATTTTTTCCCACGCTATTCTTGGGCTTTGGAATTTCTGCGAAAATCCGATGAAATTTTCGTAGAAATGAGTACTCGACAGTTTCCATTATTGCGACAAAGTACTGAATGAGTACATTTTCAAATATCTTGTCGTCGTGTTTGCGGAAAATCGAAAGAAAGAAATCATTTCCGGCGGCTTCTTCGGCGAAGTATTCCTGTATTACGTAACGTAGCTGAAAGTCGCTTTATTTTAAATACTTGATTTCACTCGCATAAATTAGTCGCGTGGTTGATCATAAATTCGAACGGTGCCTGACAATTTATTCTGGGCCGTTTCTAATTTTTCTAGCCGCCGCGCCCGGCTCGAACGCTATATTTAAGTTACTTATTCGCGGCGTGCTCGTCTATGAGAGTAGCTTCCTGCTTCCTAACATGCCACATTGCGGTCGAAAGCGCGCGGTGACGTCCGGCGAATTTGTCTGCCGCATTGCCGACGCGGATTAATACACCCTTGGCGGTCAGCCAAATGTCGAAAAGAGAAGGAGAAAGGTTCGTTATAGAAAGTGGACCAAATAAAGGGCAACATTCGGAAAAGATGACACAGTTTCGGAAATTCATTCTTCCAACGGGGGTCGTAAATAAGATTTCGTTTCGATATCGAATATTACCTATAACTAATAAACGTGTGTATCGAGAAATGGTGAGACCCTTCGGTAATAGTTAATTCAATAGCTGCGCCCGGTGATTCATCGTTCCTAGAAATCGCGCGAGTGACCGAAACAAAATACGTCCGAGTACACGTGTGAACGTTTCTCTTACGTCCCACCTGACAAGGTGAAGGCAAAAGGCTCCCGCGACGAGCGTAACTGCGAGGTGAGACGAGCGAGACTTCTGGTGAGAGCTTCTCGAAAGCGGGTACGAAAGGGACCGGTCACCCTCCCTCTTCTCGTCGCGTATTCTATTCTTCGTCGCCGGCCGACGTTAATCTTTTACAACTTTCGCCACACGCGCGAGAGAGGATACAAACGAGTTTTTGTTTTTTTTGCAGATGGACGAACTGCGAGACAAGGAGCGAGAGATCGGGAAGCTCTTGAAGGATCGGAAGCTGGAACACGATAAGGTGAGTCTTCGTTCAACTTTCTCCGTTTATTATCATCCGAGTGTTTGACAAACTGGATATTTCATTCTATCGCGTGATAACCGTTTCTTCACCTTGCTGGAAGGCATTTTGTTTCTTCCGTACTTTCTCAGATACGTCGTGTGAACGATCCAACGGTTCACCCTGAGGACCGTACCGGCGGCGATTATCATATCGTGCGACTTCCGGTTTAAGTTTACAGAGCGTCGAGCGCGTTGAAATCAGCGGAAGGAATACTAAGAGGGAAAAGGACTTCTTTTGTACTTCTTTTGTACATACAAGTTTTTCGTGTATGCACCGTGGCGGAAAGCGAAAAGGAATAGCACATGTGAACATGAAAGGTTAATGAACCATCGTGTGAAGCGAAGCACCGTTTAAAGCGCCTGAGATATTTGAACATGCTCCAAGAAGGCGCTACTTTTTAGATCTTTACTTTGAACGATTCAAGGAAGCCATTACGAATGACCGGAGCCGATGGGACACTCAGCGTGTATCTTCCGTTTCGCTTTTAGTCGGAGGAGGTGCTCGGATATCGCGATATCAATGGGGTCAATGTACCGTGGTGCAAGACATCCCGCGTGCATTGTGCATTATACGCGTCATTTCGATGGAACTTAAAGGCCACGCGATCGTGCAGTTGCCGCTAAAAGGTTGTAGTTACTGGTCGCACAATATAATTGCCACCCATCACGCCTTATCGTCGCTTAGTCGAGCTAATGGCGGTGTACGGCGATTCACGGTGAAGAAGCGTTTCTTTTTCCTCTCAGCCGCTGCTTATATGAACTCTTTGATCTGAAGAAGGGAGTGAGAAAGGAGGTTCCGCGAAACTGCGGGGTCTTTCAGCATAAATTTATCCGATTTTTATCGGCCTGTACGTGGAATATGTTCAAATTAAGAGTGGAGAGAATCTGCGAAGAGAAAAAAAGGTTATCTTGAAAGGTGCGTTTTCTCTCAGGAGATTGTCTGCAATAATGGACACACTTGATCTTCGGTATAAATATTTTGTTATGAAACTAATGGCTGGAATTAGACCAACAGAGAGGTCAATCTCTTCCGAGGAATCTCAATTGTCATTATGTCTTGAGTCTAACAATAAGTTCCTGCCGGAGCGGTAGTAAGTCCGAATGGAATGGCGGCCCACAGGTAGTGTAGAAGGTTCCGCCGTCCATCGAAGGTGCTGGCTTCTTCAGTCCGGTCTAGACGCTGGTCGCGCGCACGCTGTTCTTCCGCGCTCTGCGTACTTCTCCGAGTGCGTGTGCTCGAGTGTGACATAGAAAGACGGTCGCGTGACAGTCCGCATCGATCAGTTCCTCTCGTGCTCGTGTATGAATTTTCAAGATCAACACGCATTTCATGGGTTTCGCATGGAACGAGGTAAAGATGACTTTTCGTCTCATGCGCGACAAAACTTTTTTTGCTAACTGTAAGGAAAGGGTTCTTCTGACGGGCTCGATTTCGAACAATTTCTCGAAGCTAATTCGACATAATTGAGTATTTTTCAAAGTAAATGTTTTATTTTCGCAGCATTTAATGGCTCTATAATTATGTATTCGGATCAAGGAAAAAATGTTTATCTCTTAAAATAACTTACCTTTCATTTACCTTGGAGAGTTCTAGCACTTTTATACGGACAAAAATAACATGTGTACGACAGTATTGCTCCGTCGAAGTGGTTTTTTTTTTTTGAGACAACTATTACTTTGCGCGAGCAATCAGTTGCGAGAGTCCACTCTCCCGCATGCGACCGTCGAGATAAAATATTTTCACGCACCTACTCCAGTTTCTCCGGCGCCTTCTCTCGTCCCTGAGTAGATCGCAAATAGAACGTGGATTCGATTACGTTCCCAGGGAAATCGACATAAGTTGCGTGTCGCCGACATACCGTGGGAATGCTCGCCCGAAGAAGAAAAATTGCACGAACGAGTGGAACAATGGTCTCGCCGTAATTGAGTTATTTCGCGTCTAACGTGGATCCGGTTAACGGGCGAGTTACCCTAATAATCCCAGATAAGAAGCAATTAACTAGGGAGAATTAATTGCAGCGCAAATTATTGCGGCAGCACATTGTTGCGAGAAAAAAAAAAACACCCATGTCAGGAGACACACGATAGGAATACTTGAAGGATTTTCTTGTCCTCATTTATGAACCGAGCTCCCACGGCTGTTACGAGAATTGTATACTCGGGGCATATGCAAATATTAAAAGATCCCGCCAGTGCTTTTCCTCAATCGAGAGACTCGTCTGCGAAGAGAACCGCATATATAGGTCGTCACGCGAGACGATAAGCGGCTGATAATTGAAACCGCGAGTTCGAGTGTGTAACGAATCCCCGGTAACAAATCCACGAGCGAAACGTGTGTCCACACACGTAAGGCGAATGCCTGTGCGTGCCCCTCCGACGCGTATATAGGCACAAGTAGACGCGTAAGTATGCCTTAAGTACTTAACTATCCTCCATTGTCCTCCTTCGCGAGGCGGCGATGAATCTCAATGACTTCGCGACGCGTGTAAAAGAAGACGGGCGAGAGAAAGGCTCGTCTGTGACTTCGAATGGAGCGGTGTTATTTCACCGGATATGCTTCCTCGATTCGTCTCGATTGCAAGTGGAACGTTCCCCCGTCGCCGTCTAGAATCGGTACGCAAGTGCCTCCTCGACCGTCGTCGTTCGTTCGGTGAGCCACTTCTCGAAAGAAAGTTCCCTGCAGCGACCGCAGACATACGAGCGTACGTATGATATACATCGGTGCACAAGAGAGCACGTATTAGCGAACGATCATGGCTGGGTCCTATGACAATTTCTCCAACACCTCAACGACACCGTTTTCTTTAGAAAGACAACGCTCGCCCTAAATTGACCATTCGTCTCGATGATAACGACCACAAGGAGGCCCCTCAGTCACGCGTCGCGGATGAGTTTCTCGCGGATGTTTATTATCCATAGATGATCGTCATTAGGGAAGCCCGACCTGTAAGGGATGATCGGTCGAGTGTACAAAACGACGACGTAGCGCGGGAGATTTATATAGTCTCACGCCTATGCGATAGTGTGTAATTTCAATCCGTCATCGCGGTCGGTGTTATTAATAATACCTGAACGGTGACGCATACCATCTTGTAATTAGCAGCTTCCTTTCCTAGCGTAGGAAACAACGCGAACGCGCATAGTAGGAATGTCGATAGGCGCATACGTGCCACCCACGACAAGTCCTTCGGTGAGCATTTCGGTTTGACAAGTGGGTCAAAGCAGGAGCGTAATTAGAGCCGACAATGAGAGCGAGAATCGCGTTTCGAGAAGACAGAGGTGTAGTTTGAGGAAGGATCGCTCGCGAATGAATTCCTTTGCGCGAAATCAGATGCGTTCCAGCCTCGTTATTCCTTCAATTGCGCACCACGTTTCTTTGGAAAAATTATAGTTGAAAGTGAACACAAGCAAACGCGTCTCGGTTGAAGGAAATAGAATTTATGAAAATCGACTTAATTTCTTCGATCAAACGCGTCCACTTACTGGTCGATTCAACTATAATTTTCCATCAGCGTGAGTCCGCAACTTGACTCCGAAAGACTCGACCGGGAGAAGAGCCGACTTTTTCGCGCGTGTCACACGAGGAAGTCGGCCTGATTCTGAACGGTGTGGATAGTGCGTTTAGGAAATACGCGAGCCGTGCACGAGAAATGCACGGACGCGTTACGAGCTCGTTGTAGGCGATGGCGGGAGACGATCGGTGAAAGTGAGCACAGGAACCGTATGGGACGGGACTTGTTGGGTCGAGATATCGCTCGCGGGGACACCCTACGGGAAACGTAATCCTGCAGGTATGATCTGTTTACATAGTGACTCGATTCTACAGGTAGATACACTCGCCAAGTGTATCGTGAGCAACGTTGTTACACAAAATTCGTATACCCTCGTAACGCTGTTTCCGCGTGTACATGAAAGATAGTCTCTAAATTAATGAAAGATATTCACAAGCAAAGGTATTATAATCTTGTAGGAATATTCTCGCTTATATACATATATATGAAAATATTTATCATTAATTTAAGACTATTTTTTTGTTCAGTGTAACAACACTGTGTAACAATGAACATTCTCTTCTTACGATTTTTTTCTGCACAACAACAGAAAAAGAAGTAATAATGTAACTGTATTTTACTACCTGGAGGAAATACACATTATAATGGTAATCACTTTTCCACTCGACAGCTTGATTAGTATGCGGCGAAATACTAGTTTTCTCTTCGTTTCTCTCTTTCTGTACGTCTAATATACTCAACTCATTGACAGCACTTAATGAACACTATATACATATCTTACAAGCTCTGATTTCCTTTCTTAACATTCTATGTAAATTTAATGTAAAGAGAGAGTTGTATGTAGATTTAATGTAAAGTTATTGTAAACTTAATACGGGAAATTTGCAAATCGCAATAGCATATAATAGACGTAATAAAACATCAGGGTAGATTGTCGTTTCGCACGTCGCGTGCGAAGACAGTTAGGTTAGGGGGGATTTTTTCACATCCAAATAGACGATGAGTAGACTTCTAAATATACATGCGTTAAGAAACGTAGCGGAGTCAAAAGGAGGCGATTGCTCTAGTGTAAATATAAGTCGGAAATGTGGAATAAATTCTTCTCATATACGATCGATTTTCCGGTACTCAAACATACCTATGTCGTAAAACATTTTTCAGAATCGACATGATTATTCTCCATCCGATCTGCATGTGAATATCCCCCCCCCCCCATGAATCTTATGTAGTTACACCTTATCGAATAATTTTTTGCAGAAATTGAAATTTTCATCGATATTCGAAAAAAAGAAGAAATATATATATATGATATATTTTCAAAAGATATATGTTCATAGGAAAAAGATAGTCTCAAATCAATAATAAATATTCTCACATATAAGCGAGAATATTTTTCGATTTTTAGCTTTGAACTGAGTACGAGTAATACTTGCATCAAATAATAAATTTAATCAAATCAAAATCTTCTTAGAAGATTATAATATTCTTGCTTCTAGATGAGAAAATATCCATTCTCGATTTAAAAATAATCTTTTTCTATGTAAGAGGGAAATAAGATTTAACAAGGGAATCAAATTATCTAACAATATTCGCCAACTCAATTTTACTGTACATTACTGTACCAAATTATCATCCGATCGAATTTCCATGCGAGTGCACACGTCGATGAAAATAATTGCAAATGAACTGCGTCGGTTACACCCAAAACGTTCATCGAAGTCGCGAAATATTTCTAGCGCTATTCTCGTATATCAGACGTCGAGTGAAGAAGAAAAAAAAATGTCGGGACGAAATGAGACAAGCGGAGACGAGCGGTGAAGTACGGATAACGGTAACGCGCAACGCGCTCGTTTCACCTGTCCCGATATGTCTTATATCGGATATCCAAGTCGTCGGTCCAATCGAAAGAGAGGAGAAACTCCGGCGTGTAACGAGCGCACGTGCTCGTCCAGCGATTTACATATACGGCGTAAAGTGCATCTCACCGGCGCGCGCGCACCGGCCGCGCAAGGTGCAGCCGACTCTTGGCACATCTCTCGCGCATATGTGTATGTACACGCAGGTCGTCGAGAGGAGGAAGGAAGCTACGAGGCGAGGCGAGAGAAGAAGGAAAAGGCTGCTGTAGCTGTATGTCAGGGGGCCAAGCTAACGGTCCATCCAGACACTCTCGGGATTCCGTATAAACCCAATCGTTGCAGCGCGGCGGCTTTTCTCTCCCTTCTCTTTCCTCTCCTTCCTCGCTCCTCTCTGGCGGCTTTCCGCCTCGTTCCACACATCGCGTCGAATCATGATGTTGCTCACCTGGTGGAAGATCACCGAATTGCCGGCGAAATAATCGCCGTTAGATTCGGACGATCGCAATCGAGATGTGTGTTTTTCTCTGACGCGAGAGAATGCTGCCTCGAAAAATCTTATATATTTCCGATCGATCGTTTCCTTCAGAATCAGCACACTATCTTGAGGGAGGGATCTCTGTTTTCTCCAACCGGCTCAATTTTTACACGCAATTTTGAAAGTATATCGAGAGACTTACCTCTCGGGGTATATGAGAAATGTTTGAAAACTTCTCAGGATAACGAGCGATATTAGCGCCACGAAGGATTTTGAATCGCAAAAGTAAACGCTCCAACTGCCGTCGATATCTTCGCGAGTGTTATCTGCCTCGAGGAAGTGAAATCGGTCACGAGTCTTTGGAGCGGCCCGCAACGTTTTCAAAGCGTTCTCTTTCGCGGTCACTTCTAGCACTTTCGAGTCGCTGAACAAGCTAGGCGTTCACCTCGCTTCGAGAGATAATGTGCTTGGACATACGGAAGCGTACAAATACATGCGTTGTCAAAGGATCTCGCAGGCCGATCACTTTCGCCGGTCGAAGCACCTCCCGACCATTGCATCCGTTGCATCGAAACACTTGGCAGGACGTGACGTACGGTAGATTTTTATCCTCCTTTTCGCCGACAAGTGTGCGATGCGACTCAACTCAGTAGAAGAACGCGAGAAGGAAGAGTCGCCGATTGCTTTCCCTCCAGCAGCTGTTCAATCGCGAGGTTTTTCAAATAAAAAAGTTCCCTCGAACGTTCGCCGCAACATCGTTTTACCCTTTTCGATTGAATTACATCCTTTATTTCACGCAAAAGATACCTTGTATCCAAAAGTAAAGATGTATGTGCCTTACGGTGGTTCATTAACGAAATAGCGGTAGGTGTCCGTTAAGGATTAATCGATTCGTCATTCCGATGTAGATGTGGAAGTTACGAGAGAACGAGAGGAACCGACCGATACGCTCGTCATCTCGTATAAAGAGGAAGATCCTCGCAGATGATGTTCATACGGTACGTATTTTCGCAGCCTTATTTTCGGCCTATCTGACAATGTTGCTCTACAAAGAATTAAAAATTCAAACAGACATCGTTTCTTATGTAATAACTGTCGCGAGATAAAGACGACGAAGGCCAAGATTAAGTATCGTTTAAGGTGGGGTCATGCGAATCCGTAGAACCCGGCAGAGCCATGAACGAAATCGAGGTCGAGCGCCTCCGTGAACTCGCGCTTGAGCAGCAGGAAATCATCGAAATACTTAGACAGGCGGTTAAGGTAATGAGTAGGTTTTCTGGAACAGATGCGAGCTGAGAAATTGGATGGAATTCGAGTAAATAATGCGGGTTTGCTCTTCGATGTGTTATATAACGTTTAATTCTTTCCTGTAATATTGGCTCGTATCTGTTCCGCAATTCGGCGGGCCGAAGTAAAGACGTACGTTCGGATCGGATGTTTCCCTGTTACATAAGGAGAGAGAAAGAAAGTTGGAACAACTGTCAAACAAGAGGAAGAAGGAGGAATATTACAAGCAGTGGCTCGAGCTGGAGCCGGTGGTCGAAGTGGACGACGAAGAAGACCACGAGGAGAATGACAGCGCGTTATCGAGCGCCCCGTCTTCGATGTCACCCCAGCCGGGTGGCTGCGGCCAGTGGCAGGGCAACGGTGTCACTAGAGAAGCGTACGAGGCCGTCCTCGTCGAGATCGAGGATTTACAATCGAAACTTCTCAAGGAGCAATGGGAGCTGTCGCGCGCCAAGATACAAGTTTGCGATCTAGAGAAGGCACTCTTGCAGGAGGTAGCGTCTTCTTCACTGTCTCGCTTTCTGCCGCGTCACGTTCGTTCTGCTAAATTCGCGCCCACCAATTACACAAGGATATTCCTGGTTAAAATTGGAAGGCGTATTTTTCTTCGCCTCATAATCCGAGACGGTTGATGTCATCTGTAAAGTATCCGTATGTTCAATAGAAATGCGCCGACCGTGACAAGGAGTTGAGTGAACTGAGGGATAAGCTTCGAACCGTCGAGGAACGGGAGGCCGCACTTTTGGTGGAGCTTTCGGAAATACGGGAGCAAAATGAGCTTCTGGAATTTCGGCTGCTGGAGCTGGAAGAGACACCTGCGCGCCGGGATAGTCCCGATCACGCGATGGACAGCGGCATCGGCTCGCCGGAGCCCGCTCACGCGAACAAGGTGACTCTCCGCTTATTTGATTTTAAAGAGATGATAAGAAACTTGCACTACGTTGAAATATTATCTGACTGATCGTGTGATTCGAAAAAGATCTTCCGAGAGATGACACTTTTTATACTTGTTCCTTGAAAGGTGCTATTTTGAATTGCTACTTTTAACATTTTATTAACTAAGATTGAGATTTCGATGAATCGTGACTGGCTGACAGAAATTTCGCCGCAAAAATGCATTCAAGCACTCTTATATTATACTTCTCTATCTGATCAACTGATGCATAGCATTAATGTAGGAAAAGTAACATCGAATTGATTATTTCGATAGCGAAGTAATGCAGAAAATAATTTTGCTTGATAAATCGATACTTGATGAAAATACTTCTTAATCTACATTTGTTCTTTGCTAAACGTAACGACATTTCAGGAGAACAAGCAGAGAAGCCGCGCGGTGGCGACGGTAATACCGTACACGAACAACGCTACGAGCCCCGCGAAGTCGTTGTTGCCGCACAAGCCGCCGCTAACCCTTCAGGAGAGCGGTATCTTCGAGGAGGAGGAGGAGGAGGTCGAGTTCGCCAGCCGCGGCACTCAGACCCAGACACCATCCGGCGAGCTCCTTCAGGAGGTACAACGTCTCCAAGAGTTGAGGACTTGGATTCAGGAACGGGCGGCTAAGAACACGGCACCGGTCTTCCATCCGATCGACTCGTCCAAGATCTGTCTGGACATGTCGGCGGTGGACTCGATAGTCCAGCTGACCGCCTACCAGGAGCGCGTTCGCGACCTCGAAGAGAGGCTCCAAGTATACGAGGAGGCCGAGAAGAGCCGGGAGCGGGAGAAGCGATTGTCGAAGCAACGGGAGGAGGAGTTCCTGGATGAGAACTATAGGCTCACAGAGAGAATATACTGGCTGGAGAACGAGCTGCGAAACGTAAGGTCCAGCCTTGACGAGGTCAACTGTAGAGGCGAGGCATTCGTCATGAAACGAAGCAGGAGGAGCCCGGAGGAGAAGAATACGAGCGCCGCTCAAACCGTCGAGATGATTGCTGAATGTATCACCTCTCCGATGGGATGTAACGTCACGGTGCGTCAGTCGAACTCTTGATCCATTAGAGAAAATCATTCTTCTTGCTCACGGCGTTTCGTGGGTTTTTACAGCTCGTATCCTTGGAGGAAAAGAAGAAGGGAGACGAGGTGGGACCCGGTGAATCCGCGGAGCCGGTCGACTCGGAAAAGAAGGTTAGACACAGGCGGGTTAACGAACGATCCGCGAATGTCAGGTTCATCCGCGACGTCTCTTTCGGGCGAGGAAGTCACCCGTTGGTTCTCTATCAGGAAATTTGCGTCTAGCTTCTCGTCGAATTGTTTGATAAAAAGCGGGCATTTAGGGGGATCCGGTAACATCGCAAGTCTTCGCTGTAATACCGTTTTTCACGCCGAGGAAAGTTTTGGCTGCTCGCGTAAACGAAAAGCTGATGTATGCCTGTCTGTCTGTCTGTCTGTCCAAGTTGATGTGTAGTAATTTCGAGGAGAAGCTGGGAATCACTTCGTGATAGCGCGGAATAAAGCGTGTGTTCTCCGGAGCAACGGCTTCCAGAAAATAACGGCGAACAGAAGAAGACCGAGGTCGCGGAGAAGAAGGCGCGGGGATGGTGATGAGGAGGTGAGGAGGAGAAGGAGAAGGAAAGCTAACCGACTGCCTAGTGTCTTTGAGCGTATGTATACGGGACGGACGACCGACGAGTTTCTTCTATTCGACACAGCCTCTCTTCCACGAGTGTGTTTGCGTTGTCTCCTAATTAGAAGATCGAGAAATATTTCTGGACTTTATTAGCACGTTTCATCACATTGCGCACTTAATGCCATTTCGCTTCCGATAATGACGCTTCTCTTCTCCTATTTTCTTCATCTGTCTCACACAAAATTGTCCGCCGCGTTATTTCCGAGTGGCATATATTAATAGAGGGCAAATTCGCTTTGCTTGATCTCTAATTCGCGAAAGAACGCGAGTACGTGATTTTGTCTCTCGCGACGTTGTTCTCATTGTATGCGTACGCTCTCTGCCGCAGGTGATCTACTTTCGCTGGAGGTGAAGGCGAGAAAGTTCATCGTCTCTCGTCGTCGCAGACTTCGTCCATCCACCCACGAGTTCCACGGAAGGGTCGACGAACCCGTGGGTGAACCCGCGGCACGCACGAGGTAACTAAAGGGATCCGCGCAATATTATGGGAGCGAGGTGACTCCGCCTCTGATAAACGAATTTTAACACGTCCGCTATTAATCGGATCACGACAAAGGGAAAGATCAACCAAGTGATGTGTTCCATTCATCATTCGTTGTTCCAGGACAATACACGGCTGGCGCTGCTTGGCGTGCCCAAGTGACGATCAGAAATGGTACGTCCTGAGAATAAAACGAGGGCGCCTGCGGATCGAGGAGTGCCAAAACTACCTGACCCCCCGGTTAATGTGCTTCACCTCTCTAACACGTGCCTCTCGCCGATTTTAACGGGCTTTTCATCATCGTGTCGATGTGTTACACTCCGAAATCTCCTCTTCTTCGACAACACGCGAGAAACCACACGGTCGCAAAGTGGTTCGTTAGAATCGGCGAAGGATATTCGCGAACTGCTCCTTGTAAGTCGCGACCAATTTTTGCGTACAAGCTGTGAAATCGAGTGCCAAATAGATCACACACACACACACACACACACGTAAAGTAAAGCGTCATTATGGAGTCGTATAATTCGGAGGGAATAAAGTTAAGCGAACGAATTTGCACTGGACGGATGCGTCCTTGTATCGTGCGATGCGTCTGTCCTGCCATATTAAAATTTCAATATGCATCCGGATGCAATTTAAATTTAAAATGACAAAAAGAACAGAGCGCGGACGAATTTGGAAGAGCGCGTCAAATCACAACTGTGCATTGTACGATTAACGTGCAGCCTTATAGTATTATACAGAACGGAGATATTACGTTATATCTTTACGTTGCACTTTTACGAGTGAGCAAAATTTTGCTGTAATTTTGTCCACGGAAAAACGTTCGAGAAAGTTATTGCACGTGTGTGACAAAGGGAATGCGGATACTTCAGTGAAACGATTTGCTCGTTATAGTATTTTTCTTCAGTTACTTCTCTTGGTTACTTCCTCTACACAAGCCGATTTTATTACATGGCAGAATGATATACCGGATTAAAAATCGGAGCAACCACGAGAACCAAATTGTAGAATAATCTTGCGAAGAGAAAAGACGAAACGAAATACGCTGAACTAGGCGTATACTTATACTCGAAACATGCGTGTGTGCGCTTCCGCATTTAATATGTTTGAATATGTATACGATTTAACGCAATATGTATGTAAGAAATGCGTATCTCTAGTCGTATCGTTTGTTCGATCGTAGAACACAATGAGCATGTGTTCGCATTGATCTTGAATGAGAGTTGGTGTTCTTACAGTTTAGTAGTTTAGAAGTGTATATTCTCCAATGCTTGTTGTATTTATACTGTATAAATCAAACACAACTCGGTCGACCGTGATCTACAATTTGTCTCGTCCATTTAGTATCATGGAATTGACGTTGTTCGTGCATCTTGACGTGTATCTGCAAGAGAATTAACGTAATTTCGAATAAATCTCTTTTCCATCTTCTGTCGGTTTAAATCGAACAATTTACCTCCAGAAAAAAATGATTTCGATGCGACCATCCAATGTGTCAAGTTCAAATTAACGGAAAGATTTCTCAGTCAGAACGTCAAAACGTCAGCTTCCTTATTCCTTGTGGTTCAGTTCTCCTGGGCAACGAACGCGGGGATATTTGAGGGCCCATTGGAGACCTCTCGTTTGTCGTCGTGGGTAGCACCCACCAACAGAGACGGCAAGGTATATTCCATGAAACGGACCCTCTCTTCGAGAGCGTTGCGTCTCCTCTCCAACGAAGCGTTCCTCTTCTTGTAGTTCTTCAGCATTCGCTCCCAATAACTCACTTTATCGACTTTGTCCACACTGATATCATTTACACCAGAAACTAATGATTTTTTCGAAAGATCAGACATTATTCCGTGAAAATTTCGACAAGCTAAACGCGAAATCTGTCACTAATATCGAGAACAAACGACATCCAGGTGATGAAAATGGCGTTAAAATGATTCGATCTTATCGGTGCCCGCGGAAGTGAGTCACCAGCGCAACGATTGGGGATTAGAAATGATGAAAACCGTATGCGACGCGGGAACTATCACGATGTATCGTCCCCTTGCAATCCCAACGAAACAAGACAACCCGCTAATAAATTGCGATTCATTGGTCAACGAGAAATCTCCTGCGTATAACGTCCGCAGAGGATTGAAAAAGTCTTATCGTCATTTGCAGGACGACGATCGTGGCCAGCAAGTATGTAGATAACTCTTGTAAAATTATCAATTTTATCATTAAAAAAATTATAATCCATCATGACACTTTTCGACTGTATTGGAGAAAAAGAACGAATTCCCAACAGGTTACGACACTTCGTGACTTATTGCAACCGATTAAAGAGACCGTGTTGAGATTACAAAAATTAATTGCAAATAGTACAAAGAGACAACAGCGAGATTCAGAATCGTTGATGTGCTCTCATGTATTACAACGAGGCGACAAAAATGATCAAGTAATAACATTTCCAAATTATAACATGTTCTTGTTGCAATTAAGCTTCTTATATCAATTGTGAATAGTACTTTTATTTCTGTCTACGGATTCTCAGTTCCAAATATTATATTAACAAAGTCCGCTTAATTTCCTCAGGAGGAACTTTTTTCAGAATTTTTTATTTGTTTATTATTATAAAACACTGTTCAACACGTAGTCACAAGTTGTATATTTTTATTCTTTTCTGCTCTTTTTTTTTTGTTTTACAGTATTTCTACAACACTTTCTTACGGACTAATCCCTTAAAAATTATTAAGGAGAATTATCCGATTTCTTCGCACAGTGCGAGGAATAGGTCAAAATAAAGAATGATCTGAAGAAATGGAGGATCAGAAATGGCATTAAATAACTTTTCCACTAGCAAAACAATCCCGAGTCAGGACTAACTATTACGACCACATCAGTTTGCGCGCTCTGTGGCGTCGCGCTTCATCTGGAACGTTCGTCGAAGAAATCGAAACAGTTTGCTCTTGGAAAGAAATTGATCGATGATCATAATGGCGAGATTACATCGAAAAACTTTGTGCTATTGAGGATAACCCCGGGTGAAACGCGTTCTTCTTCCGTCACTAACTATAATATCGACACGCAAAGGGAACAGAAAAACATTTCAAAAATTCAGTCGGTCGATACTAGAGACGACTTAAGATCAAAGTTATTGTTCATAAGACAATTTTCTCCCGCGGATCCCATGTGTCCAAAAAAATCTCAGCAAAGGTCGCAGACTCAAACGGTAATTACAAGTGTCCGATGAATTACTATCAATGTTACTTGATAGAAAGTTATTTGAAGATATATATATATATATATATATATATATATATATATATTCAACCTTTCAATGCGTAATAGAGACACAAGGAATCTATATGCATGAAGTAATTAGAGATGCGTTAATCAAATTTTTTTAGTTCTACCCACACACCTGTGAGTTACTTGTGACAAACAGAACTGAAAATGAAGTCTCTATTGGAAGGAAAGTCTGCGATGACACACGGAAGGTCATCGGGGAGGAAAAAATGCAAAAGTTGAAGAAAGACACCGTATGTCGTTCGACGAAGGTGGATGAAGCAGCTATTCGGATAACGGAGAAAGTTACGCGGCAACAGCTGCAAACGCAAGTTAAGGAGTTGCATAAAAATATTCGACACTTTCGAGAGGAAAACGCGTATCTTCAATATCTCATAGAGAAGTGTCACTTTCCTCCATCTGAAAGAACGAAGGTTTCGATGCATTTGCTATTGCCGATCAGAGCTACGTACCGTGGTGAGAGAAATGATCGCTTTGGAAGCGGCGAGGAAATTTAATTAACGTGAGTGGTTATTTTCAGGTATCGCAACGGCTATTGAATTCTTACGAGTTAAATGTCGCAACGGATTAATAACCATGTTAACTAATGTGCTTCAACGATTTGTCGATAAATATCCAACAAATCACTAACAAACTGTCAGCGCCATTTGTGAAATACTGACTGGAACTTAGGAATTTAAACAAGTGGTCGATACTCATTTTATATGCTTCGATGTCTTCGTGTAAATCACATTCCAGACACACAAATTTGTAACGAACTCGATCAACACCGGATCGGTCGTTTACAGCGCGAAATCGATATCTCGAACGTTATATCGACCTTGCATTTACGCGCGGGATGTAGAAGAGCTTCCGACGATCGACCAAATCCTCGAGGCTATTTAGATCGGGTAGTACAGGCGGGATCTCGAAGGGAAGATTGAGGCTCGCCGCCGGTGGTGCCTGGCTGGGTGAACGAACGTTCGCGTTGAAGCGATGGCTGGGTGTGTAGTACGCCTCGGTGGAGGTCGGTTGTCTGGGGTAATAAGGATCGTACTCAAGCTCGTTCGGCACCAGCGGCTTCAAGGAGAGCGTCAACGCGTGCACCGGAATCTCCGTGGTGGATTTATCCATGGCGAGCGCACGGACGGAGTTAGCCTGGATCGACTTCAGGGTCTCTGAATACGGACGGTAGTCGTGAGTCAAGAAGGTGGACTTTTCACGTGGGGAAGCCGGACGGTGAGCAACGTTGTCGGGAGTTGTCGGTCTGGCGAAGGTCGGAGGCTCGAACGAACGACGAAAATTCACCGTGGCGCTCTTGTCACGTGCGAAGTCGCGAGTCTCTGACAGAGATTGGCTCGATTTGTCATTACGGACATCCCAAGAGTTGAATCGCTCGGTGAGCGTTCGAACGGTGGAGGCTGCCGCGAATCGGTCCTTCGTGTCGCATCTCCTGTCGGCGGTTCGTGCACGATCGTGATCCCTCAGGAACAGGCTCGCGCTAAACACGAAGCCGGACTGAAGTTTATTCGGCGGGACGGATTTGTCGGGTCGTTGAACAACTTGGAAGGAACGCGAGAAGGAGAGCCGGTGGTCGTCGGGCGAGTCGATAGAGGTGATTGGCTGTCTTAACGCTGCGTTGTTGCCGTCAGGTAATCGATTCGCCGGATGGACGGTCGCCTGGCAATCAACGAGGTGAGCGTGATCGCATATCAGAGCGTCTTGGCGAAAGGCCGTTTCCTCGGGACACCGGTAGCTGAATTTGTTCCCGTGATCGTCGCAAGTGTGATACACTCTACAATTAGCCTCGACATCGGCGTAAAACCCCATAGGCCGGTTGAAACAGGAGAAGCTCGTTCTAATGGCCGGCGGAGTGGTATTCTGCGAACGATCGAATTGTGCGGTCGAAAGATATTTCTAATTATTAGAAATTATTAAAAGTCGAGACATGTTCTGCGTTGTGAGCATGGATTCTATCTAGTAAAACGGTTGCAAAATAGTTGTAAAATACAGTGAACGATTTCCAAAATTACATGTGACTTGTAGGAATGATACCGATGCGAAACGATATTTGTGTCTCAAAAAGTAATGTGATTCTTCGTGACCGTGATTTTTGGTGATTGTTGTTCAGAGAAACGACAATATGCATAATTCGACTCGACACAATGCCTTGAACCCTCTCAAAAAAAATTCTTACTACTTACAAAAACTTCTTCGGCACGGACAATGATGGAAAGTAGCGCGCATCGTAGAAAATAAAAGTGTAGAGTCGAATAAAGTGCCATTTCGATAAAAATATATTTAATATCACGAAAAAAAAAAAAACTTTAAATCACTGTATAACAATTACACGAATTATTCACAGTACATTTGTATGAGTGTTACAGGAGCATACCGATTCTACCGTCTAGAAAATCTTTACACAGAGCGATACAAAGAGTTCAAGTGAAAGTGACGCGAGGATGAGCCTAAGACTGCCTTCTCCTTCCCTCCATTCCATCTTCTATTTCCCTCTCTTTACCTTTCTCAAGAATGCCCTACGCATCTCGTCTTCATTCACTATTGTCTCGCTGCACAATCGGTCGCGGATCGATATGAGGTAACAACAATCGCAACGAAGAATGCATCGGCATGTCTTTATATGTAATTATGTACAAATATATATATATATTACATCATCGCAATGACTATAATTACATTCATAAGATACTTTAGCAAAGATGACGAAATCAATTGTATCAGAGATGAAAAATAATTAGCGAAAATAATAAATTGTTTAAATTAGTTCCTGCATCGTTCAACATGAAATAGACATTCCGTGTTTAAAGTTTTTAATTTCTTTCTAAAATATTTTCTTTTCTACTTATACTTATCTTTGGTACATATAATTATAGATGCGAAAAAGAATGCGAAACTATTTATTTTACGAAATATGCAAACATAAGCTCAATTTACTTTCTTTATTTTCTTTTTCTTTAGGGCACACCTTTTGTATCCATTGAATCAATTTTCGCTACTACCGCAAAGAAATTCGATGAATACGGGTTTTCGTCCATTTTCGCTTCAGTCATCTTCTAAGAGGTGCGCAACGGCGTGTTGAAATCACCACTGTCGTCCGGAGAGTGATCCAGCATCCTCTGAATAGCCGCCTCCGTCGTACCAGCTGCGTAATCTGAAAAGTCCTTTATACACGTAATATATCGTATATGTTGTTATGCCGCAGTTTGTAAGGATATTTATTATATAATTTCTCCCAAATTAATGTATTACTTGTCTGCTTTGGGAAGATCCGGGTTTTTCTCGATCACAGTTGAACTTATAACGGTCAATTTCTTTCCATTAAATTCGTCAACACGTGCTCCCTTAATGGCCAAAATCGTATTATTGGGACAATCGAAATCTTGTGCCCTCTGTTCCCAAAGTGTAACGCACATCTAGAACGCATCAAAGAAAATGTTATCTATATTAAAAGTCTTCATATGTATTAAAAGTAATGAAATTAGGTAAGATCTAACGTGTACCAACGATTGTGACAGATTAAAGGTCGAAATATGTGTGATCTATGTAAATTCAAAGAATTGGCACCTACCTTGGCACCATGTGGTCGGCTATCGTCAACGATAACGATATCCTTTATTGATTTTGTACCGGTTTTCGTTACGATATATTTCACATCGCTAGACTTTATAATGACGCCCAAGGCATCTGTTACAAACACAAGATACATAAGATACGTAATAGACCGTAATTGTATAAATCAAAGACGAATCAAACGCGATATAACAATTTATATACAATACCGATTTCACCACATGTCTGCTTATTTTCCACGTCACTGATAGGGCAAAAATTGAAGAGAACCGACGGAATGGTTGCATCATCGTGACATTCTTCAATTTTTGTATTGTTGTTGATCACTATTTCGTACTTGTTTTTCAACTTGTTGTACTGTGGATTCTTATCTTTTAGCGCGTAGTTCGAGATATAGTATACCTTCTTATCCTACATGAATAAAAATAAAACGAGTTTCGAATTCGATCTTTTGTAGATGAGCAGCATGATAATTGCTGATTTTCGAATGAGATAGCATAACATACATACCTCTATTTTGCCATGGAACTTATCGCATTCTTTGTTAAATGCAACACAACTAATTTCATCACTATCGTCGAGCAGGTGCATGGAGAACAGTTTGCCCTTGTTGTTACTCCATTTTTTGATCGGAGATTTACTGATTGCGCGAGCTTTAATTGCTTGCCTAAATAATTGATGATCATGATAGAAAATTCGATATTTTTGAGGTTTTTCCACACACACGTGTTACTTATGATTTGCCAGCTTAAATAATTTGGTAACAAGTAGTCGTGGTATTATACGAAACATCTCTGAACGTAATCATTATTTTTTGGAGATTTTTTAATTACATGAGTATATTTCACATAAAATTCTCACCTATTTTTAGGGCTTAATGTTATAATTGGAACAATAGGTCCTTTGTAAGAGGAGTTATTTGTATCTCTCAAAGCACTCGGTTCTATGGTATCTTTCATCACTGACGAAAACGGATTTTTCATTTAATATAGAAAAATATCATAATATCAAATTTTATATATATCATAATAATCATAATTATTGCAATAATTATGTATATAAATCAGACATCGGGAATTAATTCTGAAAGTAAAGTTGAAATTAGAAAAATGTGTTACCCTCATGATGTACTGGCGAATTGTTCGTTTCGAGCTTGTTGGCAATCGGGTTTCCTGTTGTACGCTGAACTTCATTGCCGAGATTTAATATTTTGCCACCCAATATTACTAACGTTTGTCTAAAAAAATTAAGTGGGACTAAACTTTTATGCACAAAATTATTCGCGCGCGTGTTAGCCCTTTATCTGTTTGATAAATTAAACGAGATTTTATACGTCACTTTTATATTTCGATAGATCGATTCGATAGATTTTAAACGATATGTGCACGAGACAGGTAAAGGGTTAATTCGTAAAATACATAGAAAAATAAGTACATTTCATCATTTAACGATCTCACTTTGTAATTTAATACTTTAAAGACTGCATCTTTAGTCATAATACCGTTTTCAAATAAGTAATTTAATTCAGTGGACAACATTGTGTATTGGTGTATTCTCAATCCATCGGACACAATTAATCTGTACCAATCAGAAGTAGTGCCGGCCAGTCTTTTGTAACTCTGCACAATTAACAAAATAATGAATCTTTTTATTGATAATTGCTCGTTACTTCTCTTTACATGATAGTTCACAATAATAATTGTTCAGTAGTTTGCGGAAAACTTTCGAAGTGGAAAACTGAGAATCGAATTCTGAATCGAATTAACCAGCCCGTGTCATACTTACTAATAATTGAAATATCGGCTCCTCGACGTTTCGGCCATTCAAAATTTGCTGAAAGGAAAATTGTTTTGTTAAGCGCGATATAGCGCGATTAATGCACTTTCGAGTAACTTACGTTTAACGTTCCTTTACTTAGCTCATCCATAGCTGCAAATTATTATCAAAGCAGTTCAAACTCTCGGCGGTTGTCTCGACGAATATGAAAAAATCAAAAAGTCTCAGTGGCGAAGTACAAATCTTTCACTATCTTCGAGTCTTTTCGTTGGTGGTTGCAATTCAACTGTTGTTCTCAGCCTTGAGAACTAACTGCAGCCGTAGTTGACGCATCAAACAAGCTCTTATCGATATCCCCTCCAAAACACATGAATATCTGTTATCACTTGTGAATGTGCACTCGTGAATATGTCCTTTCACAGGGTGTGACAGCAACATTCTGCTGTGGATACCGATTGAGTCATATCCAACTTGTTATTTTTATGTAATCTTTTATTAACCTATCGGACACAGCTTCGTCACGGTGCCATTAGTTGTTCCGGAGAATTATCATCAGTGTAAAGCTTTAAAGTTGCTTGACATCACTTAATGTGCATTAAATAAGAGAGTTAGAAAAGTCTTTTTGCAAATATTTCAACAATAATACGCGTGTTCAATTGCCGTGCCTCTCTCAGCAATGTCAGATGATCATAGGTGGTTATTGATTGCTAACCATGATCTAGCGTTCATGCGCATGAGTGTAAACCGCGGTTGTGCAACCACAAGTAGCGTATATATTTTATCGAGATATGCAATGTCATTGCGGGCACCGCGTTATGGAAAGATACGTTAAGAGATTATCTACAAAGATTTTGTTTTTATTATCGAGCTCAATATACAATTTATAGATAATAGTAAAGAAACATTATCAGTGTTTTGGTGGCAGATTCATTGCGGGAAGACCGACCAATATTTGTACAACAATAGCTGTAAAAGAAAGAAGAGAAAAGATCTACAAGGTTCACGAAGCGTTGCATCTAAGTACGAGTCTGTCAGACTTAGTCACATCCGCTATTAGTGGGGGTACCAGAGCAGTGGAGTGGGGAAGGTTCTTCTTCGTCAGTACGAGCCAATAAATGAATCGGATAACATAAGTTTCGGAAGTAATCAGCCTTTGATCGGTTTCCTCTGCTTTAACCGCTTGCTACCTTGTCTCATACTACTAGGCACTCGTTATCACATGCGAATGTGCACGCGTATGTCCTTTCACAAGGTGTGGCAGCAACATTCTGCTGTAGATTGAGTCATATCCAACTTGCTATTTGTCTCTTAATTTTTTTATGTAATCTTTTTCAACGCTATTAATAACCTGTCGGACGCAGCCTTGTCACGATACTATTAGAAATACCGAGCGGTCGTTTCTGAACATTCCCTATTAAATCATAAAACTTCAGAAACCTATCTTTTTTTTTTTTTTACACAAGAAATAGGGCTTAATGAATGAAAAAATAGTATTAATGAAGAAACGGTCAGAAATTATTGCTCGACACTTGTAGTGTTAAGTACTTCCATATATCGTGCCGTTTGGCACGAAGCAATGTGTGTTTTCAAACTGCTGTTAAACAACATTATTCTATATTCTATGGACACTGTATTATTACAGAAACGTTGCAGCATTATGACGATAAGCATTTTATCGTTATTGTAAAAGAACGGTTATATCGTTCGTTGCGATTTTACGATCAAACATTTTTTATAAAGTTCCTGCAACCCTTCTGTGTATTGTATGAATGTATTGAGAGTATAAGATAAACGAAATTGAATTTTCGACGGATAGAAAATAACGTCTCCTTTTATAATATTTCGAGGAAATACAGAGTTCACACTCTTGTCTATTATCGTCACAACGATGCGAAGGCCTATCGAGGTTTGATAAGTATGATAAGGAAAAAAAAAGGAAGAAAAAGTACGATAACCGTTTAACACATTTATGTTATCGTAGATATTCGAATGCTGGCGAATGCTACTATGCGTGACTAGAAAGGAGATGATAGAATGCGACTAGAGCGATGAAGATGAAATTAGTATTGGCTGTTAAGTGACCGGTCGAACACTGATACACGTGACTGAAGAGATCCTTGTAAGCTTCCACCGTTTTCGTCGTTGACGATGTAGAAACCAGGCCGGACGTGGAATCCTTGAAAACGAGATTGCGAGTGCCATTGAACGGGCCATAAATGTCGAGTGGTCTCGTAGTACCCACGCGATATCCTAGCCATTCCTCCATTTTCAAAAGGGCCAGGAAAATATCCGTGGTGTAGGTCTGCGAATCATTCTTGCGACCGATAACCTGAAAGAATGTTGTAACGTCCATCAAATGTTTGAATCTAAGTTAAGCATTTCTCAACTCTTACCTCACTATCAATCGTCACTGACAATGCGCAGGTATCGTCGGCATGGAATCCGGTATTTGAAGCCAGGCTGCCATTCTTGCATAAAATGCGATAGTTATTTGGATCGAATCGGTTGTCTTCTGCAAAATAATAATCAATCGAGCATTTTACGACTTTTGTTGTGTCATATAATTGGATGGCAAAATGTGATTTAATAAAATAATACCATTTGATGAAAAATGTGCAAAAATATTCATGCAAAAGCAAATCTGATCCGACTGTTTATACTGCGAAGCGATAATTGATCGTTTTACCATTGATGTTCCCCACTTCCACAAATGCCACGTCGCCGGCACTTTCTGTGAGGCATCGCATGGCTCCATTATCGTTGTAATAGCGATTAGTGTCGTTCGCCGCGCAAGACGTATTATTCGAGCGCGAGCAAGCGGAGCAAAGCTTGGTCGTCACATCTGCGGAGGCGCCGGTGCGCGAGTGATCACGATCTTTTATTCCGGGGGTGCAGGCACCGGAGAATAGTTTGGACATCAAAAGCGGATAGTCGCAGGACTTGGACGAAACGATTCCAATTTTCCTCGCGGTATTAACGAAACTCAGCCAGCTGATTCCAGCGTACTCGGGGAAACACGCGGTTCGACCCTTCAGATCTTGGAAGCTCTTTATCTCCGACGGCTCACGCACCGCGGCAACTATCTTGCTACTATTGACCTTCTCAGTTTCGCAGTACAAAACCGTTGTCAGGCCATAAACTCTGCGTACGTGATCGGAAAGAAGACATCGTGAGACGTAAAAAATCTCCCGGATAAAGTAATATTGTTGCTATTAAATTAGGTGGGAGAAATTAGATAGAGAGAAATAAAGAATTTAGAGGGTAAATTTTTGAAATTATAATAAAATATAGCAGGAATGCGCAGGAACGCGAAAACATAAAAATTAGCGGAGATTTTTTGCATTCAAATAAATCTTACATCTTTTAACACGAAGATGCGTGCAAGCGAGAAACTCTACAGGGGAAAATAATTTTGCTTTTTTTTAGCGAAACTATCTATTTGTTACAATAACATTTAATAACGAAATTAGCGAATTATTCGTTATTATAGTTGCCAGGATAGAAAATATTCTGCCGAGTTAATTTGCTGTTAGAACAAAATAATTTCTACATTTACTGACTTGTTCTCGCAGCAAAGTAATTTAGCAAATTAATACCAGCGAGTGGCAATAATAATATTATAATAAATTGTTTTACTGTCCATACAGTAACTGACAGACTTCGCTGCGACAGCATAAAAATTTGCTATGCCAGCAAATTATTTTTTTCCTGCGTGTAAAGCTACAGGTTCCTCAAGGTTTCACAGCTATTTGAAATTTTATGCTTACTTTCGTGCCACGTAGCCGTAATTAGAATCGATGGTGATTATGTCCGCCTGTTGATCAGTTATTCTGCGTAAACATTCGAATACAGACTTCGACTTGACGCAGGAAATACGCGGTTCGATGCCGAGGGCTATCGCGGCTCTCGCCATCCAATTGCACTTATTGGTATCCATGTCACCGATCGTGCACCAGCGGATAGTTCTGTCGCAAGTCTGAGTACTTCTGAAATCGACATCGACCCTTCCTTTGGTCAAATACCCCGTTAAAGACAAATTTTCTGTTATATTGAGAGCTATGCTGTCCTCTTGTATAATTCGACTTAAAGCCCATTTCCAAGGTTCTTTCACCTTCGTTTCATCTCGTTTCAGCCAGCTGGGCAGCTTATTCTTAAGTATTTCTGCAACTTCCCTGAAGTAATGAGAAGTAAGTTCGAGCGACGCAAAGAAGTTGTAAAGATCAATTTTCCTACGGTTCCTTCTTTTCTCGCCGAAAACCAAATTGGAATAAAGAAAAAGTAAGTTAGAAAGATTCGAGTTTCACTTTTTGAAATTAGCTGTTCACTTATCGATGTAAATTTGAACATTGAACATTGTTCACATACGTTCTGGCAGCGACGACGCTCCACGGTTGCCTGATCCATGTGCAGGGAGTCGGACTGGTTAAAGGAAGTCTGGAACCGTTTGGGCACAAGAATTCGAACGTCTTGTTTCCCTGGACACACGTGTGAATGGTAATGACATAAAATAAATCAATATTAATTGAGTGGAAATATAGTTTTCATAAAAGGTATAATTTCTCAAAAAAGTAATGACTTACCCTGAGGTATTCGTTCACGTAATTAAGTGCTACGTACGCCACACCACCGCGACCATTAATCAGACAGTTCAAAGCTCCGAGATGTCCGTGATGTTCTTTATTGTTGTAAGTACAGTTTGCCTGGTTGTCGCAGAGAACGCACAGTTCTGAATATTTCCTCTCTTTGAAAAAAAAAAAAAAAAGGAAACAGTGATCATGTTAACGTAAGTTGAAAATCGTTGATGAGAGGGCGAAGGCTAAAGTTTAAATAAGATTGCTTCGACAAAATATCACAAATACGAGACAACTCACTTAATTCCTGATCAATGGAGCTTTCAGAGGCCCACTCGCCTGGTCTGCAAGCTTTTCCAAAGAAACTTCGGAGATTTCTGACTTCGTTCTCAATGACACTCACTTTATCTTGGCATTGTCTATCGGGATTCACTGTTTTTTCAAAGTATTTGAGTATGTAATCGTTCCACCATTGAGATTTACTAAAACCGGGATGACAAAGTCCACCATTCTTCAAATAACCGAATCCTGTGCCGGGTGGATTGATTATTTGCGTCAGATCCGCACGAACCACCGCCACCGTTTGGAATTCGAATTCATCTACGGAAGTTGAGGATTACGTTTTTACTTTATGTCTTTCTTCTTTCGTGATCAGAAATTATTGATCATTTTCGAACAAAATAACTTTGATCCAAATTATATATATATATATATATATATGTGTGTGTGTTAACATTATACGTAATTTTGAAGATATATAGAAAAATTAAAACTGCATATCTTGCGTACCGCTCAACTTTGTCCTGTGCCTTAATTGTTGGATGGGTACAATATCGGACTGGTAAAATGGGTATGCCAATAATAATTCCTCCGCATTGAAAACACCAAAATCAGCCTGTCCCTGTGCTAAACGAATCGAACATTCGGCGCTGTCCGCTACGGGCAAACATACTATCTCGCTCTCCCCTCGTTGCAAAGCGGAGCACTCGTCTTGGTTTATCGTTTTCACGGGTGCGCAGAATGTGTCTGAAACATCGATCGATATAAATTTCCATCCAATTACAAGTGGCGTGGCATAAAATCCTCCAGAGCTACACATACGGCTTCGGTGTTGGTGAAATTTTATTTTAAATGAACAAATTAAAAATAACAATTAGCAATTAGAGATTTATTTGTAAATATTGTCTGTCGAAATATCGTTTTTTTTTAACACATTGACCGTAGCGTTGATTTCCATTGATTGTATGGAAGTTTAACCGACGATCGAATTGCTAGAGTTAAGGTAGTAACTAGTTAATCGGTTAAAAAGTCGGTGACTCTTAATTTAAATGAGTTAACCTTTAAACTAAGATATTAAAAAAAGAAAATTAATTAACTTTAACTTAATAACTGTTTTCATATAAGTTAAAGTAATTCATCAATATTACCATTATTGCAAGCTGCTTACGATAGAGAATAAGAAAAATGAAAAGTAATGTTAGCAGAATATTTCTAATCTCTCTGAGCACTGATGCTCTTATATGGAATCCTGAACACAAAACACAGCTAATTCCTTCTTATAATAAACTATTTTTTTCATTATTTCACATATGAAAAGATTACTTATGCAAGGGAGAAAAAAAAAAAAAAAATATATATATATATATATACATTATCGAGTATATATATGTATGATTTTCCGCGTATAATTAACGTTTAACTTTAATAAGCTAATTTAACTTAATTAAGTCTGTTTGCAGGTAACTTTTAACTTGTTTGAAAATAAAAATTAATTTACTCAAATCTGCTAAAGGCACGTTGAATAAAATCAATTACGAAACGCGTATATTTCTTTGGTCAGTTATTCTACAATATATGTGTAATTCAAGAAAGCATTATTCTTATGATGTTTCATAATATTAATAAATTGTAACGATATATCTCTGCGATAGGAGGAATTAGATTACTCGAATAAGATCAAATTGGCGAGATAACGATAACGATTTTACGGATTGCCTTGAATCCAAAATGCTCAAGGCATCTGTGAAACGGACTATTAACGTAAGTATGCTGAAAATTCATTAATCGATGTATTCTCTTTGATAAGAGAATTTTGGAGTGCAGTTTGTAGTACAGTTGCTAACACACATCTGAGCAGGAATACCGCTCTTAACAACGATATTATTATGATATGTCTCATTAAGTTACATATTATGAAGTGGTGTCTACTGAATTTCATCCGGTAAAATTGTAACGTATACAAAAGGAGTCAAACGGAATAAAATATATCTGCATTTATTCGTCGTATCTTTAGTGGCTCGATCGCCAGTTGACCTCTCGGCGCTGTTCGATGCAGGTGAAAAAAATTAAGACCACTTCAGTAAGAAAATATCGCAATATAAAAATATTTTTTGCGGGATAACTTACATTTCTGATCCGCGTTTACAAGCGTGGTGAGCAGAAGCAGCAAAACGATATTCCTCATCGTCGATGCCTGGAACGATATCCAGCGAGAGTTTGATACGAACTGGAGCAATCGAGTCCAGCATGAACAGCACAAGCGGAACTAGGTGCGCCGTTTGCCTCTTCACACGAACCGAATGATAAGAAGCCTCCGATAACGAACGCACACGCCCTGTATATACATACACCACATTGACATGTTCATCATTTTTGTAATCGCACCGGCCAATCCGACGAAGATCGGACCGTTGACGCAAGGTGTGAGCTATCTGTCATGGCAGCGCCTTCATACAGATCTGCTCTTTGCGGGGTAGAATGGAGTTTTATATACAAAACGTACCCACCTGTATTTCTTTCTTCTTCACAATTTTTCCTTCAATCCTGTTCACACAAGAAATATTTCGCGTACATGACGACAAAAGAATAACAGACCATCTTAGAGCGTGTATAACGCAAAAAGTATGACCGGGTATGGAATTACGTGCAAAACGACAAGAATGCATTCTATGTACTTGTAATTTAATCGGAGAGAAATAAATCGTGTTTAATATTCCTTATAGTTTTTCGGACGTCTTCGTTTCTTTTTTCTTTTTTTTTTTTACGAGTGCGTACACTCAATCACGTCACGACGGGAAGGTGTTTTGTCAGTGACGTAATATCTCTGATACGGGTATTATCTACTTATCTGGTGACGATAACTTTCGGCGAAAGTAATCGACGATGACTAAATACGAATGTTTCATCCAGGAATAAACATTTGTCACCATTTTTTCATCTAGATTTGTAAGATTTGCCGCCAAAGTTGTCCTAGAGAGAAATTGTGCAGAAATTGTGACGCTCAAATGTATCCTTGCGGATTAAAAATACTCGCGGCACCAGAACATCATTGTTCTTGATAATAATGAGATAGCATTCACAGTATTCTGTTAGAAGAAAATGCTCCCTCAGCAGCAGTCGTAAAAATCATGCTCGGACGAGTGACGGAATAATTGCCCGGTAATTATAAGTATATATAGAGACGGCAACTCTGCGTACTTTGCAATGTAGTAAGCGTAATTCTCAGAGCTACCTGTAATTCTCTCATTAAACATGATTTCACCGGTGACGTGGTTTGCAATGATTCTCGGTAAGGCACGAACGAGTGAGAAGTCAATAAATTAGAGTATTATAAAAAATGTTGAGGTATTTGCAGCGACAAATTTTAGCGAACAATCAGGGTTTGCAGGGTACTGCGCGATCAATACGGGACGAACGTACTCATCATCGACATTCATTTGCACGGACGGCTCCGTAGCATCATTAGCGAACATTTGCGACGGGGTTCCTCATTGTCCGGATTCCTCGGACGAAGCTGCAACATTATGCCGTCACGTTCTGTAAGAATATACACATTTCGGTTACCAAGTAGTTGTCTCGGCAGGATGAAAATATCTCTTTTCCACAGATGTCCAACGTACATGTACAGATGCAGTTATGGCGCTTGCGTGACTCGTGCGGCACGATGTAACGGTCTGACGGATTGCGTGGATGCTAGCGACGAGTTCGCGTGCGACCGTGATTTAAACGACATTTGCTCCGATCGCGAGTTCCAGTGTTCCACTCCTCATCGAGAGTGCATACCTCTTCGTGAGGTGTGCAACGGTAAGCTAGCTCATCAAATTGAAGAATAGGTTTGCCATATGTTGAACATTATTCGAAATAAACAAATTGATTTGCCGTATAAAAAGAATGTTTGGGTGCATTAATAGAGATACCGTTCGACTCGGTACAATTTCTCTGCGAGATCTCGAGATAAGGAAAAAACGATCAAATCACTTGGAGTAATTGTCAATACGTAACAAATTTTTCTCAGGTACAACAAATTAGATTTTATCAATTGGCCAAATCGACTCGCGAAAATTCTAACGAGCCCATTTCGAAAGATATTCATTTAATACTCGGAATACCTTTTTTTTTTCTTAATTTATACATATATATGTGTGTATAAGTTTCCGCCTTCATCAGGTCGCGAAGATTGCTCGGATGGCAGTGACGAGAACGCGACGACTTGTCGCGAATACCTGTGTCCTGAATACACGTTCCGTTGTTCGTACGGAGGTTGTGTGCATCAGGAAACGATCTGCGACGGTGTCAAGGACTGCGCCGATGGCACCGACGAAGACTCGAGTATGTGCGCGGCAATTAATTGCGAAGGTGAAGAATGCGCGCGATATAAATGCAGGTTGGTCGATTAAATAATTCTTGTTGACGATTATCGCGACTCGTTAAGATTCGATCGAATAATCGTTTCTACTACTCATCTTCCTTTAAGGTTCAACCGAATCTTTCACCGTTCCTTCGCTGACAATTTAGATCGATTAAAAATTGTTTCGTCTCGTTTTCTCCGCAGAGACGAGGAGTTTACATGCGAGAGCGGAGGACAGTGCTTACCGATGGTTAAAGTATGCGACGGCACACGACAATGCAGAGACGGATCCGACGAAAGCGCAGGAATGTGCAAAGCGCGCGAGTACGTAATTTTCATGCAAATCATCAGTGTGAAAACATGAAAATTCCCCTCTTCTTAACTCTGTGAAATAATCGATCTCATTAAATATTCCACAGATGCCCTGAAAATTGGTTTCGCTGCGCGTACGGCGGCTGCATTCGGCCTGAATTAAAATGTAACTTCCAGCTGAATTGTTACGACTGGAGCGACGAGGAGGAATATCTGTGCGGGAGGACGCTGCCCGAAGGCGCTTGTCGGTTACCCGCGGCAAAAGCGGCCACGCATTATAATGTAAGTGGATGCTCCAAGTGTCGGCCGGGTGAAATTGTTCCCGAATTCACGCGTCTCGATTATACCTGTGACACTGGGGATTCTCCGCAAGGTCCGAGTGAAGTTTATTGCCAGAATAATCGGTGGTCGCCTGCTGTTCCGAGTTGTATCGTCGGTAAGTAATTTTTGTAATCTTCCAATTAATCTCTCCGCTCATTATTTGCAAAATCTTAACGTTTAATTTGTCTCTAAATTAGAGACTGATGATCTTCCGCTCGAAATTTTAATAAATCGAATCAAACGAAGAATATTTACGTACTTGGTTTAATGCGTGCCAAACGAATATTATACGCATATACACATGTATGAAGAATTTTTAGGAAAGAAAGGAAAAATAACGGATCTATTAAGAACCGAATAACATGGATGCTATTGAATATTATCAATATTAATATGTACGGGAGGATGAGGTAGACAGTCAAGATGACACTTTTTGATTCGTCATTTTGACGTTCCACCTAGATTGGATACGATTGATTAACCATATAATCAATATGAACAATACAGATGTATTGATATACGCATCTGACAGTTCCGCGAAGAAAATAAATCTTTACCAAGCGAATTCTTTATACAATTCTCCATTTATCAATCCCGAAACTTGGAATCCCACCTTAAGTGTTGCGAAAAAATGTTTTTCATTGACCGGAGCAATTTTTAGGTAAGGAAGGAATAACATGTCCAGTGCTTGTTGAGGCGTACGGTGCGTTTAAACGATGTGAGGCGATGTGGGGCCCTCACAAGGGATGGCTGCCTTGTGACCGAGCCCTTCCAGTTGGCACGCGAGTTCTTCTGGAGTGCCCGGCTTTCTACGAGCGTCGTAAAGGGTCTTCGAGCATCGTATGCCTCCACGACGGCACGTGGAGTCAAACGCCCCTGAGTTGCGCTCCTATCTGTGGCACGCGAGACTCCACAGGTTTGTCAATTGATTAGCAAAAACGAACGATCGCTTGTGATTGATGTATGAATTCTGAAATCAGCCGCAGCACTGATCGTAAAGGGGTGGCGCGTCGAGAAGGACGAAACACTGCCGTGGCAAGTCACGCTGTTCTCGCACGAGAACGGCGAATGGAGATTCTTTTGCGGCGGTACACTGATAGCGGAGCGCGTCGTGTTGACCGCTGGCCATTGCCTCTGGAAAACCGCGACGGACACGGTGCGCGTCGCTCTCGGTATACTCTCGAGCAACTTGACAAAAGCGGGAGAAGACGCGCAAGTGATCGACGTGGAGAGCATCACACTGCAGAGCGCGTATCGGGACTACGAAAGTAACTATGGCTCGGACATCGCGTTGCTGATCTTGAAGAGAGCCGTAACTATCGACTCGGTCGTCTCACCTGCTTGCCTTCCTCAGCGTCCCGACGCGACGTTGACGGAGGCTCAAGAAAACGGTGGATTCGGATTGGTCGCCGGTAGGTAGTTTCCGAAATAAGAAAGAATTATTTACACGAATTATTTTTCTAAATAATAAAAACGGAAAAGCTTCTCATATTTTATTATTTTAACTCTTTATACTATGAAAGAGGAAAGTTCAAATAATTGGTAAATTTTTACTTTATTACTTGAGTGTAGCACCTTCAGTGCAGCTTGCCACATCTCTGGCCGCTTTCCAATCCATATTTTCTTCCGGTGTTACAACGAGCGAATATATTCCTTAAATCGCAAAACTATGTAAGAATGTTCTCACACTTTCTCTCATAATGATCCACATTATTTTCTTGATCCATCTTATTCTGTGTTTGACGATTACAATACGATTCTAAAGCTTTGAAAGCTTTACAGGAATGGGGCTGACAGAGAACGACACGTTTAGTCCGACCATGAGAATGACCACGGCGAAGATCGTCTCCGACGACGAGTGTCGTCAAAAACAAAAGAAGGATTTTCGCAAGTATCTAACTTACACGTCTTTCTGTGCCGGATGGGCGAATGGTACCGGAGTATGTAACGGGGACAGCGGTGGAGGGTTGGTGATCCAACGGCCGAATTCCAGCGTTTGGGAGGTTCACGGTGTCGTTTCCGTGAGCCCACGTAGACTGGGTACCAGCGTGTGCGATCCAAACTTTTACACTGTTTTCACGAAGGTACGTGAAGCAGAAAAAAGCAAATTATTAGAAGGAACTATGGTCACTTTATTCGTTACAGGTTTCAGTGTATATCGATTGGATCAATCGGATTGTAGAGAGTATACCAGTTAGTGGCCCACCTGATCTTGATCGACAACCGAACACGGATTACATCATCGTTAGATAAAATTTGAAAATATCTTTTATGATAACTTGATTATCCCCCGACAAATTATTATTGGCAAATATATATAAATACGAACAAATCGATGTCGTTCGTTCTTTCTTCATCGTAAAACAAAAGAGTATTTCGCCACGAATGCAAGCGCATATGCATCCATGACGTGTCGAGACGACGATAATTTTCGTAGATTTCAGATTGTCAATTGGGGAAGCATTTGAAATAGGCGTTACAAGGAGGTTTGCCATGAATAAATCCGTGACGGGTGTTAAGCACAATAACGTATACATCACGCCTAGCCAAGTAGAATTCACCGAAGCCGCCGAAGGCATTTCGTATCGGCAATGTATTACCATCAAGAACGTCGGAAATAGATCTGCGTTCATCAGAATCCGCCAGCCGAATTCCATAGTAAATATCTCTCTCGATATTCTTATTAATCGGAATTCTTAAAAGCGAGAACGTCCCTCCCAAATTTACAACATTACACACGCACGAATAAGTGTTACTAATAAAACGAAAGAAAAAAAAAAAAAAAAAAANATGATTAGAATGTTTCAACAGGGGTTTGAGGTGGAAACTTGGAAAAGTAACACGCAGCTGAGTCCCGGATTAAGCTTAACAGCGTGCGTGTCTTACACCTTCAGAAAACCGTCTCTGCTGCACGCGATAATCCCGATCGAGATTGACGGGAAGGTTCTGGACTATCGTGTCGTGTGCACGTTGGCCGCTGAAGGCATCAGTATCGAGCCGCGGTCGATAGATTTCGGTATCATCGATTTAGGCTACAAGTCTGTTTCGAAGATAATTACGATCCGCAATAAAGGTGGCAAAAGCACCAGGTGCGGAAATAATCAACTCGTCAAACGTACAAAATCGAGGATTCTCATGGAGACAAGTGCGGAAATTATTCAGGAAAATTGACAGGTTCTCGATCGACCTCGGGCAAAGTGACTTGGAGGTTTCGGTGAAACCTCTCCGGGGAACAGTGAGACCGTCGAGAGAGATGACTCTGCGAGTCGAATTAGTCGGCACGTACGAAGGTGTCTTTTACAGCGAATTCTGGTAAGGCACGTCGCCGTAAGTTTCCGACCCGAGAGAAATTCGAACGATATCCGCAGGATCAAGTCCGTTCCAAACATTCGCGTTCCCATCAAAGTGAACGTCATCGCGCCGCGATTGGTGGTCTACCACCCGAACACGACCGGATGCCTCACCCTAGTCGATTTTTCGCCCACCATTGAAGATACTAGCAGATATGACACCTTCGTGTTGCGGAATCTCTCGTCTCGAGTCGTCAGCTATGTCGTCCTCGCTGAAATGGGCAACGAAGTGAAATGCATTCGGGTACGACTGAGATAAGTGCGCGTTTCAGTAAGTTTGTACAATGGATCAAATCTCTGCAGGATATCGATCATGAGCGACATCCGTCTCACAGAGTCTTTAAAATTCGTCCGATCGAAGGATTACTGGATCCGTTCCAAGGCGTTATCTTCGAGATAGAGTGAGTCCCTATGGATCTTCGCAAAACGCACGCATATTCGCGCAATTATATAATGTTTCTTCAAGTAGAATCTGTTAAAAAACAATCGGAGAATATATATTTTGTTGCGGGGGAGAAAATCCATTCTTAAATTCTCGTCGAAGGATTTAACGTTAGATTGTGATTTGGGAAACCTTCCTTAACATTGCGAGCTTAAGCACACTGCTTTTTCATATGTAATCTTGTAAATTAAAAAGGCCGTGTCTGTTAAATGATTTACAGATTTTCGCCGACAAGCAAGTTATCGCGACAAGAACGGACAAAACGTGAAAGAAAATGTCCTGAAAACGGAGATTTTATAGCCTTCATAAGAATAGTTAAGGTGCATTGCGCTGAATCGGGATTCCGTCGACTTGAAATGGAAGACAGTCTCATGGACGACGGTTGGTTTTACCACCGGAATAATTGTGTAATCGCCATACGTGGTTAACACTTTGCATTTCAACAGAAGAGGGAACAACAACGACAGAGTCCTCCGCCCTGTCAACGGCCCGCTCGCCAGGCATCGATTCGGAAAATGATGACATAATAAGACTCTGCCTCTATGGAGAAGTGGCAACGGCACGGCTTTACATCGAGCCGAACATTCTTTATTTCGGCGACGTGCTCGTCGGCCAGATGTCACAGCGTGTACTTCGCCTGACAAATCTCTCGGCTGTTGCGCCGATATACCTGGAATACGTGCCGAATGCAGCAGCGCGCTGTTCTCCAAAATCACTGCGACTTCAGCCAAAATCGTCGATCGAAATTCTCATTAAAGTTCGCGGAAAAGAGAGCAGTAATTAGCACGTTCGATCAATTCTAAATGCGATAAATAAATTTCATAATCTTGCGATTTTAAATCGGATCGAGTGGGGGGGCTTTCCCATCCCCTCGTTATTATCGTTTCTAACGTGATATGTTGTACAGTTCAACCTTCGTTCAAGCTGCACTTCGACGTCAAGGTGGATTCTTACAGCTCGACCGCATCGAGACGATGTATCGAAAAGAGAAAGATTGGGAGTTATACCGTCGACTGTGCAGTGAATATTATTTTGAAATCTAAACTAGGATTCCTGAGTAAGTCCAACAAGGAAAGGTATCTTGAAAGGGGTATCTTCCGATTTTGATAAATTTCGAATATATTGTAGAATGTTTCAAAGTAAGAGACATGAGTTTTTTTCTTACAAGTACTTTCTCGCATGAAATCGCGTTTCTACAACACGTACGTGTTGTTATAACACACTGAGAGGAAAGATATGTGAAAGATTAAAAAAAAATCGGTATTAACAACATATGTATTAAATGAAAATTCTTTTACTCTTGAAATAGAGTAAATTTCATGCAAGGCTTTTTAGAAAAAGAGGAATTTAAGAAAATGTGTATATTTTCTCATTTGAAAATGTTTTTCAGTACAAAAATATTGATATAAGTAAAGATATTATTAGTATCCACCGAATAAGTATTTTTTTTCTTTCAGTGCGTAAGGAGTAACAGTCGATGTATAAGCGGGACATATGTCTTTATCTACTTAGCGCCTCACTGTATGTACAAGCAGTTGCATCTGCTTGTACTTCGCGTTCCTCCTCATACGTGAATACGAGTTAATTAATGTTTTGTTTTTTCCGGCGAAGGCAGAAGAAGTTTGCCGATAAAAGCGATAGACAACGACGAAGAAATCATGAGACGAATTCTTCGCACGCCTAAATGGAAACACGACGATTACCCGGTCGATAGACTAGTATGTCGCGTGAAAAAGCCCATTCTTGAGAGATCGATTTGCACGAGAAAAGCAGCTGTACTGATACCTTTATCGCCCTTGCAGATATACAATATCCACATTCGCCCAAGCGTGTTCGCCTTTGGCATGGTAGGTAACTCCAAATATATGTAGCTGCATGGACGCTGATAATATTTGGATGAAAAGTTTTCTGAGAAAAATTACAGCCGATGAGAAAATAAGCCTGTTTCGTCCGTGCAGACCTTTCCCTTAGCAGAGAATGTCCAGAAAAATATTCATTATAAATTACTTCAATCACGGACGACACCCCGCGATTGATAGGTAGCGCCGAATAGTCTCAACTATCGACAGTTGGTCGCGAGGAACACGAACGATATCCCAGTGATGATACGCTTAACAAGTTCGCCGGCTGACTGCATCCGCTTTCCTGAAAGTGACTTGATGATCTTGCCACCAAACTCGACGTCGATGACGAAGCTTGTCGAGTACCATGCGAAAGACATTGGCAAGTTTAACGGATGCATCGGCTATGTGATTAATAATAATCACTTCTTCGATCTCAACGTTACCGCTTACGTCGTTCATAAGCAGCTGCACATCGATAAGAGAGAGATCGAACTTGGGAAGGAATGGTCGAGCGAGGAAGCTTACCGGCCATTGGCCTCTGTCATTTGTATTAAAAACAAACTAGGCGCGAGAACGTGTTTCAGGTAAATTATTTGTTTGTACCAATCGACATCGAATCGAACGAAAGCGCACGATTGATTGCAGATGGGAAGTGCCGAGTGCTTCTGGTTTCTACATAGAGCCAACGTCCGGTGCCGTGCGCGGTGACGCTATTTTACACGTTTACGCGCATTACGTCGCTAATAATCACGCTAAAGTTAATAGCGTTCAAGCCATCGTAAAATGCGAGAGCGGTAGTTGCGGGTCCTTGCGACTCAGCATACCGCGATTGACGCCGAAGGTCGAATTTGTAAACGACCACGTGAATCTCGGGGAGATACCGCTCAATCTGCCGACCAAAGTGATCGCCATTCTCCGAAACTTCGATATTAACGAAGTGGCGTACGAGGTGGACAGTGCGTCATTGACACACGGCAGCGCCGTTAGTCCACCGAGAGGCAGAATACCGGCGCGCGGTATCGCGATTCTTGAGGTGCTATGTCGTCGAAATTTTCGTAGAATTCAACATTTCCACTCGAATTATCAAGTCTAGTTGGTTAAGTCTTCAGATGGAGAAAGTAACTTCAGAATACGAAGACCTTCGACATATTCATGTAGAATTCATCTCATTTACTATCTTAACGATTTCTTTCTTACGCTTCTGTGTAGGTACATCTTACTTTCGATATTTGCTGCAACTTTTCCGCCGTAATCGCAGTTATGATTCAAGGGAGTGCGCGATTGACGTACAAGATCAACGGTAAAGTATCGTTTCCGCGATTAAAACTTCAGCCGGAGCGAATAGAGATGAAACGTGTCAGTGTCGATGCCTGTCAAACTCATCGGATAACAGCCACGAATATCGGAACGACGATATTGGAAGTGCAATTTTTGTTAAAAAAATATCCCGAATTTCGCATCTCTCTGTCGGTAAACGGTCAAAGCTCGGATATGGGTAAGTAGAATTGGCAAAAAGAGGAGAAGCAATCTGTTGATATTTTGGAGTTTTTCAACGGACGTTAATCTTTTAATTGTATTTGACAGAGAATATAATTATCGTCCCAGGCGCGAGTCGAAGCTTCTATTTGCACTTCGAACCGGTCGACTTAGCCAGCTACGCTTTCTACTTGCCGATGATGATAAACCAACTGCTGGGGCCGGTATCGGCGTTGAGCGTCAGACCGTCGGAATTTCTGAAATCGCGCGAAATTCGCTACGCAAATCTGTCGAACTTTGTGATAACACCGTTGCCCGATAAGCTACCCACGGTAACCATCGATTGTACTGTTGCCGCTCGCGTTGTCTCCTTCAGCAAACTGCTGTTTCGATTCAACGTCGCGACTAACGAGGCGAGTGTCTATACCGACGGATTTAATCACGTTGATTGAAGATTTCATCGAGATCGAATCTTTCGTTCTGTCCGCCGCAGCTGTCCGAAGAATTGTGCATAGAGAATCGGGTAACGCGAACAACGGTGCTCTTAAATATTGAGGAATTCAGCCAATCCGATTGTCCGTTCACCATCGAGTGGTCTCGCGGAGCGGAGGTCAGAAGAACGTCCGATTCTATCGAGTGCGCCTTATATCCCGGCGACAGCGTCCACTTCGTTCTCGAGTTCAAGCCGAAGAAACGCGGCAGCTTCAGTGTCGAAGCGCCGATACATGTTCACGGCGGGCTCGACGTATTCAATAAATTACGTCTCGACGGCGAGTTTCCCGCCAGCACGATCGACGTAGAACCGACAGAGATATATCTCACGCCCGTTCCTTTAGGCATGGCGATTGGGAGAAGGTTTATGATCCGAGCGAGGCACTTTGATAACTCGGCTTCGATAGGCGCGGACTTTTCGTCGGTGTCGCGATGCCGCGGCGACTACAAGAACGATTTGATACGCGTCGATTTTCCAAATGGCGTTCTTCCTCATTCGTAAGTCGTCCGAGTACATTCTTACAACGACCAATTTGAATAGAATTTCTTCAACGATGAATGCTACTTTGAAAATAATGAACATTTTTTATCCCAACGAATTTGGAACTCTTAAGGCTGGGATAAAAAATTCTCCGACGAGTTGATCCTCCAACAGAAATCGTTTGCTTATACGAATATTCTATGTGCAAGAACGTTTAAAATAAATGTTTCTTTATAGGTGCATAGAACTTGAGGGAACGGTAACGTTCAAAAGTGATCAACCTGTGTCATTTTGCTTGACGATCGAGTTTCGGGACGATCGTGCAACTAGCGTGTGTCGCCTAAAGGTGCACGCGACGGCGGACAATAATTTATTGACGATATACCAAATGCGATTGTTTGACGATGCAAAACGTGTCTCCATTTATTCATCGCCATCGTCAAACAATGAAACGGGCGATCGTTCTCTTGGACAAATTATAGACTCGGAACTTTATTCATCTCGAAATGAAGAAATATATACTAACGACGATGAGATGGTCGGTAATAATGTACAAACAGACAAGAAAGAGACGACGGAGAATGAGCGAGTGTTATTTCGCGAGAGAGAAATCGATTCGAAGAAACACTTTGCGAAATTATCGCATCAAGATTATTTTATTGATGACCGGTGAGTGTTACAAAGAAATCACACAATGAACGAAAAGGATGATGTGTAGTAACAAAGTGCTTAAAATGAGTTCTAGTAAGGATCAACACACGGCAATTGAATCATAATTGAAAAGAGGAAAATGCTTTTTACAAATAACTTGCAAGTTTCTGTGCTTTGCTAGCGTTTGCGGAAAGTATATACACCAAGTAACGATATCTATGGAAGAATGGATGTATTCGGGACCCCTGAGATTTCGGTTTTACCTGAGCATTCCCCACGGTATCACTGCGGCTTTCTCAAATTACTCCGTGAAGAGGAAGTCGAACGTAGGATATCCCAAGAGGAAAGATAACGCGACTATACCGTCATTTATCGATGTGCTCGAGTCGCTCGTGGGGTCGAAGATACGTGATTATTTGGGAGAACAGTAATGTCGTGGTATATTCCTTGATTTCTATGTGCCAATTGTTAACGTACTGTTTCATTCGAGGCAACCGTTACCGGAAGACGATGTCGAGAGAATCAGTTATATTCTACGATTGTATGATAAGGTGCTCGACTTTCTTATATCACGCGGAGCACATTTAGCTCACGTCTCGACGCAATTTCTTTTAAATTACGACGATTACCTCCTAATCAATGCTGAAATCGCACAGAACGATGTGAGTTGCAAAGCATATATATATATAATTTAATAAGTTGACTCGAAAAATTGACTTGAACATTGTTCCGTTACACCGAATCTTTCGAAAACGCGGACGTTGAAAAGACTTTCGGAAATTTGCGCCGTCTCTTACTGATGTACATCATTTATTATAGGAAAAAATTCAAAGAAAACCGAATCAATGCGAGCGGCTCTCGCGACAGTCATTCGACTTGCGAAACCAGCGATGTTGGTTGGACGTGGTTTTACAAACTTACAAATGCTTCGTGCTCGCTGGAATACATGAACGCGAATATCGGATATTACCGTTCTTCACGATGCATTTCTCGAGAAAATCCCATAGGGAGTCGCTAATCCCGCCATCGAGGTTTACCGTATCACTATAAGAGCCTTCCTACAAGCTATAAGGAAATCGTTTATTAGAAGAATAATCGTCTTATATCTATAGAAAGCCTCCAAGTATTTTCCTCCGAATGACTCACTCATCAGAAATTTGACGGACCTTCCAGTTTGCCGAAGCAGTGTGAATTACACGAGAGATCCATCCATCGAAGTATCGTGAATTCGTCGAGCAAGAAACTCGATAACCGTTGCCCGGAGGAGAGCTTTCTGCTGGCTTGGCTGCAGTACCATTACGAGCAGCAACGCGTGCGAGACTGGATGACCGACCACCGCTTGAATTCGCAAGAGAAGTTAGACGAGCCTCGGTTAGTTCAGAATTTTCATCGGGACTTATCGGACAGTCTAGTGTTAATTGCCCTTACCGCGGCCTACTGTCCCTTTCTTATTCGCGAGTGCTTCGGTAATTTCTACATCCGCCCGAGGAACAGCGAAGAGGTAATTGAATGACACATTATCGCTTTTAGATTCTGTATAATTTTCACAAAACTATGTCCTTAACGCAGACATTACACAATGCTATTTGCTTGGTCACCGCTTGGAGAAAGATACGAGTTGGTTTTATAATCACGCCGATGCAATTAGTTAATCCGAATGAAATTCAGATGTTGATGCTGGTGACCCATCTTTTTCAAACTTTACCGACGTATGTGCCCAATGCCAAGGTATTTGTATAATTCAATTATATCCCAGTATATTCCAAATAATTAATATGTAGAAAAGATAAAACAGGCATGGTTTAGTGAGAAGAGTAAGTTTCATTCTTGAAAAATAGAGAGAAATATTGAAAGAAAATAGTGAGTCAGTTTTCAAAGAAACGAAGTAAAAATTGCAATATACTTCCAGGATGTTGGAATGTCCCAAGTATAAAACGGACTAATTATTCAATTTCTTGAGAATAATATTCAATAATATGCAATTTAAAGAAAGCAGGCAGGTGTGATTGAACATGATTTCTTGCGATAGAGCTGTTTTTTAAAGAGCTCGAAATTGATTAAAAAATGGGAAGTGAGATTTGTCTTAAGAATGAAAAAAGTGGTCTGTTTCTAAATAAATGAAAAGATATGATAGAAATAAATCGCTCTTTAATCGAAATTAAAGAGACAATACAGTCGCCGTTGTAAAAATGTACTTGAATCTTTAACAAAAATGCATTTGAACGGATTCGAGTAATATCATGTGTGTGATGTACAGAGAGAGTATATATGTATAATCGTTTGTTAATATAGATAAAATTGAGCTGCCCGCTATCTCAAACTGCAACCAAGCAAATAAGCGTTTCGAATCCGTCAGATAACGCTGTTAGTTATTTATTATTATTCGTCAACAACACCAATCGCTTTTTCAACATCCTAAATCCTGTATCGATCCTTCGTTTGAATATGCGTGATAACGGGCAAGTGCAAATACAGTTTCACGCGAAGAAAATAAGAAAATGTCAAGGTAAAGTTGTCGTTTTTAGGAAAATAGTTCGAGACTAATGTTTTTAACGGCGGTTTTGCATGAATTTATTCTTTCGTCAGCATACTTGTTGTTTTGTGGATGCGCCATCGGCCCGTACTTCGGTAGCAACCAATGCATCGTCTTGGAGGGTCAGATCGATAACGTAGGAATTATAAAAGAATACACGGTACGCAGCAAATTGTACGAAGTCATCGAGACCAGTTTGAGAATTAACGTACCTTATCGAAACGCAGCAGAATACGAGATATGGTTAACGGAAAAACGGCCGAATCATCCGTGTAAGATAACAGCGGTTTTCCTGAAGATTGCGATTAAATATTTTTAGACCTTAATTCCTTCAGGACAAAGTTGAGCAAGTCTTATATTTTCACAAATAATTACCAAAGCAATATATCATGACACAAATGCGCATTTAGCTAATCTAGAAATGACTCGATGGCGTGATCTATGTGCCAGAAAAATACCGAGGAGGCTTTTTCTAAATCAAAAGTCATTAATTGTTGTCGAAGGTGCGCCGGAAGTGCTTTTATCGATCAGTGTAGCGTGCATTGCACCTAAGCAACGGAAATTTTGGTTAATTTTCCAGTCGAAGATTGGTGACTTCATTATTCAGGTTGGTGTTAAACAACAGTTGTTTCTTGAAAATAATAAAATCATGATCAACGCAAAATATTGCGATGTAGAAATAAGGATATTAATTTGCTACTATCCTACAAGTAGAAATGATTATATTGTGGAATAAAATCAACAACAACTGTCGTAGATAAATTCCACTTGGCAAGCACCGGTTAATGATAATATTGTCATCGAGTGGACGATTCGGGAAGAATGCGTTTGCCCAGATCAGCGAGGTGACACAAAAAATATTTGTCCGTTTAATTTTAGTGTACCCATACTATCGCGCAATATGCAGCTCTGGAGATGCGTTGCCGAAATGTTTCAGAAAACTCTCGACTCGAGAGAGCGTATTTTCTGGTCCAAATATTTAGGTATCACACATTGTCAGTATTAAAATGTGTCATACTACTATTAAACCTACGTATAAAAAGTCCTGCAGAGAGAAGCGGTTTTGTCTTCATTCTGTTTTCATTGAACTGCACTAAAAGACTTTCGTTAAAAATTCTTTTTTACTTTGTATAAAATATCTTTTTGTAACAAAGCTACTCTCTTAAACTCTCTTGGATTGCAAGATTGCATCTTTTAATATTTATACTTACTATTCGTTTCAGATACGCACATCGGATTACGTTTAATACAATGGTTAATGGGGGACGACATTGATTCCACAGTTTCTGAATTTGCCCATATCTTTGATAACACGGTCACATATAAAGTAGCGATTTCGGACAAATCGAGCCCTCTTGTTATACCAGAATATTTTACTATAGAAGGTCGGTAAAAGTTCAAGTTAATTGCCGCATCATTTACATCGAATGAAACGGTTTAAATAAAACAATATAATTATTGCTTTTGAAGACGTAAAGAAATACTTTTAGGAAGAAACTTATATAATTGGAAGAAATATTATAATAATAAATGAAAAGAGTCATTCGTCGTTTTCGTGATGTTGAAAAATATATTTTCGAATTTTGGTAGAAAATTTGGTTTGAAACACACATAGATTGAAAAAAATGTGGAATATACGCCGTTAGAATCCGGACATGAAAACGTTTTTTTGTAAATAAATAAATCGTTTATTAGAGCCAATATTAAAGAAATACATTCGAGGGATCCGTCCTTCTCATTCGATGAAGCCACCCTGCGCCACGATCACTGCCTCGAGATCCTTGTCTTGAAGCGTGAGCACGCCGTCTTCAACTGAGCCTGGTTCATTGCTGCAAACGCCGCCTCGGTGGCGGAAGAAGACCGCGTTGGGCTGGCTGGACTTGTTGGTAACCTTCTCGACTATGCCCCACATGTAATAGTCGAGAGGATTCAGGTCGGGACTATCGGGAGGCCAAGTCCTACTGGGCCAAAACATGTTGACGTTGTCGGAGAGCCAATTCTGCACCAAGTGTGAACGGGTGTATCGTCTTGCTGGAAAATATATGGCCTCCCTGAGGCCACGGCCTCCATCCAAGGCTTCACCACCGTTCTCAGGATCTCCAAGTAGACCTCATTCGTTTCCTTCTTCTGGAAGAAGTACGGCGGCATGACGTCGCCTTCATTCGAGACTACGCTTAGGACGTGGACACTGGCCGGAAATTTCGTCTTGTTCACCACATCCTCGGGGTCGCGGGCAAGCCAACGTACGTTCCTCCGGTTCACCTTGGCATCCACAGTGAAAATCTTTTCGTCGGAGAAAAATCTGAGGCGGCCGGCAGCTTCCTGCTTCAGTGAACACATGAGCAAGTGGCAGCGGGCTAGTCTCTTGAGCTTGGCGGCATCGGAGAGCATTTGGCGGATCTTGAGAACGTAGAACGTGTACCTGAGATCCTCTTGAGCGATCCGACGGATCTTCCTCGCCGGGGTAGAGGAGTCCTTCTCCGAGGACTCCTCCGCGTACCTCCGGATAACATCGTACACCGTCGACTTGGGGTACCCGAGAAACTTGATTATTTCGTTTGGCGTCCTTCCGGCGTGAAGACTTTCAATGATCGCTGTCCTCCGGTTACATTCCGGGCTTAAATCGGTCATTTTGAGGTTACGCACGTCTTACGGTTTTCGCAACCAGTACGAAAAGGGGCGTTTTTCACGGCAGCCAATGGCGCTCGACGCTACCATAAATTTGCTCCACTTGCGACGCACGATATCCAATGAACGTACTGCTTTTCCAAAAGAGCTGCAGGCTCATTGGATATCGCACTGGTCCGCGGTTACCCATGCAGCTGATTTGCCTTGGTGCCGAGTGGCACCCATAGCTGAATTCTAATATAGCGGGAATTTCAAATTCAATTTTGTTCGGATTCTAACGGCGCACCGTTTATATATATATATATATGTGCGTGTGTGTGTATATTGGCTGTTAAAAAAATATAGCGATTTATAATGTTTACTAATCTGAGCAGGAAATGTTTAGCAAACATAAAACCGAGAAATTAGTCCTTTCAAAATTAGAAGCAATTTCTATATTGGTAGCTGAACAGGTTGACCTATTCATGTTTACATGCCGACGGCATGTAAACATACATAAGATCGTCTTATAAATTCGCTTATATGTAGAAATTATCCCAGTTATTCATCGTTTGAATCGCTATCACAATTAATTTTTGTGATAAATTCGAGAATTTAGTAGACAACAGTTTTATTATTTTAACAAGAAAATAGCAGAAATGTTTCATATTTGATGTGTTGACACATTGTGCTGACAGAATACTTCTTATAAATATCAAAATTAATTTAAGGTAACATAATCTTATATGCCGTAAAAAATTACAATTAATATAACTATTTATTTAGATTTATATTTATTTAATTATAAAAATGCTACATAAATTATGTGTATCTAGATGTAAGACGATCCAACGGACAAGTTCCAATCTGTATACACATCTCGCCAACAACTCCTTCATTATACGAGACGACAATGACTCTCACTTCCCTGTCTGGTAAAGAACTTCGGATATACATCATTAATTGCATACAATCATGAAGGCAAGTCATCATTAGTGTATGATTAATGTAAAAGCTATACCATTTAAATATTTTATCATGTAGAGGACGTAACTTAAAGAAATAACATTAGCCTATTATCTGTTTGATATCTACGGCATAAGAAACTTTACTGTACATTTTTACGATAATATTTTTGTTTTTACTAGTATATTACGTCTGAAAATGTTTCTTTATAAAATTATTATTTTGCACATATACGTAATGTAAATTCTTAAGAACGGTTTTCTTCACAACGAAATGTCTTACAAAGAAATTCCATTTTCAAACGTTATTCCTTTCCTAGTTGTCTCACGATCTCGTATTATCCAATTTTTCAATTTTTTTCTTTTTACAGTTAGCAACAATTCGTCTGTATAATTAATGACGATTACATACCTATTCTTCGTCATGGTTGACATATACGAATAAATTAAATTTAATCCTTCGAAATATTTTTGACATCAAACAGGGATTTGCGCGAGTACATATTGAAATTAATAAGTACCTACTGATAAAGGATATGATAATTGTTGAATTATCATGATTTTGAGCTCTAGAATGCATGGTAAACTTGATCTCAATTGGTCTAATATTTCTGTGTGCAATTTTCTTTTTTATTAATTAATAGTAACTTTTGGTCAGCGAACATAAATGTGAATATGTATCGATTTTCTATAATCGGCCGTTTGATGTTTTGTTATTATTTTTTAAGAAAACAATGCAAATCTTATAAATACCGCAAGTTTTTTTGGAAAATCACTTCCAATCAGATACAAGAAAATTTTCTTATAAAATTTTCTGAATTTCCCATTTTTTACACCATTTTTAAATTCTCTTGAAAATCGCCACAATGCAAAGAAGACGATGTCACAATAGAGAAAACAACAAAAAATAAAATTTAAAGTTAAAAGATTACTGTACGTCTATGATACGTTTACACTGACAGATCGAAATAAAACCAATCATTCGCAGAGCGATCATGCAATTTTTTACAAGCATTTTCTCTATTGTTACTTCAATAATATATCTCCCAATGTGTTGTTAAAAAGTTATTTTCTATTTTTACTTATACTGCGGGTATATACATGATGGTACTTCTATTTGTGGATTAATTTATATTATTTACATATACATTTACATTTAAATAACATTTACAATTGTTAGACAATACAATTGTCAAACCAATTTTCGACGGCGCATTTCCTTATGTAAAACGATATCATAATCGTCGTTCTCCGTCGATGCGCTGGAACCACTGCCGTGTGAGCTAGTTGCAGCACCGTCTATAAAAAAGAAAGAAAGTATAATTGATATGCAGTCAATATAAGAATTCAAGAATATAATGTCTTTCTGTATTCAATATTATTCACGATGACTAAATATACGGACTGATTATAAATTTAGGATAATATTTATGTGACTGCGTGAATTAATATGAATTACATTAATATACGCTGGCAATGAATTATAGTGTTAATTCTTACCAAGATCTGCATAGTTGACTTGACAGAAAGCTCTACGGCCACCGAAGGATATTTGATAAATAGGGAATTGGCCATCGTTACCGTGTTCAATGGCTGTGTAAGCATCGGCTTTGTGTTCAAATGTTACAAAGCCGTAATTACTGAAACACACGTTGTTGCACGGGCAAAAAATAAGTAAGCACAAAGGAAATATTAGAGATACTATTTTTGGTGGTGAGTGAAAATAAATTTTTCCTTCCTTGCAAAATAGAGAGAATTACTTACGTTTGTGGACGAAAATGAAGACTAATGCCTACAATACGGCCAAATCTCTCAAAACGTCTGTGTAGGTCTGCTTTGGTTATTCCATTTTCAATATTCCCTACATATATTACTCTTCTTTCGTCCACTTGACGTTGCCATTCTTTACGGTATCTTTCATTCTGATGTCTACGATGGTATGATAGAGGGGACCTGCTAAAAAATAATTATGAAAATTATCAAAAGATGCGTCTCAAAGTTTCAACCAATTCGAGTTGTTCTTTAGACGGATCGTGAATATGCTTCTCTTGTCGATAGTATACATGAGAGCTAGGTTATTTTTATTTTGACATTATTTACCTTCTCATGTCCTGATCTTGGCGGCTTCTGGAATATCTTCTATCATAATATCGTTCCCGATCGTTGCTGCCTCGATTGTTTGATCTTCGGCTCCTTCCACGAGAAGACGATCTAAAATGACCGTTATTTGTCCTTTAAATTTTTCATATTTCTATCTATGTAACTTATTCGTGAACTATCGTTTCCTCAATATCATACAGGATAATTCCGAGAACGACTATTAATAAATCGATCATAGAATAGGATTGACATGTGATAGAGATGGAGCAATCGTAATTTTTTTCCTTTTTTTTAGGTGAATTCTCGCTGTAAGTGGAGTTATCTCCAACTTCGGCAGAAGTTTGAGATGTTTCAGATGCTAATAATTATTGATCCATCCTGTATGATGCATAAGTTACGACATATACTTCTTTTGTTATATACCTTGAACGACGCGAGTAATATCGTGAGGAAGACGTTGAGAGAAGTGAACTGGAAGTCGAACTATCATGACTGCGTTGACGACTTGTTCGTCGTACTCTGCTATGTCTAGTTTCTTCAGAACTGCTTCTACTTTTACTTCTGCTTCTATTTTTACTGTGGTTTGAAGATCTATTCCTGCTCAAACTTCTGCTTCTACTTTCACTAGTACTTGACTTCCGGCTTCTGCGTTTGTTCCTGTTTCTCTCAACACTTCTTCTCCTGTATATACTCTTATTCCCACTCCTTCTCGTCCTTCTACTCTCACTCCTACTTCTGCTGCTGCTGCTGCTGCTGCTGCTGCTCTTATTTCGAGTTCTACTCTTGCTCCTGCTCCTGCTTTTGGTGTTGGATTTCGAACGACTTGAACGACTAGATTTATAATTTCAAAAATAAATTTAAACAATAGGAAAGGAATGGCTGATAAAAGTTATATCGCAGATATTGGCTTATTTTATTATTCAATATATTTCTTTATATCGTGTGAATACATTAATTATATTATAATATCCCGTGTCTTTGTATCAAATCGTTCGAAAAATTCAAGTGCTAAAATTTTTATGAAAATTTCTTATTATACACACACACATACACACACACACACACACATACAGAGAGAGAGAGAGAGAGAGAGAGAGAGAGAGAGAGAGAGAGAGAGAGAGAGAGAGTGTGTGTGTGTGTGTGTAATTATCATAAGACATTAATAAATTAGTATCGACTAATTGTATTACGCTACTCATTAAAATTAAAGTTTAAAAGTCCTAAAAATTATTTTCAGCAATTTTCAATAAAGAAAGAATTATCAAATTTAGCCAATTACCGCTGTTATTTAGACGTATATTATATAAGGTAGACTAATAATAGATTTTGGAGTTTTTACCGTTTGCTTTCTTGTTGTGGCGATTTTCCAGAAAATTCAAAAATCGTTTCATACGTCTGGACCGCTGCGTCGCAGTTCAGTAATTTAGTATTTCCTGCGTCATTATCTAATACAGACTTTATAGCTGTATCAATCTCACATCCAGACCAAATTTCTTCACCTTTTTCCACAAAAGGTTTTGTCATGGTGTACGCATTATAAAGGTACACCAATTTTCTCTGTACTGATATACCAGTTTTATTGCTATTATTTGAAAATTCTCTTTTTTTCCTATATTCTTCTAGATTTAACTTTTTACGTATCGGTTTTTTAGTTTCTTGTACCGGTATATTTTCAGTATTGTCTTGCTGTATTATATTTTTAATTTCATCATTCGAACTGTTGATAGTGGTTACAATGCTTTCCTTAATGTTCTTGGTTAATATTGAGCATTGTGTAGATGAATTTTGCTGTTTTTTCAGTACAGAAACTAATTGGAGTGCTTTAGGTCCTGTCTGCGTTTCCATTGCAAAACTCTTTTGTCGCGACTTTAAGATGGTCCTGGCTAGAACTGACTGAATGTTCATGTCGCCAGTGGCAGGAGCTTTGTTGATTAGATTCGGAGCTGCTTTTTGAGCAGACGGCGAATTAACTGCGCAGCTAACTTGTGTCAATATCACGTCGCTCTTTTTCGGCTGATTGTCACATCTCTCCGATTGATTTGATGTTTCACTTCGATGTGATTTTGATGTGTCTTTTATGAAAATGTGATGTATATAAAAGGATTATATAAATTATATTTACGAATAGTTAATTTATTTGCTATCGAATTATCTGTGTGTTACACTTACTCTTGCTCGCTCTTTCATTAGAATAAACTTTGCAATAATCGTGTTCCAAGTCTATAGAAGAACTATTACTTTCTTTACTTTTGAACATAATATTACTGCGATTTTCAGAATATTCTGTGTTTAGTACAGCGTGCGTTGTCAGGACGGTTCTTTTAGGTACCTAAAATTATAAAATTAAATTATAAAATAAGTCAAAAAAGGAGAAAAGTTTTTTTGTCGTAATAGAATTTACCTCCGTCATAACTACTTTCTCGCACGAGTTTTCGGCATGACACGGAGTGTATATAGTAGATTTATTGGATGCGCCATCCGTTTGACAACTCCGTTGCTTTACGTTGCGCGTTTTGTTTGGTAACTTGACACGACGTACGTCCTCAACAGTTGGTTTATCATTCGGTAAAGTTTCAGATTTTTCAATCTCTTCAAATTTTTCTAATAAACTAGGTAAGTCCACAGCTTCTATACCTTCTCCTATAACAGAAAATAAAGATATATATCTCCATTAATTCTAGGATATATACATTCAGAAGTCTCCGAAACCTCGGTGAAATTTTGAAGCTTCATTATTGTTAGAATTAGAGATGTTATGACTGTCTTAGAAAAAAAGTTTGAAGTCTCTTCAATAGCTCGCAGCAACAGTCAGTTGCCGCTAGACTAACAATGTGCCAGTGTAATTAGTCTGGGAATCCCAGTGTGTCAACCATGAAACCTTATTAGTAAGTAAATCTTTATTTATTTCACTTTAAGCTGATAGTGTAAATTTATACTCGAAACAATATTCTGATTATATATTTCTTCAATTTAATTATAACATCAGTAAATGATTTAATTTTAAATGTATTGCTCATAAAGAATAGAAAGTGTAATGTTATAATAGAGAAATCTTTTCCATAGTGTTGTCTATCATCAGGTTTTCTAGATTTGAGACCATTGGAAGTATATTATTATTAATAGGTCATACTTATTGTTTATCGTTGTACATAATGAAGATACATAATAAAAACTCGCAGCTACTCGAAGAGGTAAGGCAGAAAAAGACAACAAAAAGCTCTATTTCCGGAGTGCAAAATTCTTCGATATTCATCGGTCATTATTGTGTACGAAATATATCGCAAATTCATGAAGATACAGTACAATTAATTAATTCTTTCTTTATATATTACTCATGCTTAAATAAACATGCTATGATTATATGTATAAGTTAGTGAGTTTGTAATTTTTAATATAAATCCTAATTTTTTTCTTTACTAGTCTGTGAAATCGTCAGAAAACAGAAATTTGGACGTTGTTATTATTCGAGCCCTACAATTTTCTCGATAACAATCGGAGTTTTAAAGGCCAAATTTTTTTGTAATACTTTGAAATATATCCTTTGTCTAAAGATCAGAAAGATTTCTTCTCGTTTACCTCTATTAGCAAAAAAATCTATGCAATTCTCAGGCAAATAGAGCTATGACGTTTCCCTTGGATGAAAAAGTAATTCATGTTCTCTAACACATTTTTTGGTACTTATGATTTTGGACTATTTCTGGATGAATCAACGTATTTACTGGCTCATTTACGATCGATTGCAAAAAGAAAAAAAAAGTAATCAAAATACAATAATTTTCTCAATATATATAATAAGGAGACACTCAGAGATCACCCCTAAACCTCCGGTGTGGTAACCATATACACGAAAAATAAGTGCCTATGATTAAAACTTGAAATCCATAAATAGTCAAAAATACTCAAACTACATTCAAACATAGTTGACTCAAATATTTTATTTGATATGGAGTTTCAATTACCTGCACTCTCCTCCTGTTCTTGTTTCATTTTTGGAGTTACATTTCCTGTGTTCGTTTTTCTCTTTTTCGCATATGGACGCACTTTCTTAGTGCTTGTATCTTTTTTAACGGATCCATATGCTTGTCGAGATGTAGATGGTAGATCGATATTAATCTCTTTCTCCGTTTTTATTTCTCTTTCCCTTTCTATTTCTTCAATTTTACCGTCAGTGCTAAGGGGGAGATCATCTACATTTTTACATTCATTTTCTCCTTCAACTCCTTTGACTGTAAAATAGAAAAAAATACTTGTTTTATACAAAAATCAACAGTGTTGAAGGCAAACTGAAGAAAATCATTGGCAATACAAACCTATTTCCGCTTTTTCTTTCTGTGGTTCTGGTAATACATTTTCTACATTATGCAATTCTTCTAATGATTCTGTAAGCATAGCCTCCACACCATGTAATTCTGGGAACATGTCCTAAGATGTAGATATTTTTTGTAATAAATTTTGTATACACACACACACACACACACACACACATACACGTACGTGTGTACATATAGAAATATACAAACAGAAATAAATTGATATTTTTATGTTATGTTATGTTTTATTATATTCTTCTCTTTATATCATATTTATATAATCATTGCTATCATTAGAAAATTGCTTGAAATTTTTGATTTAGATAATTTTAAACAATTTTTTAATATTATAATTTATAATGAGAATAATATGAGATTATGAACCTGTATAAAACGATCATAGTTTTCTTCTTCTTGCTTAAGGTGTACTGTCGGAAGTTCTATAGATTGTAAAGATTCCAACTGCTGTGAGACTCGTGCTTTCCTATTTTAAAATATATTAAAATAAAATTGAGTGTACTTATATTACGTATCAATCAATCAACCAATATATTAACACGTATCAATCTATCATGTCATTCAGTAAGAACGATGTACTTACTTTTCTGCCTGGTTTTGCAGTTGCAAAAGATATGGAATGGTATTAAAATCCTGTTCAGTACATGAAAACAAGAGATCAGAACGATTTTGTATTATACCCTGCAAATAAATAATTCACAATGCAAACATATGTATTTATCGTTCTCTATTTATCATTATATCATTATGTTTTTAATTTATATGTACATATTTTTTTTAATTGCATTAATCTTGTATCCTATATAGATTAAAATATAAATATATATTTTTCACTGAATTCTTCAAAGCTTTTCTTTCATTTTTAAGATATTTATGTAATACTTATACACACACAATTATTTTTCCCTCTTACCTAGTTATTAGTGTTTCCACTTTTCATATTACACATACACCCTCATAATTTACAGATTCTTATATCCTTTTCATATTTCAAGTGGATATTTGTATAATTTAAAGGAATAAACGTCTTTTATTGAAACCACGTTAGCATACATGGGTATTGATTTAAGTGCATTAAATATATATATATACAGGGTGGACCATTTTAATCCATCCAGTCGAATATTTCGAAAACCAAGCCCGGGAGAGAAAAATTTTTCAGACAAAAGTTGTTTGGTTTCGAGGGGACCATAAGACGGTACCATTGGTTTGACCTTGAAGAATTATTTGAAAGTCACATGAAGGTCACCTCAATTTTTTTAAATGGCATCCTCTATTTTTTATTACATATTCTTGTAGCTGACCTCGAGAGCTTTCCAAAACACTATAATGAAATGTTTCTTCATTGAGTACTTTTCGAGTTATAAAGCTCCAAAGTTGCAATAGGAATTAATAGGAATTAATAGTTTGTAGATACAATTGGATATTTAGGTATCAATTGATTACGGAAATCTCTCCCACTGTTGATCGGAGTGTCAAACTTTATTATTCACAATCAGAGGCTTACGTCTGCCAACAATACCCATGGCTGATTATCGCCCCTCAGAGATTGTTGATATTCTCCTTGTTCTCGGAGAATGTGAACTAAATTATCATGAAGCTTCGCGAGTTTACCGGAATCGTTACCGCGAAAGAGAACAACATCCGAATCATACTACAATCCGGGACCTCGAACTAAGAGCTCGCCAAGGCCGTTTAGGACGTCAAAGAGCACATCATGCATTTTCAAATTGCAACTTTGGAGCTTTATAACTCGAAAAGTACTCAATGAAGAAACATTTCATTATAGTTTTTGGAAAGCTCTCGAGGTCAGCTACAAGAATATGTAATAAAAAATAGAGGATGCCATTAAAAAAAATTGAGGTGACCTTCATGTGACTTTCAAATAATTCTTCAAGGTTAAACCAATGGTACCGTCTTATGGTCCCCTCGAAACCAAACAACTTTTGTCTGAAAAATTTTTCTCTCCCGGGCTTGGTTTTCGAAATATTCGACTGGATGAATTAAAATGGTCCACCCTGTATATATATATAGAAAGTAAGCAGAAAATTATACATATATATAAAGCAGCATTATAAAATTGATAACATGTGACAAAATGCACTAGTCAACGAATTTTGTATCCTTGAATTTCTATTTTTTCTATTTACATTCATGTATAGAAAATAACAAAAAGTTATTGAACTCCAAGAAACAACAAGAGATTACATCTTATTTTAAATCAATAATTCGAGGTCCAAAAATAAAATAACAAAAACCTTAATGATATTGATGAGGAAAGCATAATGATAGAAAGTATAATATATACAAATAATATATAATATATATAAAAAGCTATACAGTTATTCAACTATACAGTCGTAAAAAGGAGATATTTCACAAGTGCACTTCATTTCACAGTCAAGCATTACTACCTCTTGCGGGTTGTAGATACTTGTATAGTATTCGTGAATGCTTCCTTCGTCGTGGAAATGTCTTTGTTCAGTCTCCATATCCGGAATCGGGGATTCTATCTCAACCATTTGCCTGCAATATAATTAATATAATGAGAAGAACGTTGATTAACAATAGTCATCGGTAGCGATCGGGCTGTTCACGCGGTTTTTAGGGTTTTTAGGTTATGTCGAGTTGAGAGAGAGAGAGAGAGAGCATGGTGCGGAACGCACGTGTACGGCTTGAAGTTTGACACTCACTTGACGTTGGCGTGGAATTTAAAGCGCGCTTAGTCACTAAACACACACGTGCGCCGCGGATCGATCGAAAAAATACGCGTGTATTTCTCACAATGTATAAATGCAGATTGCACTATTGGCGCGTCAATTGGATGCACAGACAATAGTGTCGCGTGTTGAGACCAGCTGCTGAACTAGAGCGGCAACCGGCTCGCGATATTCACCATTATTCACTATAGAACGGTCACGACAATGCGCTGTCACGCACCAAATTACACTCTGTCGAAAACTCACTATACTTGCAAGTATATTTCCAGATACGCGATCTACGGCTCGTGGCCTCTCTCACAGATTCTTTCACGATGCGGACACATGGAAGGGAGCGCTGCTTGGCACCACGTACGTGTGTGTGCTTCTTTCATGTGTAGAGCCATTTGAGCGAGGACGCGCACGCGCAAGAAAGGAAGAGAGAAAAAGAAAGAGGGGAGAGGCAATGAGAGAAGCCGGCTTTTCCACGTTGCGTCACGCCTTCGGGAATTAGTGGCGGTGAATATCTTGGAGAAATGACAAGTTGCTGAAAATCGCTTCTCCCTGAAACCAGGAGCGTGCGAATCATTTAGAATACGCGGTAGAATATAGATATGTGCAAGGCCGTTGTTTCTTAGTTGGCACAGTATAAATAACGTCGCGTATCTGCGTTCATGTAATTCGACACGACGAACAACGTTGCATGCAATGCCCGGAATATTTGTTCGGCATTTATATCGCAAATTTATTGCGAATTTCGATTCATGTTTGACTGTTCGCCGCATCAAAATCGTATTATGCACATTTCTAGCGCGCCGCGCTTGCGCTCAGTGTTTTCGAGATAGAGGGCGTCACCACTAACTGTGTTCTTTTTGGACATTCACGCGCTGTGAGCTCTCGCACGTGCTACTTTCGACACTTCTTTTTGAAAACACTCAATCGCGCCCTTTGGCATTTAAGCGTGCGTAAGATTGACGAAGACGAATTGATTTCGATTCGCTGACTCGTACCGATAATACAGCAAATCCCATTATCATATGTAACATGAACTATAGATTCATAGTAGTATTGTAGTTTTATAATAGGGATGTTAAAAGGGAATCTGTTTATTTTACTGTTATCATAAAGTCTTTTTTCCAGATCAGTGTTTGCAATTGACCTTGCCATCTTTTGGAATCACTAGATCTTTGGAGAAAAGCAGTAAAGGCACACAAATTGACCATAAATTTAATCATAAACGTAATTTTAAGCTGAGGAACCAATTAGGGTATTGCCTTAGGTTTGTATATTTTAGAAGAAGATAGCCGTGTAATTAGGACTTTCAGCAAGCGAAAACCTTTTTTGCAGTGTTGAACGATGCTTTTAACTATTCAAGGTTTACATCTCGTAAGTAGGGCAGTCTGATAAAAATCGAAATCAAATGAGATTTTATTATTCTAAACATTTGCCAAACTTTCGATTACTTTGTCTTATCTGTACTCGTAATTTATATTTAGCATCGGAATCTCTCAGCTACAATCTTTCAGTCGCAATCTTGCAAACTTCAGTGTGACGTTAATTCCATGCGAGATATAACAATAACGTAAGTAAGATTTGCCCGTTAAACGGCTCGAAAACTCCGAAGTTATCGACATTTTCGGTCGTGATGCGCACAAGTGTAAAATATTTAACTACCCTTTAATTTATTGAATAATAAGCACTATGCACACCGATTCTATTATCAGCAGACATTTAACGAGAATATTGTAATGTGGCATTTTCGCAATATAATTATATTGCAATATAAGATATTTGATTGAATTTCGTCCCGTATGTTTTACTAAACAAAAAGCATGAAAATCGACTGTGTCATTGGTTTGGCGAAATTCACTACTTTGGCACATTTTATCGATTAGTTACGATCGGAAACGATTGACTGCAAATAATTCGATTCTTGACGTGTATTCGTCCGAAACACATCTGTGTTTACTGTAACAAGCACGTGCAACATCCTTTGACGGTTCAATAGAATACCGACAACAATCGGATGATTGCTAGAACATGGTAAAGAAACACGTTTGGCTTGTCGGCATATTATGTAACATTGCTCGGGGCTTGTTTTGTTACTATAGTATATACATGTACTTTAGCATATATATAGCTTATCGCGTTTGTAGAATCAATAAATTATTCAATTTTCTGACCGTGTTATCTTTTCACATAAGAACTAGCTGATTAATTAACGAAACTAGATAGTATAATAATATATGTGTTGTAAGAAAGTAGATGGAAAGTGCGAAAAAATAAAATTAAGGTGAGAAGAAATGAGAGAATATTAAAAGAAAGAAATAATAACGGATATTTAAGAAAGCGACAGAGAAATGAAGGGAAGGAGTTTGCGAAAATGATTAGCACAAATGAATAGAACGAATAAGAAAATATAGTGAAAAAATAATTTGGGAAAAATCCGAACCATATATAAAGAAATGAGGAAGGAAGAGAGATCGGCATATTTTCCAGTAGGTTTCAACGGAAGACGATAATCCGATTACATTTTACATACGTAAAGAAATATAATTTGTACTTACATATCTTCGTCGTCAAATTCGACATCTATGGGACTATAAGACTCCCATTGGGAAAGGGATCTTTGCATCTCGATATCGGCGATAGCTTCTGTCATTTCAATATCCTGTGTATCATCATCGAAAGTGCTGACATCCATCATCGTGTTTGCATTATTTATATCTATTGTTGTCAATGAGTCATCCAAATTTATATGCGAATTCCCGTCATCTTGATTCACCATAATGACATCCTCGTCATCGTCAAATATTCTCCCAAAATCGGCGCAAGCTCTCTCATGAAATGGAAGCATTTCAATTGAACAAGATCTCCGGTTACTCAGAAAAATTCAGTATCGATTTTCCAAAGATCTAGTGATTCCAAGAGATGGCAAGATCGATTGCAAACGTTGATCTGGGAAAAAGACTTTGTGATAACAATAAAGGCACACAAATTAACCATAAATTTAATCATAAACGTAATTTTAAGCTAAGGAATCAATTAGGATATTGCTTTAGGTATTTTAGAAGAAGATAGCCGTGTAATTAGGACTCAGATGAAGTAACTAGGATTTCACCCAGTCGAATTACTTACGACCAGATTTACCTCGTCAGTTCTATCTTCTTCTATAGTGCAGCAATTTTAAAGCAATAACTAAAGCTTTACGGCTTTAGCGATTTATATACGAGAGAATTAAGCACGCGTTAGCACACGGAATATTCCAATTTGTTAGTTGACGATGTCTGGAACTGATATTTAGGTTTCGAGTTTTGGCCGTAACATATATAGGACGATAAGTTAAACAACGCTCGTGTAGATTGAGTCAATCTGAACAAAAATATCCATGAAACCCCACTCGCGCAGCATTGTTCTGATCCGACTGGTTAAACGGCGAATGCGAGTCTAGAATAGGTCTGTTCGTTTTCGTTGCACTAGTGCAATAAGTTGAAGTGAGAAAACATATACTTGTCTCTCTTCAACTTATTGCACTAGTGCAGCGAAAACGAATAGACCTTAGATGTCACTTCTACAGAACTTGTTCACTGAATCGCGCGCGATCGTTCGCCAGTCTTTTGAAATCAGTATTTCAAAATTGACGTCAAAATAATAAATGGCTTTTTTGTTCAGTTTAATGAGCGTGGTGTTTGTCTTTCGTCAAATACCCTGTATTGCATGGACAATTTGCGCAGTTTCGAGAGAAAAATGTGTCTCTTTAGCTACTATCGTTCATGTCCAAAAATGTTTTTACTTCCGATCGAATAATAAGTGAAATATGGCATGCTAACGGATTTGACTAATCATCCGATATCGTCCGCATTAAATTCGTACATCATCAATGGAGTCGCTGACAGAGCCTGACGACAGATCGGCTGTAGGAACCGAGCGGACTCTATCGTATGATGCGGAATCCCTTTTCGGTTATTAACGTAAATTCTCTCGTCATACTCTTTTAGCGGATCTATATTCCCGCAGATATACCGTCAATGAAATTTACAGCAGACGCAATTGATTTTGATTCCACAGATTTTGATTGCACAGATACGCACACATATTTAAAAATGTAAAATGTACAAAATTAGATCACAGAAGGGAATGAACTCTTACCTGTCTCTCACTTGTAAACACACACACACTTGCACTTGCAGAAAACGACTAAAGATTTCAAATATGAACTCTGTTCGTCTGTTCACTCTGAAGGGTTGTTTGAAAGTGTGTGACATCTGCCTTTAGCTGCTTTTAAAGTTAGTGCTAAGGGTAAAAAGCAAGGGAATAGGGAAGGGAATCGACCAATCACAGATCTCTAGGTCAGGTATCGAAATCCCAAAAAAAAAAAGAAATATCCTGCTGTGAAGATGTTTTACGACCTTAAAAGGCCTCGACAGGCCTTTTAAGGTCGTAAAACATCTCACACAAGTGACAAAGCGATTTTTAATGTGCATTCTGAGAACTAGCTGAAATTTCATGCCTTAAAGCCTTTAAGGCATGAAATTTCAGCTAGTTCTTTCTTCAGCTAGATTTTTGTTTTTCATTCTGTCCGAAAAACCCTTATCTCACGGACTACCAACTTTCGTCTTATAGCCCGGTGAAATGATGAATAGGATACTAGCGAAGGGGAAAAAATTCCATTGCATTGCATTGCATTTTGCCGACGCATTGATATATCGCAAAATATAATTAATATAATCAATCTATCCCTCTTATTATTAAATTACTCGAGTGTTATTAAGTTAGAATTTTTTTAACTATAGAGTAAGTAACTGTATCGCCTATGTGTGCGTAGCGTAAGGGATGTTTGTTGTGAGTCTATGAAGTGTTTAGTCACCATTTCGTGGTTAGACGTACGTCGGAGTATGCTTGCAACAGACAAAAATAAGAAAATGTAAAAACGAATAATTTTCTTCAAAGTATCCTTCAAAGTACTTCCTAGTTGCTTGCTGCGCTTGAATTGCTCGACAAAAAAAAGGTGATTACATGCATTTGTCTAAAAATTACATCGTTTGTCAACGTTTTACGAGAAACAATGTATTAATATGATTTTATAATTTAAAGGTTGAAATTTTCTTCAGAAAGATATGTGCTCGAGGCAAATGTACGCGGAAGTAAGCTGGAAAAAAA